GCTCGTCTTCTTTCTTCATCTTCTTTTACTTCCTCCTCTCCTTCTCAGAGATCTTTCTCCTCTGCCCTCCGTCTCCCTCGCACTACCCGCATCGCCGCGTCTTCCCGCTGGTCCGGATCGACTCCTACTCTGTACCTCTCTCAATCGCGCACCATGGCTTCCGACGGCACCAAGATCAAGGTCAAGAACCCGGTGGTGGAACTGGATGGTGATGAGGTATGGACTGGATTTCCTTTCCCTTTTATAGTTTAAACTCTCTGGGGCTCGGCGTGTGTCACAAGCTCGCTTCGCGTCGTGCTTTCTCGGGTTGGATTATCGTCCTGGTCGCCGGCGGACGCGGGGAAATACGGGGAAATATACTTCCCCCTTGGGACAATCATCATCATGTGTCAATCCATCCACCCGAGATCAGCCAGCCAAACAACCCCAGAGAGAACATGACATGACTCACTGGAAGAGCATTGATGGGCTAACAATGGTTGTTGAATGGTAGATGACTCGGATCATCTGGCAAGAAATCAGGGAAAAGGTAAGCCTCGGGATCCCCCCCTCTTCTTATCAATTTTCTTTTATCAACATTGTTCCCCCTCATCGGCCCGGTCCTGCATGATCGTCCCGAATGGCGGTGCCGCCTGCATGCAGGATGGATACATCACATTGGCTCGTTGTACCTGAAATTCAGACTGAGACTAACTGTTGCGTCAATAGTTGATTCTGCCGTAAGTGCCGCTTCCTATGTTTGCCGAACGTGATCATCCCCGACATGGCACTAAAACCCTAATCAAGTTACCTCGACATTGATCTCAAGTACTACGACTTGGTAAGTCGTCCCTGGACCCGGCTGATGATGGAATGCCCCTGGCGACCCAGGCTAACCTACCTCGCTATTCTAGGGTCTCGAGTACCGTGACCAGACCGATGACCAAGTTACCGTTGATGCCGCTGAGGCCATCAAGAAGTACGGTGTCGGTGTCAAGTGCGCCACCATCACCCCCGACGAGGCCCGTGTTGAGGAATTCAAGCTGAAGAAGAGTACGCCCTTCCGTTCTTCACCGCTAATCCACGTACATTCCCCCCAGTCCGAATGCTAATCGTATACTCTAGTGTGGCTGTCCCCCAACGGTACTATCCGTAACATCCTGTAAGTTTCTCCAGTTTCATCCGAGTTCTTCTCGAACCGATCGACTGACAATCTCCTAGCGGCGGTACCGTCTTCCGTGAGCCCATCGTCATCCCCCGCATTCCCCGTCTGGTGGCTGGCTGGAGCAAGCCCATCGTCATTGGCCGTCACGCTTTCGGTGACCAGTACCGTGCCCAGGACCGTGTCATCCCCGGCCCCGGTAAGCTCGAGCTGGTTTACACCCCTGCTGGTGGTGAGCCCGAGCGCGTCCAGGTCTACGACTTCCAGACCGGCGGTGGTGTTGCCCAGTGCCAGTACAACACCGATGAGTCCATCCGCGGCTTCGCCCACGCCTCGTTCCAGATGGCCCTCATGAAGGGTCTGCCCCTGTACATGAGCACCAAGAACACCATTCTCAAGCGCTACGACGGCCGCTTCAAGGATATTTTCCAGGAGGTCTTCGAGAAGGACTACAAGAAGGAATTTGACGCCAAAAACATCTGGTACGAGCACCGTCTGATCGACGACATGGTCGCCCAGATGATCAAGTCTGAGGGCGGCTTCGTCATGGCCTTGAAGAACTACGACGGTGACGTCCAGTCCGACATCGTCGCCCAGGGCTTCGGCTCCCTCGGCCTGATGACCTCCACCCTGGTCACCCCCACCGGCGAGGCCTTCGAGTCCGAGGCCGCCCACGGCACCGTCACCCGCCACTACCGCGAGCACCAGAAGGGCCGCGAGACTTCCACCAACCCCATCGCCTCCATCTTCGCCTGGACCCGCGGTCTGATCCAGCGCGGCAAGCTCGACGATACCCCCGACGTCGTCGCCTTCGCCGAGGAGCTCGAGCGCGCCTGCATTGAGGTCGTCAACGACGAGGGCATCATGACCAAGGATCTGGCTCTGGCTTGCGGCCGCAAGGACCGCGAGTCCTGGGTTACTACCAACGAGTACATGGCTGCCGTTGAGCGGCGCCTGAAGGCCAACCTGAAGTCTCGTCTGTAGATTTTTCCTTTTTCCTTTCCCCCACTTTGTTCATTGATGCATTTTCTTCTTCATGTTTGATATCTGCGTTTTTCACCCCGATTTAGATATGGGGCTACAGCGCGTTTGGCCTGGTCTAGCTTGAGCTATGTACAGCTGTGTCGAATAAAATTTTGTTCTTTGATACCAATGGTTTGTTCTGGTAGGATGTAGGCTTGGAAATGGGAGTCTGCCTTACTATCAGACTAGGGCTTGTAAGAAGGGAAGTCTCAGTAGAGTCAGAATCGGAGGATATAGCGATAGAAGCTACCCGCGGACAGGATATTACGCTGAATGATTTTCTAGCTTATCCTTCTATAGCTAAGCAATCGTCATTCTCGCCATTACAAGGAGCACTTTGGGAGGTAGAGAATTACATTCGAGCCAGGAAGCCCTTGGAATACTTTCAATAGTACGGGGAAACCGTAGTGAGCCGGATTCACGTCGTTTGTAGCACTGGTCTCGACACAAGCACGTTTTGCGTCAATTTAGGGCTCCAGACGCATCTAGAAGAACAGCTACTGCAACGAGCCTGTTGAACACGAAATGGACTAGAGGAGGTTTGCCCGTGAGAAACACAAACCAAAAACATACACGAATGTTGTTTTAGCTTTCAGCAAAAATAGACTATTCCTCTGTTGAATTAGTAGTCTATACCGTGTGTGTCTTGACGGTTCAAGACTAATTGGTTGATTAACTGGCAGAATGGATAAGCAGGGTGGATGAGGAAACATGTTTCAATCCTGTAGCCACGGCATCATGTGGACCGGACACAAGAATGGAGCGTCCAGCATATTGTGTAGTGCGTATCTCACCTTTGAATTCCTATAGAAACATGAGGATAATATGATTATCCTATTTAGCTTCCTGCCTTATTCAATATATCTTTGCTAACCACTTGACGGCACGCTTTTTTTGAATTATAAGCAGTAATTTCGGCTTATAAATAATGAGCTATCCTTCTAGGGTGGCCGGCCGTACGGGAAATCCGATTTTCCTGAAGATGATTACACCGATTCACAAGAGGGCTTTTAGCTAGCGAATGATTCGTGAGTCCTTTAAAGATCGTAGTATCTAGCCGGTTGATAGTACAGTAAGTAGTAAGATTGTTGGAAATCTTGCAAATAAGTTAGTAATCTAGGTGACGGTAAAACTGCCGCCTCGGGAAGTGATCGGCTCACGGGAACGAACGTGAGCAGCTCCCTGAGCAATCTGATCGCTCACCCCAATGTTCAGGCTGATCAGCCCATTGATCTCATTTTACCTCTCCAATCTTTAAGTTTCTCCGACGATAACCGCACTGTTGCTGCCTACTTCCGGTGTTCCTGGGAGCGAAGGCTGGGATATGGTACTCTCACGTTGCTACAGTAACTAGGTCTCGCCCCTCTCGTACTCAATCTGTCTTTCAACATATGTGAGAACTTTATCGTCTCTACGCTGTACTACTCACTCTTCCTTCATAATGCGGGCTCCGTTGCGCTATCCATTCTATAAAGCTTAATATATTTAGGGCTGGCTTGATCCTAGAACTGTTATATACTGCCGATATCGGGCAAATATCCTCGCGTGCCCCACCGGAAGCCTTGACTGCGTCGATATGCTGTGCTACATAAAGGTAGACATAAACTCGGTCCGAATGTTACAAGAAGTCCGTACGCGATCTATATAATCTTATGTTCCTAGGAACGCTTCCCTTAGTCGACCCACTACGAGCTTGAACGAGTTTCTAATTAGCTATATCAAAGGTTTGTAAGCTGCGTCGAATACATAGGTAGTCACCTTCTAAGTTGTGTTGGCTATAGATCCGAACTTATAGCGTTCCTTACCTTCCGCTTCGTACTGCGACGGCCGAAAGAGATATTAAGGGCTAAAATATAAGTAGCCTAAGGATCCCTTTACCTGCGGTTTACCTACCTACATCTAGCCAGGACTAATCTTAATTTCTCTAACTTTAACTCTTTTCTAGCTAAAAACCTCGCTTTAACATGGTAACCCTGAATCATCACAATGTAATAGGGTTATCTACTTGCAGGGTAGAAGGCCTGTCAATCAGGTAGAAGAAAAGCACCAAGTCCAATTGCTTCAGAGACGGTTTCTTGAGGAGTTCGAAACCTCCTCCTCATGGCTCAATTTATGTACAGTCTCTTCTCTAAAACGGGAAGGAGGGGTAAACATCAGGATAAGAGAGATCACAAAAGGATACGGGATAGCCTGCATGATGACGCGGCCATACAGGATCCCCCTGACCCCTATGCAGTGTTCCCTCCTGGTAACACTGACGAAAGGGTGGTGATCCACCACCGAGAGACTGTCGAACTGGCAGCCCCTTAGGGTCCATTGTGGCCTGAGGCATCACATCAACATGGGAATAGCTTCATGGCAGAGAGATCATAACACAAAAATTCTGGTAGCTAATACCGAACCCCCGCAAAGGTGCTCTTTGATTAATTCTGAATCCCGGACCACTATTGTAGTAGAGCTACCGAGCAACCTCGGAGAAAATTGCGAAGTGGCTGTGGCCCGGAGAACAATCTACCACAAGAAGAGCATAGAATAACAAGTTTCGGTTAGTAATATCGCTGCGTTCTGCTTCGAACCTCTCTGATTAATATATATATCTCTAGTGTTAGAACCCGGCCAGCCCTCTCAGCCTATTTCGCCTAAGCTCTATCATAACGATGTATTAGCCACAGATCGTTACCCCGATTACCATAGGAAAGTTGCGCTTAATTCTTCCTCCTGAGTTAGTAGTCCTCCCTCCGTGACTTGATTAGATAGGCCTATGTCAACGACTCGGTTGTTGGGGTTTCAAAATTATGGAACTTCATGTAAATACACAGTGAATAACCAAGAATCACTAACTAGCGGATGTCCCTGAAGTCGAATAGGTCTTATGATATGCAATGACCTTCTTCTCAATCTTGTCCACTTGAGTCGCCATTGCCGAGGCCAGATAAGCCCCCAGATTCCGAAACTCGAACAAAGGGACTGACAGGGCGTTGTTCCCAACAATACGTTCCCTGACATTGTCATAGGCTCCAATCTGCTTATCAAACCATCTATCGTAGAAGGCCATCAAGTCCAAAGCACCCTGCGGCTCTTTCTTGTCCTTTGCGATGGTCCCAAGGGCTTTTCTGACAGCTGGCAGTGTGGTTCCGCTATTCTTGAGCCCATCCATCCAATCTTTCACAGTGAACGACGCTGTGTCCTTGAAATCGTTATTGTTTTTAAACGGTGATTTACCATTAACTGTGAGCTTCCACATGAAGTCTATGTTTGATTTCGGCTTCGGCTTTGCCACAGTCCCATCGCACCATTGGGTGTCGATTCTGGATAGTTTGGGTCAGCTAGCAATCTCAAAAATCGTGGAATATCAATAGAGAAACCCACTCGACTTGGTCCCCATTACTGCCTTCATCATTAATATTCTTGTAGCATACAAGTACTCGGACTAACTCGTAGAGGTCTTTGCCCTTTAGACTAGGCTCCACTCCCTCATACAAAGACACGAAGTTCGTTCTGGGCATGATAGGACTTCTATCTTTCATGCTCTTGGCGGCCGTGACCCCAGGGTTTTTCTTCACATAAGAGATAACAAGAGAGAAGAACGCTCTCTCCTCTGCTGTGACATCTTTTTCTGTGATTCCCTGGGGAGAGCTCTGGAAGAAGTTGTTATTGACCCAGACCATGCTGCTTACCTGGCTTTTTATTCCAGGCAAGAGAGGATTGGTCAACACGGTGCTCGTTTTCGCTTCTTTGAATAACGCGTCAAGAGCAGCCATTGGTAGGGGTGCTGTAGCCTGAGCTGGCCAATTGATGGCTTTCCAGTCACCGCTCTTCGATGGGTTTCTAATTTGCCATGTTTTGCACTTTGCATTGGCTGGATCCACGATCTCAATTGTCCTAGGATTATCCGACTTCAAGTAAGGGTCCCATTGTTCCTATGTGTAGCATTCAAGATCAGTGAAGTATTTCACACAGCTGTACTAGGATTTGACTTACGAGGTCACTCGCGATTGCCTTTGCTGCTGGTACAGCTTGGTTTTTACCAATTTTGATATTGATGCCGTTAAGAATATACTCCGCTTGAAGGTAGTTCACCATCTCGGATGTCGTGTCTACTGTCAGATCCCAATATGTTGATTCGTGGCCCTTGACTGTCTTCCCCTTAGATGCGAAAGTGTTCTCTTCACCACAGTCTTCAACACTTTTGAAATTGATGCCGGATTCAAATTCCACTCCAAGACCAGCTTCTCTGTCTCCTGTAGGACCATCGTTGGTGGGTGATATGTCATCCGTGTCAACTTTGATCTCGTTACAATCTGAAAATGGGTCCGACTCATCGGATGATGAAGAGGATGACGATGAGGTATCATCGGGATGTTTGAAAGGGTTGTCGGCGGGATCTCTCACCTCAAGTGGAGCACCGGAGACAGTCTCGAAGAATGAGAAAAGCGCAGAAAGCGAGCAGGCATATGCCTAGCTCGGCTGCAAGAAGACGTGAACCAAACATGATAATGATTGTGGTCTCACAGTTCTAAGCGAAAACTGGGATGACGCTCATTTATAATTGTATGGAATTGCGGTAAAATATAACTCATTCGGAGCTTTGAATCGGCCCCAATACTCATGGGTTGCAATCAGCCTACGAAGCTCCACGGCTACTATTCTAGTATCATTGGTGTCTGGAGGATTGGGTCCATAACGATATCAATCCAACTGTTGGGGGCGATATAATGCTTGTATTTCACCAGTGCCGATCCGACCCAGTGACCAGGTTTATAGGCTGTGAGTCAGGGGCTGTGAGTCTCAACTATGTCGCTGGTCTCATTACTATGAGAAATGAATGACTTGTTTATCTATCGAGTTTCCAATCTTCTAGGGCCATCTAGCTAGTTTACTCAATATTGCAAGGAATACATAGTGGAGTGGGGACGCCTGCAACGAAGGACCTGTATACAAGATATCTCTGGAGATCTCTGATTGGTCAATTCGACATAGCATATGCTTACGGTCGCGAGACATAGCAGATTCGCTCAGGAAGTCTGTATAAAACGCTTTCCACTCCTTTCGCTGAGTGTCCTCTGTTTCCTGTTTGGACCTATTCTCCTAAATCGATGGTGTGTGGTGGTTTGCTGTATGATTTGCTGATCTCGATCGACCCGTCTGCTTCGTCGGACTACCCTGTGAGCTTCCAGGCTAAATAGATAACCTATAGTAGCCAACAGAGCCTATCCATTAAGTTTTTAGTGGACTCTTGGGTTCCGCGTTGTGTATTTTCAGCCAGTTACACTCCTACGTTAACATACCATCGCCAGTCGTTCCATTCCCCCTGGTCCCGGCCCCATGTTACCCCCGTTAACCGTGGTTACAATGTATACAAATACGCCCTGGGCAACTGTGCAAGCACAGGATCTAAGTATCACTTTGGCTCTGAAATGGGGGCCGATATATTTAGATTTTCGGGGGGTCATGTGAGCGAGGCACCTCAGTGGGGGCGGGGCCAACTACACAGCATCCCTTGGGGCCAATGAGTCCTTGGGTCACTAAGATTCTTCAAGACTTTCCAAAAGAGAGAGAAACTGAAATATCATATCAGAAATTTTCTAGTTTTCCATTCAAATCGAAGCTAGAACCAACTTCTCCTTTTCACGCCATTGCATCTTGGCCCTTTCTGATCATAATGCAGGCTCGGCTTGAGCTGTCCTCTTTTCCCGCCGAAGTGATCCTCGGTGTTTTCTGCTCGCTATCTGCATTTCCCGATATACTACATCTCGCTGCAACCTGTCAAAAACACCGACAGATATTCCACGACAATGTCAGCACTATTTACCATTATGTGAGTCCAATGGTAATCACTTGCCGACGCTATGCGCGAAAGCTTCTAGCAGATCAAGGTGGCGCCCTACCAAATGAGATTCCGACGGTTCAAGATTTCTTGCAAATGACCCGAAACTCTATCGTGATGGAGAAATCCGTTGTCCACTTTAATGAGACGGTCGTTATTAAGATGACCCATAGACGCCGTGCTCGTATGTTGAGCCCGACCTAGATTTTTTCATTTTTTAACAGTTAAACAGACAACCCGGGTGATAAGAGGTTCTTCGACGGCAATCAAATACGTCCTCCGTACTTGACTAAACGTGAGCGTCTACGATTTATTCGAGCGGCCTATCAACTGTGGAGCCTGATTCTCCTTGATCCTATATTAAGGGAGCTGAGGATAAGCACACTCAAATACAAAGACATTTACACGCTCATGGATTTAGCGCAAATTCAATTCTGGGCCGATGGAGTGTTGATCCTAGACAAAGAAACTATGGAGATCGAAAATGCGGAAGTGGGACTAGTGGAACATCTTGGTCTGTATGACCTAAGAGCAGCTAGTACGCGTATCCTTGAAAAGTTTTATCACGAGGGAAGAAACCATTTCTTTTGGGGAAAGGAATATGGATGGATGGGTTGTATCTCTATCTGGGAGAATTGGATTGAAGAATTTAAAGAATCGGTGGTGGATGGATTAAAGGGAGCTAGGGGAGACAAGCTAATCTCCGAGGTTTGGTATGAAACTTCTGATGAGGATTTAATGGGCTAGTTAATTTGAGCTACAGCCCTAGGTCTGCTTTAGGGTAGTGTTAGAACTTAGAAATAACAATGATAGCAAGAGGCTCGCAAGACTAGGTTAGGCCGTCAGATTTTGTTATATGAAAAGGCATTAGGGTTCGTCTGGGGGGATTAAAGCTTGGAGGAGAGTACGGATATAGCGACTCTATTACTCTATTAGTTTAATTCTAACCTCACTTAGAGAGCAATTGAGCAAGTTTAGCTAGTTAAGTGCTTGCTAGAACTTACTAAATTATCACGTGATGGCTTAGAGTAGCTTATCGAGACTGAAATTTACTACTACTTAGATCCATTAGAAACGGTTCAAAAGGAACCTGTCGGAGCAAGCTGAGATAGTATAGGCTAGAAATCCCTATAGGCGAATGGGGTCGAGGATAGGACCAAGCGGAACCAATCTTGGATGCAAAGGTTGATTGATTGAAGAAAGAATGGCTATCATGGGGCAGGTTAGAATACCCCCAGATGACTAAGATACACCCTAGCGGTAAGTTACCGCTCCATATCTTGACAGAACCTTTCTCAACGAACGCTTAACGTCTAACCAAGCTAAGACAGCAGAGGCTAGTAATTCTCTAGGACGAATAGACAACAAATTTAGAACGGGATATGGCTTCTGAATAATGCCTTTCTCTACTTATCGACGGCGTCGCCGATAATACTCGGGACTATAGGCTTACTTTTTTATTCTTGAATAAATCAGGAATAGAAATAGCCTCGGATAGCTGTCCTTCTAAGCAGAGAAGGACAGCAAACCGGGAGAAGAGGGAGACTGATGTCACGGAAAAGTAAAAGAACGAAAAGAAGCGGTAAAGACTGACGCCCAGAAAAAATCTGGTGAACTAAAGAGAGAAAGTACTTGACGGCCCTTGGACGAAGTACACTGAACAGGAGCTACGGTTGATGGGCGCGGGATCTCTTTTAAGTATTAGAAAAGCGGACTTGAGTATGGTCCAACGACTAACGAAGGACCTTTCCTATTTTGCAATTTGCGGCTACAATCGGATAACGTTAAAAACGAGACATGACGACATCCCTGATTGTCTCTACCCTGAGTACCCTGAGCAACCATGAGTGCTCAGGGAGCACCCCGACAGAGTGGGCTAAAACATATCACGTGCGAGATCGATGACTAAGGTACAAAGGACGCTTAAAATGGCGCCAAGTGTACCCGTTTTCGGCGCCAAATTTACCGTTACCTAGCGTTGTGGTGTAATTCCCGATCTATAACTAACTATATACCAGATCTTCGGTTAGCTATGTATGTACTATCATCACCACTAAATCTTTCTTCTTCTAGCGTGGAAAATAGCCCTCCGAATACTATTGAAGCCTGATGGTGAGTTTTCTTATAATGTTTATTAAATGATGGTTGAACTAATTTGCCCGCTCCTGGCAGTCGTTCATGCCCATCATCCGAAGTTCGGCGCGTACCCTGAATTATACGCGGACCTCTCGCAGGATATAGATCTCGAGCAGAACGGATCATATGTTATACCATGGGGCAGACTATTTGTCCCAAGACAATATTTGCTGCTCTCTATGAAGAGTCTGGAAGAAGGTGACTCTGAGATAGCGGCCGTGTTTTGGGACTGCTGCAAGACTGAGACCGCAAATCATGGATAGCCTAAGTGGAAGCGGAATTCTGAGTAGGCAATAGGATTAATATTAGAAATCACCATACCTAAATAGAAAAAAATATATACTCAGCCCGTCTCACGGAGACGTATGCCTAGACAGATATCTGCATTGCACATCTTGCGATATTTACAATCTAAGGACTAATATTTCGGCAAGCCACTACTCAGGTAGCGCATATCCAAAATCGACAGTAGTCCAAAAGTCAGGACTAGAGATCGGAGAAACGGTTACCTAGATATGCTTTTGCTCCCCTCCTTCTTGGGAAGATACTCCTGGATATCTTTTCATCTTGTCTATTAGTAGGCCAGGTATCATCCATCTCTGGGTCTATCGTTCAACCCGTGAGTAGGCGCAGATTCTAAAATCTCACCAAATTTCAACCCCTAAGAAAATCCACCTAAATACTCCAAAATCTAGAACGCTCTAATACACCTTCTTTCCTTCCTCTTCTAGAAAACTATAGCCCCTGGCTAGAACCACCGACTTACTCTCCTCAACTAACCAAAAACCACATAGACCCGTCCAGGCCTCCTTTTCAGGCTAAACTTCCCCTAAATATTCCCGTCGAACAAGTAAGTACCTCCAATCCCAACTCCTCATAATCCCATCCCGTCAGCACTCTCCCACAGACTTTGTCTCACCCCTCGCGCCCCATTGCAGACCCTCCCAAGAGCCAGGCCTCTAATCAAAAACTCCTCCTCACGACGCTAACAGCCCCACCCCGGTTCTAAGGGCGATCTCTTCCGTAACAAGGCAGCGCACGATTCAAGGCACCACCCTATCAGCGTACTTTTGCGAGTCGTGCACGCTGTGGCGGCTCTGCGCTGCCTTTTGCCTTGTGTCTCTTGCCGTCGCAAAGGCTCCATCGGGGAGGCCGAGGATTGACGTGGGATGGTCTTGTCGACATCATAGTATGAGGACATCGCTGGATTGGGAGATTAGAAGAGACGAGAAATGCCTGTCGGTGGGTTCCTGGCCGATGATACCGATAGTGATTGCCAGCGTAAGGATAACCGAGGCTGTCGGGTGATTTTCGCTGGGGTTGTGGCGTTGGCCACAGGCCGCCACAGGCATTTGACATGCGGAGGGGTGGAATTTTGAGGGTTGGTTCCAAGGGTCGACCGGGGGTTGAGAGTTTGTTTAAACGAGTGGGTAACTGGTACGTGCAGTTGTGTGGGATGACTGAGTTTAGGTTCGAGTTTGGGTTGTGGACGGGGTTGGCTCGGGGGGAATTACTGGGTTAGATTTATGGTTCGGCTTCAGCCGTTTGGCATTGGCAGACTCCATCCTGCATGTATCCGTACTCCAGACATAATAGCCGATGATCCGATCGGCCAAGTCTCGAGGAGGAAAAATTATCCAACAACCACTTAAGACTCCGGAAGTAGATCGCAACCCCACAACTTTATTTTCAACCAATGATATACACCAGATCCCGTATTTTTTCATGCACTTTCATTGGCGTGTCCAGATACGCTGTGGCTAGGTTGATCCGGTTCCGACTCTTTGACGCCATCTTTCCTTCTGACATTCCTAATGCGGCGGATCCAACGGGGGTTGTAGGCGTTTGGAGCCTGCATTTCAGCCTGGTTGGACCAACCAGACCACACGACCGTGAGATCACCGGTACTTTGGGAAGAGCAGTGCGACCACGGGATTGGGGACTTATTAAGTTCTCTGATAAGAGTGTTAAAAGAATCTTTATCTCTTTATGAGAACTACCACGACGGATCTGCTTCGGAAATTCTCGAGATATCGCTTTTGCCACTGTATCCTGTGATGGGATTGCTTGATCCAGAGATCTGATGGTACATATGGTCGTCTACTCTCAGCCAAGTGGATTGGATTGTCATACTCGTTCACTCGTTTATTCGGTTGGCGTCGCTTGGATCACGAAGGGATGGTGAATACGCCTACTTCTTCACCCGCCCGACTAACCCGACTTGACTCTCATGCATGCCTCTCAAAAGCATTTCGACTTGAACGTTCGGTATATTCTTCGATGGACTCGGTAACTTCGCAGATAAATCGCTCTGAATATGCGGGTTCTCCCAATTACCACCATCTTCACGATTTTGGCCACCTTGTTCGTGACGGTCCGTCTGTGGACGAGGTTCAGGATCGTGAAGAGCCCAGGATATGATGACTTGCTCATCTTTTTTGCATTGGTATGTCTGCATGTTCTCTCAGCAAGAGAGACACCGTCACTATCTTCCCTGTTCTGTTGTAGATATGGTGCTAAGTGTTTGATCTAGATATGCTCCATCGCCCTCTATGCCTTTATACTTCTCGGTAAGCCAACCCCAGCTCCCTGATTGATCAGCAACAAGCTAACAAGGTACAATGTAGAGCGTCATTATGGTCTCGGGAAACACAAGAAATATCTCTCTGACGAGGTCATCCAGGGTCAATTGCATGTATGTTCATCTTTATCCACGCTCAAGCAACTACCAAGTCCTGACCTTCCACCTCTCCATAGTACCTCTGGCTCTCCATCCCATTCTACAACCTCTCCCTCGTCCTCGCCAAACTATCCATCCTAGTCCTCTTCATACGCATCTTCCGATCCAGAAAGTTCTTGATATACACCTACACCACGATGGCCTTCCTCATCATTGCGGGACTGTGGATGGTCTTCAGTGGATTTCTCTTTTGCATTCCCGTCTCCGACTTTTGGAAACTGGACCGGGTCTCGAGACATTGTCTGCCCGAAGGACCGGTATGGTATGCCAATGCGGCTATGCAGATCATTACAGACGTGGTTATTTTGGTATTACCTATGCCTTTGCTGTCGAAGTTGCATTTGCCCCGGCGGCAGAAGGTGGGGACTATGCTGGTTTTTGGTGTCGGTATCTTGTAAGCCTTTCATTCTCACGGTAGAGATTTGTTTCATATACTGACCTGTGCTAGTGTGATTGCAACTAGTTCAGCACGACTCTATGAGCTGACCGAAATGATTGAAAGCCGCGACTTTACCAGTGAGTTACACATCCATCTATCAATTCCATTCCCTAAGTACTATCCACTAACAGAATCTGTTCAGAAAGAAACTCCGCAGCAGCAGTCTGGTCCTGCCTCGAAGCCAACGTCTCCATAATCTGCGCCTGCCTGGCCCCCCTCCACCCCCTTATATCCCGCATCTTCTCCTTCTGCTTCCGCCCACAACGTCTCAACTCCTCCCCAGCAACAAAAACCCACTCCACAATCGCCACCAATTTCACCTCCTCCCGCAAACACTCCATTTACGACCCTACCTCGCCCGACGGAGGAATCTTCTACAACGACTTCTTCGTCTCCGGCCCCGGCCTGTACACGACTAGTATATCCAGGACGAACACTAACGAGGACGAGACGCATCGCGAGGGCGAGGGTGAAGATGGGATTCGCGTTGTGAGGGAGCTGAGGATGGTTTCTGATACGGTCGAGCCGGGGGGTTTGGGGGGTGGATTTGATGGGTCTAGGCCGCTAGATCGCGATTTTGAGATGGAGATGGGTGTTAGGAGGGGGTCTGTTGCTACCAAGGGGTCTGGGGTGAATGGGGTCGGGAATACGAGTACTGAGTGGGATTTGGGGGATTGGGAGTTTCCGGATTATAAGGAACGGATGAATGCTCCTATTTGAAAGGGGGATATGGGGTTTTACTGATATAATTTGTATATATTAGCTGTGCATTGGGTGAGATGGGGATGCATGTACATGGAATTCACGAACACGAAGCCATGGTTGAACACTTGGACTGGAGTCATAATCTATGTAAGCCAGGCACCATGGATGCAGTAAATAGGAGTCGCCATGTTCAGGATGAAACGTCATGAGATGACTCTCAAAGATTCGACCGAGCAGCATCCCTCCACCGCACAGCCTGCTCAATCGCCTTCGCTACAGAAACGCATTTCTCCTCTCCAAAACGCCCACCCACAACCTGTAATCCCACAGGCATGCCATCAACAAGATCGAGATCATCTATTACCGTACCAAATTAACATACGTATCTCAACAAGTGTCCGCTGGGAGACTCACACTGCTCTTTATTAAACCTATCACCCGCATTACGCGGGACATGATCCAACCACTCCTGATCAGGCAGATCCTTCTCCCTGGATACACTTGTAGCAGGAACTGCCAAAGCGGCATACCCCAACAGGTTCCAGATACTAGTATATCCCACATAAGCGCTGGATCTTACCCATGTCCATGGCTTGTATCCGACCCAGGGAGTGTTGGGCATGATAAGGGCGTCTACGCCGGATGTATTCCAGCGGTCGAGATATTCACTCTCATAGAGATATTTGTCGGCGTTGAGCTGGTGGTAGTTAGCACGCGCGCACATCTCGAGAGCTGGGTATGATGAGGAGGTGACTGTACTTGATGAGTCTCGGATGTAGTCAGAATATTCTTCTCAGTTCCGACTAGCATACCCTCAATCAAAGGTTCCCCGGTCATCTCAATCTTCTTGCGACAGCCCTCGCCGCCGTCGGAGAGGATGGCCTTTTCCCAAAGTTGGTACGCATACCCATGTGATGAGGCATCCCATTCGAACACTGCATCCCCCCGTCAGATAATACTATAATGAAAATGATGCGATGGACATACCTTCATGACCAGCTGCCTTTAGTGCAGCAACAGCTTCACGAACTGCCCTTGCGATCGGGGGTTGAACCTTGACCACGCCGTCATCAACCAAGAATCCTATCCTTAGCCTCTTCGCTTTAAGCGAAGCCATGCTTCGCCGCCACGGCACTGGAGCGGTATGTTGATCAAGTTCCCAAGGCGCTGCACAGGGCAAAGCCTCCATATACCGCTCAATCGTCGCCAGACTACAACTCATCGGACCTGCGACCGAGCGGACAATGTCTTGACTGGGACTGTACCAAATTAGCATCTTTCAAGATGTGATTACTTTGTTGAGGTAGCTACTAACCTCCCGCGCTCATACGGATGCCGTCCCGGCGTAGGCGACAGTCCATAAAGTCCACACAAACTCGCCGGGATACGAATCGAACCACCTATATCGGTCCCAATACCAAGCGCACTTCCTCTCGCTGCAACAAGCGAGGACTCGCCGCCGGAACTACCGCCAGAAATCAAATTTCGATTCAATGGGTTGACGCATTGCCCGAAGACGTGGTTGTACGAGTCGGACATCATCATTGACTGGGGGAGATTGGTCTTTACATATAGCACCGCTCCGAGACGGCGCAGTGTTCGGGCCACGGATTTATCTGCAGGCGCAGGATTGTTGGTTAATCCGACCCATCCTGTAGACAAATATTAGTATAGTGACACTGCATGAGAGGGGCGAATTGAAGAATAGTATCCTACCAATCGACGTATCAACACCCTTCACCGAAAACAAATCCTTAATGGAGACAGGCAACCCATGCAAAGGCCCAATAATCGTCCCCGTCTTCGCAAGATACTCATCCATCTGTCTCGCCGTCGCAAAAGCCTCTTCAAAGAAAATCTCCGTACAACATATCGTCAGCTGGTGAGCCAGTGCAGCGCGCTTCGCAAACGCCCTCGTCAACTCTAGCGATGACAGTTCTGCGGAAGACAATTTTCGCAGAAGAACTGTGATATCCGTTTCTTCCGTGAGTGTGAGCTCTGCTGGTGTGAGTGTGCGCCGAACATATGCTAGAGCGTCGGGGTGCGATTCTACGGAGGGAACTGGGGAGAGTCGCCACTCGGGTGGGATGAGGGCGAGTTGGTTGGCGCGCTTTTCGGCGGCGCGTTCTTGGTAGGATGGGGTTGTGATTGTGGTTGTCATGATGCATGCAAAATCGCTATGAATGATATGAAAAGTAGGATAGAATCAAGCCGGGGTAATGGGATATTTATGTTGGGAGTTGGTCCTGTATAGATAAGCGATGCGGAGAAGTGGTAGATTACCTTCCGCATTGGGCAAGGAATCAAATGCACGCTAACACAGCCCAACATGCGGAGATGCCATCAACCTAGTGATTATTGAGTCGAACGCCATTTCTAAATACAACAACTGAACTAAGTGATAAGTCATTATCAGTTGCTAGATAATCCCTTTATCCCTCCATCTCCGCTCGCACTGTTCCTGACCATCCGGATATCTCGGAAAGTCGCACAACTGGCAATTCCGCCAATAACCCCGCACCACATCGCACTGATCACCGGTACTGGCGTGCATCCCCGTCAGATACGCAGACGTGGCCAGGTGCACGTAGAATCGGGATGAAGTAGGCATTCTGGATATCGCATCGCAGACTTTGTCCACCAGGGACGATATTACGTCTGCATGTATCGCGGCGCTCGGTGATAAGCTGCTTTCTGCTGCGCGAGCGAAAGAAACCATTGCGGCCGAACCTCGGTACGCGACGTCTGCGAGACTCGGATCTGTGGAGGCATTTGCATTCATACGTAGAACCTGTTGCATCGCGCGGGCGCTGAGGTCGAGGGGATCGACGTCGTGCTCGCCTTTGGCTAGGTATACGAATAGCTCGAATGTATCGGGTGGACAGCCCACCCAATCCAGAAAGTCCAGAGTCAAGATCTCGCGATGCCAGTTGTCAAAGATCAATTCGTTGTCGCCTCGATTCAAGGTGCCTGTAACATCGAACCAAACCAGGTAGGCGAGCACGTCTGCTAGTCCTGGTATTCGCCCCGTCAGGCTATCCAGCTCGGCCCTATTCGAACAATGAAGGTCGAGCAGTGAGCGTGCGCCATGTAGATGGCGCTGCCAGTTACCAAAGGACCCACAGCACACTTCAAACATGGCGAATGTGCCGATCCCGAACAATGCGATGGGATGAGCGGAGTCAATGACCCTGCTGAGATTGGTCAAAGCAACTAGATGCGATTGAATAGCATCATCGTCATTCGCACCTTGGAGGCGCAGGCGTGCATAACTCAAAGTCTGCGATATAAGTTGAATAGTTTCGTCTGGAAGCTCTTGCTTGCTGGACTGGATCTCTTGGTAGAAGTCAGAGAGAAGATCGATGAAGCCGTTGAGGTTAATGGGTATGTGCTTGTTGGATTGTACTCGAAGTTGTTGAGGTTCCTGTGGCGAAAGGTCTTGATCCTGCGACACAGGGGAACTCGATGATGGGGATTTCTTTGCGGTTGTTTGCTTCTTTTCTCTGCTTCCCATCCAGATGACTCTCTGCGGGTATTGGCACGCCGCTCCACTTTGTGCACATGGTTGACAGCGAGGGCGATTCAGATCACACTTGATACCATTAGCCCGACATTGCTCACAGTGTCGATCATGGCGAATGCCTCGGGGCTTCTTGACGCCCGCCATGAGGCTGCGGATTGTATGATGGAGTCTTACCTTCGTCGGTCAAATTGCCGAGAGATAAGAGTGCGGGGGAAGCGGCAGGTTCCCCTTTTGGCATTGGCCGGGAAATACTCGTCCTGGGATGACATCCAAAGTTGAGGACTCATACTTGCAAAATTGGGATCTTGATTTCACAAGAGACTGATGTGCTGATTGAAGGAGGGTAAAATTGGCAAATGCCACTTGGTGCAGCCGAGACTAATCTACCTAAACTACCTAATGGGAAAGCAGCGACATCACTATATACAGGGCAAAACGTGAACGCCGCAACAAAGCAATGCCTGCCAGGCAGCGCAGGGAAGGGCTGGTGCGCAGAGACTGAAAAAAATCAACAGCAGTGACAACACCCAAGAAGTGTAACAAACGCGAGAGCAGCGAAGAACATCTGAAGGAATGACAGGGTTACGATTAACCCCAACAAATGCAAGGTATATGTACAGCGATCATTGTATGACTGAGCAAGGCAACGCACGACTCGCGAGTCAACAAAAAAAAGGCGACAGAAATATATGCAATGATAAACACAAGACCAAGCACAAGGATGCTGAGACTTGCAACATAGACCAAAATGAGCGACGCGCTGCACAAAGTGACAAAGCCAAGAAAAAAGACATCCAACAAGGCATTGAAGCTGTCAATGACAAACCAAAGGAGGGCAAATGAGCTTCGCAAAACATGTTCCAATCTTTTCTCATCAACACAAAAGTCCGTTCCATGTCGCACCTCAGCGATGTGGGGCCTCATGCCCATTCTGCATGGCTGTCATGTGGGCAAAGCGACTTGGACTACCCGTATCCTTCTTGCCTCGATTCAATTTCTCACGACGTTCCCGTCTCTTGGTGGCAGAGTTTGGCTGTTCAGGCTTGGGCTCCTCGTTTGTCTTAGGTGCAGGCTTAGACTTGGCAGCCTTGTCAGCACGACGACGGCGATGACGAACCCGAACACGCTTTGAGGGAGCATGCACACTTGGTGCCCGTGGACGCGTTTTGGAATCTGACTTGAAGCCAGTGCGATGGAGCTGTCCAGGATCAAAGTTGGATGGTCGACGAATTTTGCCTTCAGCCATCAGCTGCCCGAGTCGCAGAACAGCCGCGGTGAGTGATCTGGTGGAAGCGATGCTCTCGTTGAGCACGGTCATTGCATCCTGAGAACCCTCCATTGGTGAAGGTTCCTGAATACGCGATTCCATCTCAGCGGCAGCATCAAAGCCGATCCGAGAGTTGGGGCTGGAGACATGGTCCACTCGGGGATCGGGGCTATCAACCCTTTTGGCCGGCGCTGGGATGGTCGTTTTCTCAGATGGTGGAACTGATCTCTCCGAATCTGCATCTGATCCAGATGATTGATGTTCTCCTTGAGGGAAACTCTTCTCGAACAGATCAGACCCGATGTGGGAACAGGTGCTTGCAATGTCTCGGGCCTTTTCCATGGCCGCGGGTGTTCGCATGACTGACGGCATCACATTGGAGGAGATGGCGGGCATCTGAAGCATATACATCCCAAGAAATGGACTTTGAACTGCTGCTTGGACAGGAAGTTGGCCCATGATGTTGATCGGCTGGACCACAGCTTGAACATCACAGTCTGCAGCCGGAGCAAAGAAAGCGCCAGGGCAGCTTCTGGTCTGGCTTGCGGCTGACTGTGGAGACTGCGAGTCCGAGTTCCGCTCGGAGGTGCTTTGATGCAAGGAATCCACGCTGCTGGAACAATGATGGCAGATCACATCGTACTCGCCCTCGCGTGGGATGAAGCTGAGAGAGACCGGTTGTAGAGCCGCGGTTGAGTCACGGCCAAAGTTGCCAATATGCAACCACGAGGGCAATTCATCGATGGGAATCAATGGAGCAGGGATACCACCAGGCCGAAAGATACAGAACCGAGGACGCGGCTGAATGTGGGAGTATGAAAGAGAAAAAGGTGCTTGGAACATAGTGATAGCCAAAACACGATAGTACAGGAGATGAAAGAGAGTGGAGGAGTGTGGAAAAAGGCTGCTGTGATAAAGAGCGTACTTTTGCTTTCAGAATGAACGATAATCGAGCTTTGAAGCTGGGAAGATGAAAGCAGATGGGGATGGAGAGAGGAAGAGAAGAGAAGAGAGGAAAAGGAGAAGAAGAGGGTTGTTGATTGTTGATTGTTTACATGGTCTATTGCTCCTGCCATCTGCAGTACTTGCTCTTCGTAACATAACGCCCGTAATGAGGGAAATAACAACAGAAAACACCCAGCAATTGGAAGGAACCCACTGCATCATTTTCATCCATCAAATCATGAAGGAACGAAGGTGCCATTCTTGCAGTCAAATCCGAGATGCGGGTTCAGCGCGGCAGTGGCCTCGATGCAGATCACCGTCGGCTCAACCATACTCTGTGGGATGACTTGAATGTTGCTCAATTCGAAGTTCTTGCAGGAAGTGTTGGTATTGCACTCAATGATGACTGCCTCGGTATGCTTCAGGTTGGGAAGTCCAACATTATACCAGCAAGGATCCGACGCACAAGATCCATCACCAGGTCGATAGGTATTGACCGAGCCCGTAAAGTCCGACCAGGTGAAGTTTTCCATTTCAACAGATGCATTGTTGACTCGTCCTGTGGTCACACCGTTGCCGAGCTGAGTCTGCGACGAGCCCTGGTTGAAGTAGCTCTGCGTCACGAAGATGGGGAAAGTAACATTATAGACGCGAATGTTCTTCCAGCTAACATTCTTGACGAGTCCCTGGCCACCGATCCAAGACTTGAATCGGGCAGCATAGACAGCATCAATTACTGTGACATCTTCGAAGCGGATGTTGGAAACATTGGCAAAAGCCGATTGATCCTGGCCCAAGGACCCAATGCTCATACCGTGACTCTGGTAGCCAATGGTGTTGTGCTCGAAGACCACATTGTGAGAGCCATCTTGCACAGCAATGGCATCATCACCATTATAAATCACACTGTCGGTAATTCGAATGTTTGTGCCAGTTACATCAAATCCGTCAGTGTTGAAGGGGAACGACCCGGTAGACTCGGCATCAATGAAAGCGTGGCTAACATCGATGTGGTCACCCTTCAGTTGCACATTCCAGGCGATGGGCTTCCGCGACTTGAAATACTTCAAAGTTCCATCGGTTGTTTTGAAACTCATCAGATGAGGCCGCGAGGCAATTCCAGTGCCATTGACGGGATTAGCATCCCACCAGGCTTGGCCATAGGAATTGATCCATCCATTGTTGACGTTGGATGAGCCGACGTAGTCAATATGAGGACCAGAAAAGGTGAACCAATACTGGCCATTTGAGTAAAGAGTCCCGCTCGTACCGTTGACAATGCGCTGGATCTCGGTGATACTCTGCGGCAAATGGAGATTTCCTTTCATTTGGATTTCAACGTTGCTGAGATTTGTTGCACTGATGGGTTTGAAGATGTTGTAGTCAACGCCTTCCTGGAAGACAATCACAGAGTCCGTAGCGCACTTGGCGAAGACTCCATTGACGGTTGCAGAGTCATCAGAGGTGGTGTTTGAAGCCGGAATAACGCATCGGCGAGGTCTACTGGAAGATCCCAGTGCGAGACCGGATAATAGAGCAAAGGCAACTGTGCTGGGAAGCAACATTTTGAACTGAACTTCAATGGCTGAATGAGCTTTTCCTGTGACCCTCCGACAAGGATTGAGCTTTATATGTAGTAATTTCTGGGGGTCCTTCCTGCATCATTGAAAATGCGATCTCCAAATTGCCGGACCAAATGAGGCAAGCCTTCTCCACATTGCGGGGACAATTCCTGGGGAAGAGCTTCGTGTGGATGGACTTTCATTTCGGCGGTTGCGGGGTTGCAAAACGATTGGTGGAATTATGTACTCCAGGGTCTACGAGATTCTCTAAGGATGCAATAATTTGAGCCAGGATACAGAGACAACAAAACATAAGCAATGAAAGGACCCTAGCGCGCTCGGCAGGTAACTATCAGCCGATATGTATCGCCCGTCACGCTATAGTGCGCTTGGATCCTCGCCGGCCAGCCAGACCTGCCATCAGCCTAAATGCTCCATCACTCGCTGTAACTTAGTCCGAGTTACACAATTCGCACAAGGAGCCTGCCTGGTCCTGCTCAATTATGTGTTCCAGTATGTCTCTAGGAAGGTCATTTTTTGAACAATCATGACAGGTGACAGGCTAGAGAGCTCTATTGCTCTCTGCCGAAACGGTCTCATCCGGCGCAGATTGGCCTCTACGCCTGCGAAGGCGTCGGCTACCTCCACCTGGATTACCACGGACCCTACGCAGAGCGAGCTCCCGTGTTGGAGCATCAATATCCCACTCCAGACCAAGTTCTCTGATACTCTGACAATCACTTTCCAGAGTCAACTTAGCAAGGGACTTGCGTCGCAGACGTACGTGAATATCAGCATTATGAGCCAGTAGGAGCCGGAACTCTGCAGCTTTTTTAAGTGTGACCGCTTCGAACAAAGCCAAACTAGACTGTCTGGCATCTGCTCCCGACTTCAACAAGACCTTGGTTAGGTCTAAACTCTCCTCGCGGAGCATAGCGAGCCGAAGTGGTGTATTTGGAGGCAGTTTCCATGCCGGTCGTTTCTCTTGATGAGGTGCGGAAATGTTTGGATCTGCGCCTCGAGCTAGTAAAAACTTAACAATTCTCAATGGCCTGGGCGCCGAGAACAGTGCGCCACACAGCGGTGTACATCGTTCTCCCTTTGGTCTGAAGTTGATATCAGCGCCCTTTGACAGAAAAGCGCGGACGCGTTTTTCGTTTCCTTCTTTTGCCGCATACAGAAGCATCCACTGAATGTCAACTTTGATGGTATGATCCAGCTTCATTGGAGAATAGTTGGCCAGCTCCTGGAGAAGATAATCGGCGATAATATGACCTTGAGAAGCAGCGCTTGAAACTGGTCGTTGATGAAATCTATCATAAGCAAGTTGGTTTGCGCCGAGAGAAATAAGCATTTGCACCAGGGCGAAATGGCCATGACGGGCTGCCAGGGCGAGAGGGCTTCGTCCGTCAGCATCTTTAAAGTTGATATCAACATCCTTTTCAATGAGCTTCCGCACGAACTCTCCGTGTCCATTAGCAGCTGCATAGCAGATAGGGTGGTCACGCTTTGTGTCTACCAACATCGATCTAATCCGGTACTGTCTGCTTCTCGGAAGAACTCTACTCATACGAGCTCGATACCATGATTTCCAGTGAAGGTCCACTCCTGCACCCAGAAACCGTTCGAGTGTGCCGATAGAGCCGACTTTTGCCGCCCACGCTACTGCGGAGGGTCCGTGGTCTGTCACGTTTCCCTGATAGAGGCAGCCAACAAGCACATGATAGAGTGATGAATGTGTCTGAAGAAGCGCATTCATGTCTCTGCGTTCAAGATGAGATGCGATGAGCAGGAGAAGCTCATTGGGAAGAAACAGAATTGACATGAGTGCGGAAACGGTTGGTGTTCATGTGGAATTGGGAGGAATCCTTGCCAAATGAATGAGGGTCGCTAGCTTGGCCTAGTGGTCTTATTGCCCCCCATTGCTTTCTTAATCATCATCTTAGGGGGGTGGGGCTTGGAGAAGCACGCGGAACGAATGACTGCAGCCTTGAAGCATACCCAGAGCGGACCTTGATGTGCAAGGGGGTTATTAGGGGAGATATTAGAGACAAAATGATAAATTGAAATTTGACCAAGGAGAGTGGGGGTAGCGTACAGTACGTCCCGAAGCTGGTGCAACCACCCACACTCTTCAATTGTTTTTCTAAACTTATTACAAATTCGAACTAGTACAGTGGTGGTTCAAAAGTCTGAAACCAGGGACCAAGAAAACAGGCCGTCAAAATATACCTTGATTTTAAGTTTTTAACAGATCTTTCTGAATGTCTTTTGAACCCTCTTTCTAGATATTCCCGGCATCTGTGTTTTAACTTGTCTTTCAAAGTATAGCTGATGAGGTGGGTTTGAACTTTTTCGGGTGTTGCAAACTTATGGAACACCACTGTACGTATTAGGGGGTTTTCCGTAGCATCCTTGGCCTTTGAGTACGGAGGAGGTGCCATATGAACCTAGAGGTAGAACTGAAATTATCACATTATGTCTTCCTATTCTACCTAGAGTGTAATCATTTTTGTTATGAGACGGTAAGTAAGCCTGGGCCTTCATGCAACAGTGTTCATCGAGGAAGGCTTGAGCGGCAACATTGCGGTGATGGCGCAAATCCGGCCAACGGTGTAGCTTTTTGGATTAGACGTTCAAAATGGCGGCCGTGGACCACGGTTCGATAGTCTTTGGAAAAGATCGTTGGTTTCATTGGCAGCGTGATGGACGATGTGGTGTAGAGCCACCAGCGAAGTTGTGCCGTAATGTAAAAGAGTCTTATAATACGCGGGAGAGAAGATGTGACGAAATACTAATCGTATTATCCTAGAGCACGACTAAGACGCTTAGAAGAAGTACTAGACACAATTTAAGCTAGATATACTATTAGCTACGCCTCGGTCGGCCCTCGACGAAAAGATATTCTATAGTAATTAGACGCTTAGATAAGGGTAGACTCGCTATAAAGGCAAAGACTTCGTCGGGAATAAGTCCTGGATTTTCACAAGCTTAGAGAACCCGGACCTCGTTTTTGACGAGATACAGCTAAAGGATTATCGAAGAATTTTATATGACCCTATATTCGCGAATAGCAGAGTAAGCCGGTAGTACAAAGAAGACCCTCCGCTTTCTTATATCATGCACAAAGATTGCTTAGAAATAATAGCACCTAGGTATATGGTACCTTCGCGTCCTTGAACGTGGCCGCAGTGTGACGACATGGACGCATAGGGGAGAACCGATTTGATGATAGGAACAAATAACGCCGAATTGGGATGATAAGAGAAGGAGTTTCTTATCGGGGGACATAATAAGCACATTCCACTAGATAGCCCACCAATGGCAGTGCAAGCAGCCAAGATGTATGATGGCATTATAGCACGGGAGAAGAACAGTAGATGCTAATTCCAAAGAAGGCGAGGCATAAGCCAAAGTATGATAGGGCGGACGCTGTAGTGGAATTGCTTCTTACCTGTTATATCGTATTCGCCTTTTTCTGAGAAATTCACTCGAGCTGCAATTTTCAGATCCCATTTGATTATGGGATAGAAATATGTGAGTTTTATTGATTCTCTCCGAATCCGAGGTAAGGGTGTGAAAATAGGGCGGTGGAAATGACAGTGGTTGCATTGAGCAACTCTAGCCTAGGTGTCATGACGCGCTTGGAAATAAGAACATAAGATGACGTCTTCATTCCCACAGAGTGTCCAGAACATATGCAAAACAAACAGATAATACTTGTATCATTTCGATACCCCTCTAGCATCCACCACCACCGGCACCCGCACATCCGCTGGCGGCAGCACCACCAAGGGAGCAGACGGGATTAGTATAAGTAGTGCCTCGGCCGGAAGGACTTTTTTCACGCTTCGTGTATGATGAATGGCATTCCTGGGACATTTGAAAGTCGCGAATATAACTGTTATAATCTTGGCGTTTCTTTGGGCGGCACGGAGGATATCTCTCTTGTACAAAAGAAGACGAGCGGAAGCACATTATGGATAAGGTTGGAGCATCTGCATTGGTTTGAAAGGGCCACCAGTTTTATAAGAGAATCAAAATATTATAGATCTAATGCATAATGTCGCGTGTGGTTCCTCAAAGAAAAGATCCATTTTATCAGACTGGGGCGCGATCAGACCTTTCTAAATAGCATAGCCACCGCCTGCGCAAGTTGAGTTGGCGTTCCGTCGTGAATGCTGGCGTCATAATGTTAGTTCAGAATTACAACCTGGGGGCCGTTCATTACTAAAATTAGAAATAGGACGGAGGTATCAAGAACTAAATCCTATATTTGGCTCGCGATCTAGCAATTAGCCGAGCACATATATTATACTAGTCAGACTTCGACAAGGCCCACATTAAAAGGGCCGGCCGCCCCTCCTGCATAGCCCAAATACAAGGAATGTACTGTATGAAGCTGGATGGCATAACTATTTCTCTGAAATATGTCCGCTATTCTCGGAGCACATTTCCATATTATGTCCAAGGCGCGGAATTATATGATCAAGGTTTACCACTGGCAAGAATCCAGTGTCCGCATTTCACTACACGTTAGAGGACCCAACGAACCAGAGATTCTTCGACGACAGGGACTCTAAGCATATCTACAAACTCACCGCTAACGAACAAGTTGTGTTTTCTTGTCAGGCTTTCGCTACGGTGGGTGCATCATCCTCAACATCATCACCATCAATATCTGCACCATCTGCAACATCCACTGCGTGCCAGTATAGAGATCGGATCAAATTGTGCATTTCAACGAAATCATCAAGACGAGGGAAAAAGAAAGAGGAACCTATCTAGTCAGGGGTTTCAGGGTAAATATTCAGGGTAAACCTCTTCCTATCCAAATTTGGTTATATTGTGTTTCCCTTCGGGCCCATGCATGTAGTGTCAACCATTTCGGGTCCTGATGGCTTAATCGTCACAGCATCTGCATTATCTGCATTATCTATATCACTTGATATCCATTTGGCCACCGACGAGTCTATACCAAAAGCTGGCGATCTGCCACAGATCCCGCACGTGCTTGGTCGTGTGAACCTGCGCTCATACACATATCCGAATTTGGGATATCTTTATCCCACAGCGAAAGAGGGGGTGCGGTGCGTATTGTAGGAGACAGGTAACTGACTGGGAAGAGGAGAAAGAGAAAGAGAACCAAGGGACACCGTCGATGTCTATTATATGGTATTGTTCCCTGACTTTCTGCCTGCTCTATGTTTCGCCGCGCCCGTCCCGCGTTCGTCTTTCTGCAAGCCTCGGAGTGCGTTCTTTCGCCTGCTCCTGATTGTTGCTTGTAAAGATCAAGGATATACGCGATGTCATTGCAGACAATATGCCACAGACGTACAGCGCCTGGCGCGCACCGATAATAGGAAATATATATGTGAAACGCCAAGATGTATCAAGTCGAATCTCGCACCAATTTACAGTCAGAGAGGCAGTAGAAATTCGGGGTAAAGTACATTAATGGTGTCTTGATCAACTTCATTTGGATCTCGGAGAACGTGGATGTCTACGGCAGAGCGGATGCGGGATAAGCTATTGTAGAGTTGGCCATAGGCGAAGACAGGGATGGTGAGATCTAAAACAACGTGGTCAAGGGTGAGCCCTTGGTAGCTGTTGAAGGTGGTGGCAGAAGCTAGGCGCAGGGGAAATTGTCGCCGTTGCACCGTCCAATACGCACAGTGAGGCCAGAACTCGAATGTGATCCGAGGCTGGTAGAACGTCGGCGACTAGGTGTTTGGCGTGCCTGCTAGTTGTAGTAACTGCATCTGCACCAGATTCTGTAGCTGAAGGTTTTGTAGTGTGAAGCTTCGAGTCTGGGTTATCATACGGAGCGAGGCAGGGATCCGCCGTCCCGTGACTAGAGTCTCTCGATGTTATGCTTTGCTGATGGAGTGGTAGGCTGCGATCAATGTTTCCGGATTAAAATTGTCATCCTGTGAGTGAAGAATTCATCGTCTTTTTCTTCATCAGAACCGAGACTTGCGGAATCAAAGCCATCAACATCAGGGCCAAATGACTCAGCGGAACCGTTTACGGACCGAGACATTTTTGCATCAGCCTGGCGGTCTTCCTTGGATTGCCGTAGGAGCTCGATGTTTCTTGCAAATTCTCAGTTGTGAAATGCGAGGGCTGGCTCAACGGCTGCCCATACTTGAATGAAGGAATCCCGTTTTGTCACGTAGCGTCTGAACAGGTTAGCTAAGTGATGCCGGGGAATGAAGAGTCCTAATAATCTTCGCCATGACATTCCTGACCACGGGCGTTTTCGGATGGCCTCCTGGAATCGCGTCTCCCGTGGCCTGAAATTCAGAGCTGTCCGTTGAAAGTCACCGTGGCCAATTGAGGTGCAGAAGTCCCTCACCAGCAACTCCCTGTATAAAAGTACATGCTATCCTACTCACCGCGCTACGAAGCAACGGCCTGCCAACGCGACTCGTAACCTTCTAAGAATATTACGCAGATACAGTATAAGTCGTAACTAGGCCAATAGTAGGTAGGCAGTCTCATTTACCCTGACTCCTCACCAAAGCGACATGCAGAATAAAGAAAGCTATATATTCGTATATATACTTGTAACTTAGGAAATATAGTGAGAGACTAGATAAAAAATAGAAAATAGAATCAAAATAACCAGTGATAATGCTTGTCTGCATCTGCCAAACGTTCCTTAGTCGGCTATGTATTAAGCATCAAGAACCTATTAAAGATATAGGCGTCAGTCAACTGGTATTAAACATAGTCTCACTTTATTTTTTTTTTCAATGCCAGAAGGCTACTTGGGAAAATATTATGGCTCACTCTAAATGATTTGAATGGCAGCATGCCATCTTGGGGGTAGTCATCCTTGACAGAATAACAGCCGTGGCCATCGAAAACTACTGGGTCTTGACAGTCATTGTTGAAGGATAGCTCGACTTTAAAAGGCCCAAAAATGGGAGACCCACGAACCGAACCCATGACAGAAGGGAGCTTGTGGCATTCTGGCTCAGCTTTGGAGTTGTAATACGTAGCTGTCTGATGGGACGCCTCGCAAGAATCGTTGGAATCAAATGTGAGGTTCCACCATTGCTTAGTGGTAGCAGCCGAGGCGACACAAAGTGGAAAAAGCAGAGTATTCAAGACATGCATATTGAATGATGGTAATGGAATTCTTCGTCTGGAAACACCCCAGGAGATATTATGAGAAGAGTTGAGAGAATATGTATGAAAAAAGGCCAAATCTGGTAAGGATATTTATATTTAAGAAAATTATTGAAAAAGGTGTACCTAAGGCTACACTTCGGAGGCTTTGGGATTGCTCGTTTTATGCATACTCAGCCCGGAGGCGATCATGGAAAGACTCTATTTGCCTTGCCAATTTGGGAAAGATGATGTAGGAAAGATGACATCCTAACATTTCCAGGGGCGTTGAAGGTGGGTTTCTAGTCCCAGAGCACTATAGGAGCAACCCGGCCCCCCGCATTCGAGAAGATCCCTGCCTAAAGACGAAATTTTACTGTCCCGTTATGCTTTGATCCTTGGGCTAAAATGCTTATTCTCAATGGCTGGATCTTGGCCTAGCGAATGCGCCTTGTCGCAGACACCCCCTGGATTTCGCCTTGCCAATCGCCTACCTGTTATGACTCCGCTTACCTGAGAGGCTGACCGGTTATAAGGGATTTTTAAGGATGGGAGCCTAAGAGTAACCAATGTCTTGGGCTGAGCTGGCGGGGCCTGACCTTGCACCGCCTGAAGTCCTAAAATAGTTTGAGTCTAGTTTCTTGCCGCAAACAAGGCACTCATAGCGCATGCTATTAGAGAATGGATGGCTTCACATGTTTATTAATGGAGTGTAGCAGCCCCCCCCCCCCGCCCCCCACCCAACAGCAAAGGCCAGTCTTGCAACACTCAGCATGGCAGCCACCCAGTCACAAACACTCCTATTCATCCTTACTGCCAATAGCTGGTTTTATGATGGTGGAACAGCATTTCTTCGTTTCTTTCAAAATGGTGAAGGGGAAGTAAGTATATCGATTGGCTGTGGGTATTCAAGACATGGTGCTGAAAACATGGCTACCACTAACACAACTCTAGATCTTTGATGGTGGAGAGCTGCACTATAAATTCGCGAAGCAGTTTGAATGGAAAACTCTCAATCTCGACGCTCTCGAGAAAACAGTCCGCATTCGTCAAGACATGAGCCCGCAAACTATAGCATATCTGAGTCTCGAAATCACCCTCACAGAACGCCTCCCAGATCAAGAATGCTGGCGAAAAGCGCTAAAAGAATTCAAAAACGAGAAATATCCTTTTACGGAAGACGCTTATCGGCCGCAGACATATACCGTGCGTCTTGAAAGCGGGCGCTTCGCGTTACCTTTTATGGTTGAACACTATCACCAAACCAGGTTCCCAGGCCACGCTGAATACGCTCTTCGGCTGGGGTTTGATAAGTCTCCGTATCATCAAAAAGTTCAGGATAATTGTCCGCGGGGCCGGAAAAATTCCACGGAAGAGACTCCCTATTATCATGCGGATTACAAAGAGTTTGTAGGGCATGAAATTGAAGGTAGTGACGGTAGTAATTGGCGGATTAGCAGGTGTATTGTTAATTAGGTTGCCAAGTAGAAATTGACGAGCAGAGAGCACGAGCCATAGGGAAAGATAAACGAATACTAGAGCCTACAAGTTCCATTAACTTTAGCTCCAAGAAAAGACCCCAATGAAACCGCGGAGCCAAAACCAGGTCTTGCTCTGTATTTTTCCGAATAGTCTTTTTGTTAAAGGTTACCTTCCACACTATCGAATAGTAGAGACAAGTGTGTGAAAGCTCATAATACAACATTTCCTGCCACCAAGTCTCAATAATATGTAGAAATAAAAACAGGTTTAGAAGGCTGGCAGATCCAAGCTCTCTATTCATACTAAAATGGTTTGCATCCGGGTATTTTGGTGTTGTGGTTACGGAGTGTCCACAGCGAGTGAGGATGAAGATGTGTAGTCGACGAGGCACTCAATGAATTTGATTCGAAATTCGCGATCTCGGACTAATAGCTACCAAGGCTTAGCGACACCCCGGGGGGCGCTTACGGTGATCTTCGAGAGTGGTAAATCTTCTGCTGAAGTTAAGAAGGGACGCGCAACGACCGTAGTCCGAACTGGATCTAAAACAGAGCATAAGTTCAAGGAGCGCTATGCTAATTGATTTACAATCTATTACCTATCATCTGTTACCAAAAACGCTTGCCGCAGCCAAGGCGGCAGGCAACGCGAGCCTGGTCAAGCAAATCGTGGATGCTTGTGCAAAACAGGGGGGTCGTCGCTTTGTCGAAATAATTGTCGATAGGGGTTCAATGGATCTGTTTCAAGAAATCCTATCTTGGGGAGTCACTCTCGATCCACTTGACCCCTTTTGTTGTAAGGCCTTGTTACAAGCTACATCGAGAGGACTTACCGAAATTGTTTCATATTTCCTTCAGCATGGCTTTGACGTCAATCGCAGCTATCGCACTGAAGCTCTTGGTTGTGAATTTGATAGCGATGATGATTATGATCCTTTCGACGATTTTAATCTGTAGCATAATACTATATTGCTCATCCATTGTGCAACTCCTTGGAATCGAGACGAGCCAGGATTCGAGATGTCAAAAACTATGGAGCTCCTTCTTGATCAAGGCGCCAAGGTGGATGCAGTTGGATTAAATGCCGAACCGCCTTGGCTGAGGTTGCTAAACGAGGGGGTGATATCTCATTAGCCACACTACTTATTGGGGTGCGGATCCTTTAAAGGGAGCAAGCGGATCCCAAAGTGCTTTGGAATGGGCCATCTTGGGAAACCATCCTCGTCTGGTCGAACTCTTTTTGGAAACCATAACGACTCGAGGGCTACAGTCCAAGGGTCTGATCCCTATCGTTCTCGATTTTCTGTCTGATCCCTATAGAGAAGAGATAGACCATACGATGGAGTGGCGTTGGTTCTTCGTTGTGAAAGCGTTGAGGCAATTTTACTGACGAACAAGGGATCCTGTCCCAGATTCATAGACGTTGTATTCAGACTTGCGCAATGGAAATGAGCGACCTTGGATGGATGATTTCTATGTAGACCGTGCATTCGAAATTGCAATTTAGTTTCTATCACGAGCTTCTTTTCATTATTTGCCTTTGCAAATGCGTGGTTCCTCATATACTTCATTGTCTCCACCAGAACTACCCCGATAAGACCAAGATAAACTATGGCCCCACCGATAAGGCCAGCTTTATCGGCTCGGATGCTACCAGCCTCCGAAAGTACGTAACCCAGCTAACCTCATCTTCCTGTTGCAATTGTCTCCACATGCTGACCTCCATCTCTTCTAGAAACCACATTGAATCAATATCCAGATCATTCTAGTCACAGTCACAGTCACGTCACAATGACCACCCTCGAAGACCCCACAAACTCCACGCGCCCAACCCCAGGCATCGCCGTCGCAGATGCAGTCTTCCAAATAGGCAGCTCCATCTTCATCGCTGCACCATCCACACGGGTTTGGGAAGTCCTGACCGACACATCAACATGGCCAGAATGGAATACGTTTATCCCGCGCGCGACTATCCGCGAACAAGCAGACAGCCAGAGCTCTGATCCAGCTACACTCTCCCCACTGCTGCGCAAGGGCACCAGAGTTACTTTCCACGTCCGCATGGATTCTACCGCGACGAAGCCCCAGGCTGCGCAGGATGTGTACCTCCTCATCACTGAATATACTGCGCCAAATCCAGAGACGAAGACGCCTGGGCGAATCGTGTGGGTTGTGGATCGGGAGGCGCCGGGCGCGATGCCCCCTTCTCTGTTGAATGCGGAGCGGGTACACGAGATTACTGATGTGGAGATTGGGGAGGGCGATAATTTGATCAAGGGTACGGAGGTGCGGAATTGGGAGTTGCAGGCTGGGTGGCTGGTTTATGCTGTCAAGTGGATGTATGGAGCGAAGTTGCGACAGAACTTTGAGTTGTGGGTTAGTGATTTGAAGAAGTTTGTTGAAGGGAAGGAGAGTGGGTCGAACTAGCTTGAGCATAGGGGAGAGAGATACAATTTGAAGATATGAATGTATTCAGCGAACAACTTATGGTCTTTTATGCACTCAAGAATATTGAATCTGAATCTGAGGGGTCGTAGATAAGAAGGACTTGAAGGTCTACCCAAGTCCCGGAGAATCTAAATATATGTCAAACATTCGGCTGCCAGCTATCAGAACAGCAAACATCGAGGCAATGCTGTGAAACTTTTATCGACCGGAGATCGGCAACCCCAGAGAAAGCTGCTCCAGAATATGGCTTTCTTGGCCAAGTCTTTTGGCCGACTCCAGACCCAGTAGGAAATTCCATATCCCGATTCCCCTTTCTCATCTTCGACATATGGGCAGGGTCACTCCTCGAGAGCCTCAGACTTGGGATTCCCTTATTCAACACGCAATCACAAAGTGCATTAACAAGGACGCTGCATTGAAATGAAACAGTCAGCGGGCATTAGAACATGACTACAATCCGGAGCGATGAAGGCGCAAAAGACATACCGCGAATCTTAGACACACCAAATTCCAGGCTATTGCCACGGCAAGGTTTTGCTACTTGGATGCCTAAAGAATTCCATCATGCCGAAAGCTTTGTATTCGTAATGACTAGCTCCATGCGCAACTCGTTATACTGCGACTCAATACCACTTGTCCGGGAGAGATGTAGTGACCCCTTTCGATATGCTCCTCCCCTTCTTTGTACCACTGGCACTAGTCCCTCCAAACAAACCATAGCGAACAGTAAAGCTGTTCTATCTTGCCCTTATGTAGTGCTGCACACTAACATTTCGTGCCGTCAGGTATTCCAACCCCATGGTGAGTAGAAGGATTGCAAGCTGGCTGCAGCCAGCCACTCTTCCATCTTTCTTTGTCTCTCTGCTCCTCCAATATCCTGCGAGATTGACGCGTTCATTGACGAAATTCCCCAAGGACCATGCGTACATGATGGCATGGTAGTATGCGGGCGGATCGTGGCTAGCTGTTTTGGCGCCTCTGTGTATCGTCCATCCGATTGATGACAACTTGAAACATCTCTGATCTCTAGCACTCTCTCAGGGCCCACGTCACGATAATGGAAATCTTTTACTTGCCTGATTCGGCTCGGCCGTTCCTCACACTCTTCGAGGATGATGCAGGAGGGGGAAGGTGTCTTGGGCTTGCGGGTGTACGTTGGGTTCTGATCTTGTCTAGTACACGTAGAGACAGTTGATGACGGAGAGGACAGGAGTGGAGATTTATATAAGGGTGAGGAGTGGAGAAAGAAGCAGAGAGAGTGTAATGTAACGGGAAACGGGTGCCTTTTATAGTGGATTTTAGGCAAAGGGGGCAATCTTGATTCATTGGTTAGGAGACAAATTGGTATTACTAGCACGGTGATTGCCATTGTATACCTTACAAACATGGAGACAGGATAAGTACTCCATGGAAACAAGCATGTTTGCGGGTAGGCAGTCCGCTAAATTTACAGTACTTGAGAGACCCATCCAGGCATAATCTACTTCTACTCAAAACCAAAAAAGCGAATTTGATTTCCAAATTTGATATATGTCAATTCATGAGAAAATGCATATTTGCAAGATGATCTATATCCAAAGTTGCAATCACGAGATATTTTCTCGACAACTCCATCTAGATTTCCGGGTATCTTATATATGCCAAGCGAGAGAATGGCCAAAACAAAACAAATGCTCCCAAAATGCAACTGTATCATGCCAAAGAAAGTGCAAGAAAAGGAAAGAAAAGAAAAGAGAAAATGTAAAAAGAAAAAGATGCCAAAAGAGAATGCAGTAAAAGGAACAATCAACGAATGTATGTTGTACAACATCGCAACATATCACACTAGAAACGGGTGAAATAAAGCAATGAATAGAAAGGTAAATACGGAAATGACCTCACAAAGAAGCCAAACCCATCCAGTCCCGAGTCAAAATGCGCTGCGCCGGATCCTTGACAACGGCCGGCTGAACGAGTTTCTCGACAAAGCCATTCCGCGGCACGCGACAGCCATTCGAACCAGCACGAGTAAACTCTAGAATTCGATGACCGTCCCGCGCCATGGCGAGACGTTGCATGTTGTTTGAGCCCGGGTAGAGAAGGAGATCCCCCGTTGCAGCGGCTATCAGGGTAGCCGCGAGGGAAAACACGTCGGACGATGGCGTTGGTGCAACGTCGCCGGATTTAATTGATGCGAGTGACAACAGTTCTGGTGCTGTGAAAGGGGGCGTGAATGCTGACATGGCGGCTTGATTCGTTTCCAGTCCTGGTGGACCGTCTTTTGGGATCTCAAAGGCGGAAGAGAAATCTGCCAGGAGTGGTTCATAGGGGAAAGCGCTGGCCTCGGCGGCAGGCTTGTCGGTGGGAATTTGACGGAGCAGGATATTGTGGGGCTTGATATCTCCATGGATAATCCCTGCCGTATCGTGCAGCCAGGTTAGACTGGTTATCAATTTGCGGGCCATGTCGCGCCAGGACTCGGGTCCTTGGACGGGATCAAACATTGTCGCCGTTGAAGGCTGTCTCTTGCGCAGATCGGCCTGGTCTTCGATGTAGGTAGATAATGATAATGGCACGGCGGACATGACCAGCGCAATGGAGTCGGACATAAACCCGTGGAAGGGGACGATGTGTCGTTCAAAGCCCGGAGTGAGATTGAGTCGGGTTAAGGTTAGAGCTTCGCTTTGTAGAACCTTGCGCGCATCACGGCGCAATGGCGCTTTCACAGCTAACACGCGAGTAATCGTGACCGGCGAACTGGGCGGAGTGTGGAGGGAACAGGTTGCAGCGTTGGTGCTTGAGCGCGCCTTGTATACTATACTCCAAGCGCCGCGACCAAACTCGACAGGGCGATCCTCGTCATCGCGACAGATTTCGAGCTCGTCCGTGAAGCCCAGTGGAGTGCTGATATTTCTCTTCACTTGCGCGGCTGTTTGCTCGGGGCTTCTCTCGTCTCGAGGACTTGGAATCGCGCGTTCGGCGTCGGCGGCTTCCTTCGCTATTGGGGTAACCGGGGGCGTCAGAGCCGAGGCCGATGTTGGAGTCTGCAGTGTGATGCCCTTTCCATCCTGCGCCGTACTAACCGACAAACGCAATGGCAAAGTCGTGGGAGTCATCACCGCGATGGGTGTAAAATGATTGCAGTCGCAGTTGCGATCGCAGTGGCAAGGCTGGCGGCTGCTTATTCCGACGGGCGTAAGCCGACGTAGTAATCGACAGATCCGATGTAGATATGACTCCGTAGATAAGTGATGGCCGAGTCACCCGAAAAAGCAAGTTAATTGCACTGGACCCTGCGATTCGCACGAGATAACACGTAGCGCGCAGAAGATAATGAAAAGAATAGATGTGACACACACTGCGCAACTGGACGCAGGTGTACTTAATTCAAGCCGATAGCAACGCCACCGGAGAAGCAAAAAAACGGAACCCGGCGCGTGTCTATTGCCTTCTCACCATCCACGGATTAGGGCTCGGGTATGACGTGGGGCAAAGCAGCGAGTTCGAACTGGGGAAAAACTCGGGGAACTCGGGATTCTTCGAAGACGAATTGGGGATTATATGAGCATCATGAAGAGGGGCAGCGTTCAAGAGGAAACAAAGAGGATCAAAAAGAGGAGGGAGAGGTCAAAGTGATGAAAGGTCGTGGCGGCGCGTCGCATTCAATGCTGGGTGTGATGGGGAGCAGAGGACTCAGGACTCAAGATGAGTGGGCGCAAGGACCGCCTGGGATTATCAAAGAGAAATACGAGAAAGAAATGGGAGACAAGTTCATGATTATTTCTATCAGGAGTAGGGTAAAACGGGCAAAGAGCAGAACCGCGTCTGGGGTCCGAGAAAGAAAAGAAACCCCGAAAAACAGTCGATCAAATCATGAATGATTCGAAACCCACTGGGATGGGGCGATTGCCCGGTCTGGACCAGCTGGGAAATGACAGCGTGACGAGCCAAACCGAAGAATCGGGACGATCGCTGTCAAACGAACGGTGATAGTCGAGGTTAACCGGGTTACTCCAGTGGTTAACAACAGTGGTTAACTACAGTAGTTACCTAGTGATAACTACTACTGTACTATGTCAAGGGGATGGTTACCACGCCTTGATACGACGGTAGTAACCGTGGGTTGTGGAAAAGGGAAATGAGGAAATGAGGAAATTACCGGACCAGCTGGGTGGTTCGTGTTGATCGATTGGCTTTGGGTTGGAAAACTGAACTTTACAGCCCTTTTTTTTTCTGGTTCTGGTTCTGGTTCTGGTTCGCCGGGTAAAATGAGTCAGTGAGAGGTTTGATTAGTTCTTGTTTTTGACCGTTTTTATCGTTTGTTTGTTCTTTTCATTATTCTTGCCGAGTCTGGATATTGGGTCTATATTTTCCCTGCTGTTCATGGCTTCCATCCATGTACTCCTTCCATTTACATTGTTCTCGAATCATGTACCCCAAAACGAGGCGTTGATCTAATGAATGGGAGGGTTGCGCCATGCGGCTCCACCGCATGCGTCTCTAACGGCTATTCTGGGGAATTCCAGCCACACTAAACAGAAGTTGAACGACAGACGGAAAAGATAATCCGACGGGACTGTAGTCGAAACTTACACTCGAAACGTACCGTACGGACAATCCCAAAGTATAATTGTGAACCACGCGGGTTCTTGCAGGATGTGCCGGGCCCGCCCTTGTCCCTGGGACCAATCGTTCGGCCTCGTGCAGCCCCGGCTCTGGTTGATAAGGGAAAAGGGTTGGTCCATGCTTTTTCGGGCGACAACGGGAGTCTGCAGTCTCTGGACAACTTTCTTGATTTCTCTGCAGGATCAATACCGGAAGTTAGGGGGACTTTGGGAGAATAGGATGGATGAAAAATGGTCGCGGTAGACGCTGACCAGTGACGTAGTATACACTGGAAAAACAGAACGGGCTAATCGTACAAGAGTCTAGTGACTAGTCTACAGTATAAAAGTACATGGTGGCGGAGATGGATGGAGACACGCGCGAGAGGACGAGCCTATGTGCAGGCTGGAAACCCAGAAACCCAGAAATCCGGGGTTTTAGTGCATGCGTTTCGGCACCACCATCAGATTGCGTCCGGCTCGGAACGAGGTCAGCGTGCCTCCGATCATGCGGCTGAATTGGATGGCAGTGATGCCCGGCGCGTGCTTCTGGTACTCCAGCAGGATATCCCACATCACTCCGCTGGGGATGCACCGGAGACGGATATCGCTGACATCGTAGTCGAGGTTCTCCTGGAAACAGGTATTCGAGTCCACAGTCGGATCGGCCAGTGGCACGGGCCCGTGGCCGGACTTGAGACGCTTCCTCACAAAGGGCGCGAGCGCAGGGACGGCCTTGATAATGTCATTCGTGGGACGGTCCAGGAACAAAATCTTAAACAGTTCGCCGACCGTGATGTGATTGCGGGGGCCAAACACGGACGACAAAGCCTCGAAAAGGCCCTCAATATGTTGCCGCTGCTCTCTCGATAAATGGCGGATCTTTTGAAGAAACTCGGGATTGGCGTCGGGTTCGAAGTACACGATGGTGCGTGGCTCGCGGGGGAATAGTTCGAATTTATCAATGAGCATTGGCTCCGATGGTCGTCGATCAAACAGCAGGACCGAGTCGTCAAAGTTGTCCGACGCATTCATCGTGCGGAAGTCATCCACAAGGCGATCCCAGCTTTTATACAGACGATGATGCAGGCTTGCGATTTCTTCGGCCAATGCATCCATTCGGGCGCCAACGTTGGCATCAAGCTGCTCAAGTTCCTCCGCCGTCTTATTCGGGTCTGCGGCTGCTCGGGACAGAATCTGTGACGCCTGGTCGATCCCAACCGCAGAACGGGCCAGCTCGTGTCGACTGTGCGCAATCGCATTCTCCTTGTGGAGAGCAGTTTGCGCTCTTTGTCGCGCGGTCTTCGCTTTCGATTTCCCGATAGGAATTTCAGGATCCTCTCGATCCCCGGCATCCATCTCGTCCAGGAGGGTTTGGTGTCGCACGGTGAAGATCCGAGGGCAATGAGGCACGTCGGATCTTTCGCGCTTAAGGGACACTGGAGCGACTTTCACGGGTGGAGGCTCGCGGCCAGCTGGAATGATAACATTCTGCGCAGCAGCTCTTTCGGCGACTCGCTCCCGGCCTTTCAGCGTCACTTCCAATGGTTTGATGGTCACCCAGGAGTCCTCTTCCTCGTAGCAGCCGGCTACTTCAAAGGCATGCGCCGCGATGGTCTCTGTCAAAAGGGCAGGCCGTCTGCGTTCGGCCACTGTCCGGGGAGGATACCTTCCACCTCTCCCGGTGGAAGGGATGCCAGGATTCGGACACTGCCGTATTTATGTACACCTCTCTGCTGCATACAGCTTTCCATCATTGCGCTCCACCACCGCTGCGGCGTATAGTGGTCTGCTTTCTGAGCCGGGACGGGCGGACTGGCCAGGATAAGGAGGGTATCATTCCTGGGGAGCGATTGACCGTCGACTTGTTTCTGATAAGAGCTCGGTTGCTCTGGGAGGTGTTCTTCAAACACATCCGACCAGTCTCGACGAGTGTAGATTTCCTCGGATATCAATTTATAACTGGGATCGCTGTCCACGAGTCGCTGTAGCCAAGGTTCAAAGGAAGGCAGTTCGGGCTCGACAAGAAGATGGCGACGAGGGCGGAGGTAATTGTGTATCGTTGAGGAAAGAACACCAGCATTGGGCCAAAGGTCAAGGATGTCGATGGGTGAGGTTTTACTCAGGTAAGGAGATACTCGTTGGAGGACATCAGCTGCGCGACAGACACGAGTCAGTGTATAAACTTTGGTCGCTAGTGAATGGCTCACAGTGAAGCTTCATACACACCACAGAGTTTGTCGCTCACAACGCTGGCCTGGAGAATGGTCCGTCGTTTAAGTTTCTTCAACACATGCGAGTTGAGAGCTTTTGTGATCGGGTATTGCTCTACTGGCAGCCACCGCTGCGCAAGTAGCTTCTTGGGTATAGACATGGTCCCAAATATAGACAGCTAGCGTAGCCGTCATGAAATGCACGTCGGAAAGTAAGTTTCACAAGCGTCAGCCATGGTTGGCTGTGGGGGTTGGAGTTGCGAAAGATTGAGACTTGCGCCGCGATTTTTTTTTGAGTCTGAGATTCTTGGGGAAGCGGAGAGACCTTGCGGGTTCCGCAGTCATCCCACCTCCACCTCCCTCGCCATCAACCCACCAAGCTTTCGCGTCTGCCTGCTACATATTCAAAACTGTGCCGCCTGTATGCGACATCTTTCTAAGCAATAGCAGCCTGGTGTATGTACCAGGTGTTGGAGCTATCCTCACTTTGTCCACGTCAACCATGCCCATTCGGACTCGTCATGCGTGAAGAGGGGTCGCGATCTTGAACATTCACTTCCTCTACCATCAACTCCGACTTCTTCAACCCCGGATCCTCGCTCATGGCGTCCCAAGTAAAGCCCCCCACCACTGGGGGGAGTCCTCCGCAGAGCGTGGAGAAGATCACTCGAATTGCCCAAGACTATCCATACAACCCTGCCATCGCACTACGATACTGGCTGCGGACTGCTTCCACCCTGATGCGAGAGGTTCGAAGCTCCTATGCAGATCACGCTTTACACGTTGAAGCAATGCTCTAACCTCCCCTCAAACTTATAGGCTCAAATCTACGAACGCGAGGGACACGACGAGCAAGCCTACCTCCTCCTCTTCCGACATGCCCAGTTGGTCCTGGTACACCTATCAAAGCATCCCGATGCCCAGAAAGATGACAAAGATCGACAGGCCTTGGTTAAAGCTGAGAAAGAAGTCGAGAAAAATCTCACCAAGTTGGAAGCCCTCAAACCGCGGATAAACAAGCGCTACGAACGGTACACGCAGCTCCTGCGAGAACGTCAGTCCAGGAAGCTGTCCTCAGAGTCGAGCGTACTGCCTGAGCCGAGCGAGCGAGTCACTGATCCCGCCTTGACTGGAGTTGCCGAACCGTTGGAAGCAGGCGAAAATCGCGATCTTGCGGTTCGGCTGGCGCACTCGGAGCTCAACCGAAGAGCGACCATTCGGAGTCGTCGTGCGGCTGGGGATTGGGGCGACTGGGAGAATGCCTATAAAACGGAGCCCCGGTCTGCTGATCAGGACTTGAGCCAGCGGATTCAAAACATCAGAAATAACCTAGATAATAAGGGTTCCATCAGCCAGTCGCACCGTCGACAGCAATCGACTCCGCGTGACTTATCCACTAGTTCGGAGTCGACATACAACTACCCCAGCGTACCGCGGCAGAAGGCGTTGGAGCCCATCATTTCCACTCCACAGATTGCTATTCGAGATAACAATGCCGAACGCCGTGCGCCTCCAATATTGCCGCCAAAACAACGTATTGAGCCAAGTCAGGCTTTGCTTGTTGACGGTGCGATAGCATCAAAGCTTCCGCCCATCCCATCAAAAGTTTCCCAGGGGCCTCAGTTGCCTGAGAAAGTTCGATCCTCTGAGGATACGATATCTGCGAAACCAGATCTGGACCCCGCCAGTTACACATTCAAGCCATCTGCCTACTTGGAAAATGGCACTCCTTTGCGCTCAGTATTCCTTCCCGCCAGTTTGCGTGCCCGGTTCCTTTCCCTGGCAGCATCGAACACTAAGAACAATCTTGAAACCTGTGGTATTCTGTGTGGTACTCTAGTTTCCAATGCACTGTTCATCTCGCGACTCGTCATCCCAGAACAGATCGCGACGTCTGACACTTGCGAGACCACAAACGAGTCCGCCTTGTTCGACTACTGCGACTCGGAAGATTTGATCATGCTAGGCTGGATCCATACCCATCCCACCCAGACATGCTTCATGAGCTCGCGCGATCTCCACACTCACTCTGGCTACCAGGTTATGCTCCCCGAAAGCATTGCCATTGTCTGCGCGCCTAGCAAGAACCCAGATTGGGGCGTTTTTCGTCTGACCGATCCTCCGGGTCTAAAGACGGTTCTGAACTGTACTCAGAAGGGCCTCTTCCACCCTCATGCAGAGGAGAATATCTACACGGGAGCTTTGCGACCAGGCCACGTCTTCGAAGTCAATGGACTGGAGTATGAAACTGTGGATTTACGTCCGAAGGGGCAACGGAATTGATTTACTTATGAATAGTCTATGTTATTCAATTGCATATGATACCCAATTTCGATCCTGCTATTTTCTGACCTGGTGATGTATCCATGTCGATATTCATTCTGTGTCGTCGGGTCTGCTACTCCTGGGGTTGATGCGAGTGTGCGTTCTTGACCGCGGTTCGTCTCTTCGACGCAGACCCTGAACTATCCTGCGCCTTGTTGGACGTAGTCGGCGAACGGCGTCTTTCCTGCTTATTACGGGTTGTCCGCGGATTCGTCTGCGTAATCATGTCTCAGTCACCTGTGATGGTACATCGGGATAGATAGAATATCACATACCATAGATTCATCAAAATCGGCGCCATCGTACTTGTGGCCATGCGAACGTCCTTTGCGCCCGACTTGGGTGATTTCCTCGACTGAATAGTCGCTGGCGATGCTGGTATTAACCATGATTTGTAGTTAATATGCAAATTCGATCGCAATCGTGATATGAGGTAAGTGACAGTCGAATTGAAGATCCAACTGCGATACAGCCCAGTGGTCGTGCAGATGTCTCGTGCGTTTTATACTACTCCCGTCCTCGATCCGCCACAGTTTCGTCATCCGCTTCCAAGAGGCAAAGGCGGGGCGAGAGTCCGTGTCAATTGAAAAAGAGATCCTCTTCGGCTTTGGGATTGAAACACAATAGCACAATAATTGACGTGGAAATAGAAATATGGCTGGTGTTGACCTAGAATGGCCAGATCAGCGTCGACTACGTGGCTTCCGAGCTCCCATCGTGGAGTTGTGGAATTCTCCTAGCGTTGTGCGACATGATCTCGCTAACCACTTCCATTTATTGTTTTCTAGGTATGATGCATCTGAACAGTCTACAAATAAGCAGTACAATGGCAGAAATCAAGCTTCGTAATCGCATCTGGCGCTGGCAGACCCCCCACATGATAAGTGACAAGTTGGCTTCGGTCTCATTTTTGACTTCGGCCCCATAGTTACCTCCGCTATCTACCTTCAACCTTCAACATTCCAGCTCCATCGCGTGCCTCAACACCCTCCGACCTTCTTCCGTCCGCAATCCTCATACAGTGTGTCCTCCAGCCATTCATTCCAATTGCCTGCATGTCGTCCTCATCACAAGGAGACCTCCCCTCCAATCCCCCCTCCACCACCACTACAACGTCCAGCTCCAGCTCCACCTCAAGGTCCGGCTCTCACACACCCAAGCAAAGCTCAGACGCCTCTTCCTACAGCCAATACTTCTCCTACCCAGTCAGCCACGTCGTCTCAGGTCTCTACCGGCGCCTGACAGACCCCAACATCCCTACTACCGCCATGCCCTCCGCCCTCCCCTGGTCGACCTCATCCTCCTCGTCCGAAGTATTCACGCCGCGCCGAACAGCCTCGCCTTTCCAACCTCCACCCCTCACACCCCTCACTCTCACAATCCCCCGAGGCGCAGACCTCCTTCAACAACAGCTCCTGACACGCGCACTCGGCGAGGAAATCCGCCTCCTGGTACCAGCCCGCCTCCAACTCGTCGACACCTGGCGTCTCGCCTACAGCCTCGATCGCGACGGCGCCTCCCTCTCCACCCTCTACGACCACTGCCAGCAATTCTCTCACCGCAGCCCGCGGGCGGGCTACGTCCTCGCCGTCCGCGACTCGTCTCCCTCCGGCGCCGTATTCGGCGCTTACATGACAGACGCGCCGCACCCAAACTCACAATTCTTCGGCACAGGCGAGTGCTTCCTCTGGCGCGCGAGCGTGCTACCACCTCCCGCAAGCCTGGGCCTTGCATTCTCAGGTGATGGTCCGCAGTCTGAGGAAGCGCTTGAGCGCGCGGGCCTGCCGCCCCCGCCTTCGGCGGATACTACCCACGCTGGACGTTGGAGTACTTTCCGCAGTGACTCGCGGTCCAAGGTGAAGAGGGAGGCTTCGCCGGCCCTTAATTTGAATATGAATATCAAGTCTAGTCTGGCTGCGGCTAGTGGCGGTGCGCTGGCGCCTCCGTCGCCTCCGTCGATTGATACCCCTTCACGCAGTGGGGCTAGTACGCCGGAGCGCATTCGTTTCAAGGCATTCCCGTATAGTGGGGTGAATGATTATATGATGTTTTGTGAGACTGGATTCTTGAGTCTTGGTGGCGGGTAAGCATTTTCTTGTATTGGGGGTTTGGATTGGCTCCTAAGCTGACCACTATTCCAGGGATGGACATTACGGTCTTTGGGTGGATTCTGGCCTTGAGAAGGGAGTTAGCGCGCATTGTCAGACATTCGGCAATGAACCTCTCTCCGATGAAGGGGAGAAGTTTGACGTCCTCGGTGTCGAGGTTTGGTATGTCGGATCTTAATCGAATCCACATGCTGCCCGGGAAATCAGCTATTCTCGATTACACTTGTGCGGGAATTTTGAAAGTATAAAATGAGTATATAAGCTGTGAACTGGGGATCCCAAGGAAAATAAAAGCGAAGGATGCCCGGTACACGAATCATCGTGGCCTGTTCGAGGGGAATCTCGTTTCTTTCCTGTTTTGTGGGCACTTCTTGTTAAGATTGCATTTCTTGTCAAATACCCGCTTAGCGATGCAACGACGAATAGTCAAGTTGTTTGACTCGACCCATCCCCCATGTTCTTCAATGCCGGGCCATCATTCGATTGACAATGTCGTGTTTACGCCCTACATTTCCTGGATGCCTAATATGATGCTCCAGTACTTAAGGCAAACCTGAATTATATACTGGACAATGCCCTCACTAGGCCTTCTAAAAACCAGAACCGTGGCTGCAGCGGTGTTTTAGTCGAGATACTATCCTAGCTTATCATTTGAAGCTCAAGCTACTATTTCCTAGGATTTGCATACATTCATTCTGCGAATTCATCCCTCTTCTAAAGTCTGGACTTGGTTGGAGAACCTCCACTGAAAGCATCCAAGAAACGATCCACTTCCTGAAGGAGCCGATCAATCGAGGCCTCGGTATGCATGAGATTCAAAGACAAAAAGCCACGCCTTCCAATAGCAATTCCATGATGGAGTAACGTGAAGTAGAGGCAATCAAGCAATGCACTAGCCTCACTACCAGTAAAATGAATGCCAATCGCACTACCGTATCCAGTAAAAGACATGCAATCGAACCGAGCATTCTGAATCAGAATATTAGCTTGTTCACGGAACCTATCACCAAGCCGATTCAACCGCTCTAGTTCCATGGGGGTAATCAACTTCGCTGCAGCGACAGCAGCAGTCATAGTGAAGATATTGTTGTTAAAAGTTCCGGAATGATGAATAGAGACAGTCTGGTCGGGTGAATCAAACCGATCCATGATCTTGGAGGATCCCCCAAACGCCCCGAAGGGAAATCCTCCTCCGATGTACTTTCCCACTGTGGTCATATCAGGCTTGATATTCATTGCTCCCTGGATACCGTGGTAGTGTAACCGGGACGTGACAACTTCGTCGAAGATTAAAACTGCTCCTATGGATGTTGCTGCTTCTCGGAGGAACCGTAGAAACTCGGGGTTTGCGAGGCGCATTCCACCTGCGGCTTGTAGTGGTTCAACTAAGATAGCGGCAATCTCGGTTGTCAGGAGAGGTCGAGATTCTTCAATGTTGTTGTACGTTGCAATGACGAATTCGTGGGGCAGATTCATTGCGTTTCCTGCTGGCCCAAAATTGATTGTTCCCCCATGATATCCGTTGTCAAAGACAACGATCTATACCAGGTGACAGGATTAGCGATTCTTCTATAAAGTTTTAACAGAGAGGATTTTCTCCAACCTTCTTCCGTTGCGTATACGCCACCGCCGTAGCAAGCGCAAATGTATTCGCTTCCGTGCCAGAATTACAGAAACGGACTTTCTCAAACGAGGGAAACCTCGTCGTCAAGATCTCAGCCAACTCGGTTTCTTTCTGCGTAATTCCTCCAAGGCTGAAGCCCGTCGCCAGGGCTTCCTGAACGGCGTGATGGACCACCGGGTGGGAATGTCCGTATATGCCAGCCGAGAAGTCGGAGACAAAGTCTTCAAATGTTGTGCCATCGATCGTGGTGAAATGGGCGCCTTGAGCAGATTTGATTACCAGTGGGAATGGCTCAGAGACAAGCACAGATCGAGTGCTCCCCGCTGGTAAGACATTCTTAGCTTTGTTGTAGGCCGCCTTGGAGCGGGGATGGGTACGCTCGTATTCATTCACGAGGGCGTTGAGCTTTTGGTTGACTGTCATCTTGTGCGGCGATGGGTTGGCTATGTTGAGGAGAGTGCTTCTGGTAGTTGAGTGATGAGAGGGGCCGTCGCCTTTGATGATATTGAGGTAAAGTTTCAAGAAGTTTGCCGAGAAAAGAGTTGACTTATGAACGCTGTAAAAAGAGGGGGTCTTATCGTATGTTGGTGGAACAGTACTTTTGGGAGTGGAGAAGCGCAACTATCCGTCGGCGCTTTTCGATGTTGTTGGATCCCACCCATAAAGTTTAGACCATCTAGTTGGCAATCTCGCAACCTGCAGGGTGTTGTGGAAGGATATATGCCACTTCGTGCTGTAAAAGCTAATTCCACAATTCTGGGGCTCGGGTAAAAGACGTAAACTAGAAATTCCCAAGTGATTCTAGCGCCATACAAAAATAATCTTCCATATCGGTGCTACAGTATGGATTACAGCTTCGCCTGGGGAATGACAACCTTTTCCACCTCCGCAAATTGATAATAAAAGTCAAGGCTTTCCGGGTTAAGAAGGGTACCAGACGGTTTGATCTTCTTACCAGACACTATCTGCTTCACAGGAAGCTCGACCCTTTTCAAGTTTACCGTAACCTAGGGGGAGGTTGTTAGTTCCACAAAACTTACCAAGGCTCAGTATTGTGAATAATACGTACCGGGATATCAGGGGTTTCAAAGATGTACTTGGGGACATGGCGTGCACTAAGAGACTTGCGGATGGCATCTTTGACTCGGACTATGAGTTGCTGATTAACCTTGAAGCCTGGTCGCATGAGAAGGAACAAGATGACTGATTCATCTGAATCTTTGGGCCGACGTTGTCCAACACAGACCGAATCAACAATCTCTTTGGTGAATTGGGTTTCGATAACGTTGTAGATCTCTGCAGATCCAAACCGAACACCAGAAGGATTCAAGACACCATCAGATCGCCCTAGGAAAAGAATTTGGCGTGAATTGGGATTGATTGCGATGAAGTCACCCTGCGTCCAGACATCTACGAAGACCTCGAGTCAGTCACAGCACATAGCAGAGGTGCCGATAGAGAAATTAAGATATCGCTTACTGTCATAACGTGCAAAGTACGCATTGAAGTACTTCTTGCCTCCTTCATCGCTCCAGAACTTGACAGGCATGTTTGGGAATGGAGCAGTCACAACAATTTCGCCCGGTTCGCCTGGTGCGGCTTCTGAACCCTTTGCTTGGCTCGTGTCTTCGTCAATCTGCTCATAGGCTGCGATGGGCATGCCTAGACTTGGGCCTTGGCATCCACCCACATATAGTGGCGAGATGGGATTCTCCAAGCCCAAGCATGAAGCCAAATCTGTTCCTCCTGATATATTGGCAAGGAGAGTGTGAGGTTCAAACCCTTCGTCGTAGAACCACTCGAAGAGTGACTCAGAGAGGACCATGCCGGTGCTAGTGACCCCCTTTATTCTATGAAGGTCTGCAATATTTCGGGGGCTGAGTTTGTTCTTTCTCATTTCGTGCATCCAGCGAGGGGATGTACCAAAGTGTGTGACCCTGTACCGCTTTATTAGAATAATTGCAATCAAGATAGGAGCTAGGGTAATAAAATAAAGGCAGAAATTGCTCGGATATACTCACTTATGTTTTTCAAGGAGCTTCACCAAGATTGTCGGGTCTGGCTGGAATGGACTTCCGTCGTATAGTATGGGCCTCGCACCAAAGAGGAGAGCCAAGACACAAGAGTTATACATGATCCATCCGGTAGTAGTATATTGTAGGATAATAGCATCCGCATTCATACTTCTGTTAAGACGACCCTCTTTGTTGCTGTTCATCAACACTCCTCCGACACAGTGAACAATGCATTTAGGCTCTCCAGTAGTACCGGACGAGAAAGCAATCAGGAACGGGTCCCTGAATCGAACGCGAACAAATTCTAACTCGTCGGATGAAGCTCCAGAAAGGAAGTTTGCCAGAGTACGGGTCCGTGGAATGTGTGAGATGTCCGCTGGTCGATCTCTGAACCGGGGAACAGAAATGACGCCCTGGAATTCCGGAATGATAGCCATACCCTCGACGACTTGTGCGATCTTAGGGCGAAGATCGACAGTTTTGCCGTTGTATACTGCAAAATCATCCATGAACACCCATCGAGGCTGGATTTGTCGGATGCGATCTAGTATACCCTTGACACCGGTATCCGTGGATGCAGACGAGAATATGGCCCCAAGTGCAGCTGTTGCTAGCACCACCGTGAGTGTATCAATGCTGTTACTAGCAACCACTGCGACTCGATCCCCTCGCTGGACACCGGCCGCTTTCATAGCTTGCGACCATCGGCCAGTACGTTGACGTAGCTCTCGCCAGGTCAAATTCACGTTTGGCTCTTGATCACCCTCTCGGACCTCGGTCACAGCGATCTTATTATCTTCTTTCCCAACTGTCGTCACAGTTGACGGTGTTTCGCCAGGAGCAGCCACAGTAAACAACAGGTTCTCGGCGTAATTGAGGCGGACTCCAGGGAACCAGTCAGGAATACTGTCGATTCGAGCGCTTTCATCCGTAACTCGATCGTATGTTCCCTCGTGGATGATGGGGAAGTACTTCCAGCAGAAATCCCAGAATTCGATACGGTTTTTAATGGACCATTGATACATCGAGTGATAGTCTGGCAGGGCCACACCTTTGTCTTTCTCGAGACTTCTCTTAAATGCTGCCATCTGGGTTGATTCGGGATCAGGGTGTTCCCAGAGCTTTCGTGGAAGCATTGAATGAGTAGACATTATGGCGGCCACTAGGGTTGGATCTCAAAGATCTATATGGTGTGAGGATATCTAGGCAGGAATTTGAGCAAGTCTCTGACCATTGGACTTTCCAAATTAAAAAGAGGAACAGCACGAATTATCGTTTCGTGCCTCATACTTAATGAGCTTGGTGTTTCGACCGCGGTCTAAGCTCGGGTAAACAGCTGGTAGGTAAATGCGGGGTTTGAATGCGAACCAGCCTACTGCTGTTCCGGACAGACCTCGGCGATCTAACAAAAGTACGTGATCCAATCCTATAGAACCGGTTCTCTGAGAGGCTGTGTACACGTTTCACTTGGCCAATCCTCAATAAGGAAGCAAAATTATCCAAGATGGGCGGTGTAGATCTTTCTACCTTTGATCCATCGTCACCTCTTTCAAGACAATATCCTTTCAGAGAGGTTAGGTATACTAGTCCCGAATTAATAGCCGCAGAAGAAATAATTCATCAATTCACTGTTTCACTATCTTACACAACTGCTGTTTCTTGCACGGTGGTGTTGCCAAACGCCCCTCGAGATAGTACACAAGGTCCTGAACTTTAATGCCAGTAATTTGGCACAGTACCTCTCACCAATGACCAGGCCTCCACCACGGCCTCAACAACTTCTTCAGGAAGCGGTCCCTTCTCCAGATCTTCCAGGTTAGAATCAAGATGGCTGACTCGACTTGCACCCACAATGATCGCATCGCCCAAATCTTGGCTCAGCTTCGAGTGATACTTCAGCCATCTCAGTGCAATCTCGGCATCGGTCAAAGCATGCTTCGTTGCAGTTGAGTGAATAGTTTCAAGTGCGTCAAAGTAGGCGTCATTCCAATAACGACCTCGAGCAACAGTTCCAGATAGGAGTTTCGGGTCAAAGCGAGAACCTTCTTCAAATTCCGTCTGATCTCTCTTATAACGTCCAGTGAGGAGTCCTCCCGCAAGAGGTTGGAAAGCGTAGAGTGAAATTCCGTATTTGCGAAGACAGGGAATGAGTTCGCCCTCAATGCTGCGCTGGAGGACATGATAGACTCCCTGGTAGACGGTCGGCATGACCCATTCGTTCTTTATGCAGATCTCGCATATTTGGGCTACCTCCCAGGCCATATAGTTGCTCAATCCCAGGCGAGAGAAATGACCCTGTTGGTATAGTTTGTTGACTTCGCGCAAGGTATCCTCAAAAGGTGTATTGCGGTCAGGTGCATGAAGGTAGAAGATATCGACTTTTTCTGTTTGTAGCGCTTTCAAGCTATTCATCAATCCGCGTCGAATGTCTTCGGGCTTGTGGGTATATCCATCCTCAAAGGCAGCGAAGCCTCCGGCGTTTGGGTACAGTTTTGTGTCCACGACGAGACCACGATCTTTCCATGCGAGGTTAGCGATCATCTCCTCGGAGGATCCGCCGCCATAGATCCGGGCTGTATCTATCTCGTTGTGACCATGGCGTTGGAATAGATCTAGGATCTCGGTGGCTGTAGCTATATCATGGACGCGAGAGCCGAGGGTGTCTTCACGGAGTTAGTCATTGTTATAATCTAGGCAGAATAATGTGATTGTACGAGACATACTCGGCTTTCCAAATGACATTGCCCCGAAAACAATCTTCATTTTCTCGTTGCTCGCCATTGTGATGGTATTGAATGCCAAAATCGGACTTCGAATTTGATGTTTCTACTGTGGTGATGGAGATTCGTATTTATACTTGCAAGTTTAGCGCAGCTGAAGTCGCCTGGAAAGTCCCATGCATGCTGCGCTCCGGGAGAGTTATTTCCGAGCCTAAACGCCGATCCATGGCTGACGGGTCTCCGCCTAACATCCCGCGAATGAGGATAAAGTCCGTGCTAACCGCCGAATCATGCTGGTGTAAAAGCACCAGGGCTGAGGAAGAGGCAACAAATTTTCATGTTATGCATTGCAGGTCGGGGCAGTTTAGACTAACTCCGCTGAGTGAGCAGAATAGGCTTCGCGCCGTTGATGACAGCATTTTATAAATCAGATCCAGCCACAAGGAATGATCTCGTAAACAGTGTTAAAATCGCCAAGACGTATTGTGAATATTAACTTATCCTGTGACATTTTTAAGGGTGAGAACAATATTCTATTTAACTATTCCATTTAGAGAGTGTAGAAGTACCTAGCTACCTACCTACGTATGAAATACAAGCCTGCAAGAAGGAGCAAAAGAGTATAACTGCGTAATGAAAGACTGAAGGCACTGCCAGCACAATCCTTCCTCGATCTGAAGAGATATCACAGAGGAAGTAGATAGAGAAGTAAGTAAAAAAAAGAAAGCAACAACAACAGGGGGTATGGGTAATGGTACAAAATCAAGAAAATCAAAAGAAATGAGATCCAAGGAAGGAGAAGAAAAAATCAGAGTCAACGAAACAGGCTAATACGGCGAGTTGACGATGTCGTTCTTTCCGAGGCGGTTGCTCCATCTGCCGCTTCTCGCACGGCTAGGGGTAACAGGCCCTGCGATGCTCTCGCGAGTGGGCTTCTGGAAGCTGCGCTTGGCGACCATGTTGACCTCGTTGGGGAGGGCGACGATCACGTTCTTGTCGGAACCAAAGCGGAAGTTGTCTGCCATGACATCCTCGGCGTAGCGCTTGATTGTGTAGGGGTCCTTGCGACCAGCGATAATCTTCTTGAGGCTCCAGGTAACGATGAAAGGACCCGTGGCAGTGATGATCGATGTCTCCGTGGAATCGACACCAGTGTTGAAACGAGCGGGCGTGAATGCCAATGGCTGCTTCGTCTCGTGCTGGAACTGGGCGACGTGCGCAGGCTGCAGACCGAGACGACGAGGCTGGGGTTTGGCATCCTTGGCGAATGACTTCTCAAATCCGAGCTTGCCCTCGTTCTTCCCTTCCTTCTGGAGCGAATCGATCAGGAGAAGATAAGTTCGGCAGGTAGCCAGAACCCAGCGGCCGTCGGCGGACACATCCAGACCGATGATCGGCTCACCAAGAGCAGGAATATGAGTCTTCGCGTTGATACCAAGACGATCGAACATGCGAATATCGCCCTTGTTGGAAGCCACAGCCAAATAGCCCTTCTCAGTTGTGGCCACCGCAGAGAAGTCGTTCTTGCTGGCGTACTGCTTAAGATCGGAATCGACAAGTTTGTTTCCAGCGAGACGGGGATCAACGCGGAACAACGCATTCTTAGATGCGCCAACAAATGTCTGGGCGGCGGTCATTTGAGCAAATTTCTGTCAACGGGATTAGTAACTTTCGCTAAGAATAAACCATATATTGAAAATCTGGAATGGAAACTCACGTTCTCTGGAGCAAAGGTATCCACAGGGATATCGTCGTGCACCTTCCACTCATCGACAACCTTTCCGTACTCCAAGTCCATCCGGAACAGGGAGTTGGGATCATCGCCGTTTTGGAGAATCAGGTTGCGATCCTCAGCGTGGAGCATGACCTTCTTGGGGCTGAAGAGCTTACCCCCCGGGGTCTCCACTTTGGAAATAGTCGTGGAAAACTCCAGGTTGTTGTTTGGGGTATGCTTGAACACGCCAATCTTCGATCCGCGGACCACAAAAGAGCGATCGTGCTTGTAGCCAACAGCCAATTGGGAATTCTTGTTGCCATCTTCATCGCGGACGTTGACGTCGTCTTCCTCTTCGTCACTGTCGTAGTGTTCACTGCGCTGGCCATCATCCTGCTCACTCTCATCCTCTTCTTCCTCGGGTTCGTCTTCTTCAGGCTTGTCATCAGCATCCTCCATGGTGAGATCTTGGAATGCGTCAAGAACATATTCTCTGTCATTTTCCTTGACCTTCTCCCACTTCATCTCGTTAAGCTGTTCCCACAAAGCCTGCATCAAGCCCTCCTGGAAACGCTCCTCAGAGGCCTGGTCTTTGAATCGCAACAGCCACGAGTAGGCAGAACCATCTTCAGCATAGTGATTGAAGATGAACGACAGGTACTCAAAATTGAAAACGGGGTTGATGTCGCCAACAACTGCCTGGCCCAGCCAATCCTTATCCTTGCCACTGATCTGCAGCCAATACTGCCAGTTGCCAATTTCCGAAACGGTCGCGACGATCTCAGGATCTTGAAGGACAAAAGTTCCAGAGGGAAAGTCAAACATGTGAAGTTCGGCTTTCTCCTTTGCGAGGATCTCCTTAGACTCGGGCTGAGCAGCAGAAGGCGGGGCAGTAGTCGGCTCCTCATCGGGTGCAGCTGACTTGACCTTCCCCTTCGACTGCGCGTACTTCACATCTCGTGCCATAGCGGCTGCGGAGTCACCTGACGTGACGACGCGCTCGGGTGACTTGGTGGTAGGAGAGGATATGGGGCTCGCAGATGGGATAGGCTTCTCCTCTTGATAAGCGAATTCTTGCAACTCGTCCTCAGTAGCCTTCTGGGCGCTGTGACGGAACTTGCGCTCGTATTGGCACTGCAGAGCGGCAAGCTCGAACGTGGCAACTTTGTCAGATGGGACGGAAGGGTCACAGATGAACTCGAAAAGATCACCCTCGTCGCCGCTGAGATCGTCCCAAGCGAGGATCTTGCCGCCCTCACGAACCTCGGAGCGGAAGTGCAGAGTCTGGTCGAGCAAGAACACTTTCTCGTCCTTATCCAAACTATCCGCCACACCCTGTTCGTCTTCGTCGTCCGCAAGCTCCTCCTCGCCCTCTTCGTAGGCTCGTTGGATCACGAGTTGGTACTGGAACTCTTGGCCAGTGCGTCGGATCGTCGCCGCGGCGTCCTTGAAAATAAGCTCCGAATAGCCCTTGGGAGACAGGGGTCGGACCAGATAGAGCTGGCCCTGGGGGATTTCGATAATAGACTCTTTGGAAGTATCACCGAAGAGAAACTTGCCCACTAAATGTTGTTAAATGCAATCTATTAGCTTGATTTGTTCGGCTGCGGCAAAAAATGAAGCTTGGTATGGAGGGGTTCGTGGCGGGGCAGGAGCGTGTTTGCGTACCGTTGCGGAGCATAAACATGGTTGCGAGGGGTAGCGACCAACGCAACAGGGGTGTAGAAAAGGTCAGAAGATGAAGGAGAGAGAGAAAAGGAAAAGGAATGTGATATAAGAACGACGGGAATACTTTATGACAAATGGAAAAGAAGCTATCTCTGCCACCGTCAGGAAGCAAAGAAATCAAAGAGAAGCTTGGAAAAAAAGAAAGAAAGATAACTGCATCATCAAAAATATCGCCTCCGTCATTGAGTGTGGCGTCAGTCCATGTGTGGCTAGTGGCTTATGTAATCAGACGGATGCCTCAGTTGTGTCATGTGATCGACTATAACTCAGAAAGTGCACAAAGGACGGTCTTCCAGATAGCGCGCTGTGGTCTTTGGTCACATTTGATTTAATCCAGAGCTGGATTAGAAAGTGTCAAAGCAAGCTCTCACTACCCGACATCTAAGAGTCGCATCTAATCTTTGTGAGGGCTAAGCTATTGCATATTCAATGTCTTGGAAGTTGCCGGACAGGCGCTGGGTTTGGGCCACTTCCACGATACATATCCAGTCAGAACCTATACTTCATCTCTCCCAGCTCCTTCACGGCACAGGTCACGTGTAGATTCTATTGAATTAAAAGAATGTTATGTCGCGGATTACCTATTTCACTGGAGTGGATAGAATTGGTACTTCAATGCCTTGCGTCATTGAGATAATGCTACATTACCTAGTCAATGGAATACGAGAGCACGACTAAATCTACTCTTAGAGGACCTTCGAACTGTGACGTGTTCCGGCCTCAGGGAGGCCAGGCCACACGTTGGTATGAATTGAGATATGTACTACTTCTCATGCTTCTCCTCCTTCATCATAATCACCCCCTTGTTCAGCTTCCATTTCATTTGCAATATCCTCAAGAGTTTGCTCTTGCTCTTGCTCGTCATCTGTAGCCTCTTCCGTGGCCTCATTGCCCTGCTGGTCCCTCAACTTGCCGCCCTTTCTCGGCGGAAGGACTTTCATGAAGGCCTCTCCCCAATCACCCAGCTCCAGCCACTTTAACATAATATCAACAACATGGTTGGTGGTCAGCACCTGACGAGAGGTCATCTGGATGTAGTCGCCAATGGGCAGCTTTGCGGTCTTAATTCCCTTCGCAACGGCTGACTTGTAACAGACGGCCTTGTGTCGATTCTTGTCCACAAGACCTCCAATGATATATGTGCTGTAAGGCTTCAGCTCTGTCAGAATATTCTCACTGTCGCTGCTGAGGTAGATGACCTCGCCATCTTCCGGCTTAGCATCGCTCTTTTCGGCGAAAGGTCCAACCAGCTTGCCGCCTTTAGGAGACGCCATTTGTTCCTGGGCCAGCTCGGAGGCATGCGCAAAATCCTCTTGAATGATCCGGATTCCCTTCCAATTGCGATGGGGCGCGAGCACCGTGTCGAATCGTTCCTTGAGTTGCTTATTGAACGAGCTGAACATCAGGTTCGAGCGCCAGATAGCGCGGGTGTTCTCCGAGTATGAGCGTGTGAGTTGACCAGCAAGCGAAATGCGCTCGTGGGGATTCATCAACTCGTCGTAGCCGCAATCAATCACAATCGATATGGGCAGCAGAGTCGACCGCCGAGACTTGGAACGGGTCGTCTCCCATTGCTTGCGCAGAGCCTTGACAGCTTCCTCGCCACCAGTTTCTCTTGCCTCATCGACCATATGTTGCCGGCGCTCCTTTTTCTTTGCCATTTGTTCCCGCCGCTTCTCTTTGCGCTGCTCGCGTCCCGCCTCCCATTGCTCTTTCTTTCTAAGTTTCCTGAGTTGGTTCTTTGAGAGCTTTGGAGGGGCATTTTCGGCGTCGGTGGTCTCAGGCAGTGCAGAGTCGCTGAATGGAATCGCATTGTCGGCATTCGGGAGCTCTGATTGCTCTGATTGTGCATTATCGATCGCTGGCGCAACGGTTTGCGGCGGCTCGTCGGCAGCTGCCACAGCGCCAGTCATTGCAGGGCCGAGTTCGTCGTGGATAGCTTGATCGTCATGTTCAAGCTTCGCAAGCTTCCTCGGTCTCTCTTCTTCGTCCATTGTGCCGGCCAGCAGTTTGTCTTCGCCTGCAGATAATCGAGTGGGCTGTCACGCAGTCATGTAGATCGCTGGGAAAAAAGCCCACTCACCGCCACCAGCCAATAGTAACTTCCGCAGCCCTCATTACTGTACACATCACGTGACATTCATCACCGACTTCTCCATCCAGCGACTCCTCGTTACATTCACGGAGCCTCCAAACCCCCCAAATACCGCCACCATGCCTCAGGATATGCCCCCAACGGGGGGATATGCCCAAGTCCAGTACAAGGTACGCAATTGATGAGGGCTGCCGGTGATCCAGACCCTCTCCGGCAATCGCACAGCGACAACAGCTAATCCTCGTTCGCTCGATCTCCAGCGGAACATCCCTGCCCGCGGCTTCAAGCCCTTCTACTACATGGTCGGCATGCACATGATCATGGCCTACGGTTTCTACAAGTACTTCCACGGTGTCCGCGAGCAACGGTACGTTTTGCGCAATGACGGAGGATCCCAGCTCCGATGATCCCGAGGCGATGGTCCCGAGGCGTCGGAATTGCAACTCGACAACGCGACCTACGGACTCAATCTCGACCAGAAACTGACGTTTACCCTCTTATAGTGAGCTTGCCCGTGAGAAGATGTGGGGTCGTCTCTACCTCACCCCTCTCCTCCAGGCTGAGGAGGACCGCGACCAGGTCCGCCGCTACTACGCCGAAAAGGCCCGTGAGAAGGAGTTGCTGGGCTCCGAGCAAAAGGTCTACCACTCTGACCGGTACGTATCGCTGACAAGACTCGACTGCAGATGCCCATGGGTTCGTCAGTGACACTAATACGTTTTCTATGCACAGCTTCGTCCGCCCTACCTTCGGCTACACTCCCTCCAAGGTTACCCAATAGACAAATCTATCAACGCATTCATCGATACCGTGCCGCAATTTGTTTCCGCTCCATTGTTGGCCACGGCATTGTTGTTTTATGGAAGCCCTCCTAGGGAAGAGGGTCGGAGTTCGATTCGGTAGACGATGCGGAGCGAGTGGAAAGATCATGGAGGCAAGAATTGTTTGCCTCAAGGAGCCAGGGGCTCATGGAAAACATTGTAGATATACCGTTACTACGAAGGGCCTAGTTTTGTTTTACAACAAGTCATTTTTCTTCTGTTAAACATCACGGTCGAATCATCCAGCCAAAAACCAGTAGACTAGCAGCGGATGATTGATCTACACCGGATTTCATCTTTGTGAAGTGCCTGAGCACGGTGATATTGGATTTTTAGCCATCTATAGATGTACAGAGGCTTGTCTATTCTGTTGGTCTCAAAGCGCCGCCGCCAGGGGTAGTCCGTAGGTCGCAAGCGAAGAAAAGAAACCCATGCCACAAGAAGTATGAAAAGAAAATGAACATCAAGAACGTACGCTCAGGATGCAGTTGAAAAAAACAGGCCACCAAACATATAGGTCATGTGAGATCAAGAAGATCTCACCCGAGCATCAACATCAGAATCGAGAATGTACTGATGTGTAGCTACAAACCAGCACACCAACAACAGGTTGTTGGAAAACAAACCATGCAAATCAGATCGCAAATGAAGTCCATGGATGAGAACAGTCAGGTTGAGGAAAGCGTCCCTCTAACCAAACATATCGGCAACACCAGAGAGGTCCGGACCATCATTGATGTCCACACGATTGCTCTCTTGCTGTGTCTCCATCTCGTTTGTCATGTACCGGTTTTGGATCGCTGTTCTCGCCTTGCGGCGCTCCTCCCTTGAGCCAAGGATTTTGCCTTGCTCAGCGATGCTCACACCTCGGAGGGGTTCAAGAAGCTCGAGAACTAGTGCTCGTTGCTGGCGGGGGGAAGTGCATCGCTGGAGCGCAGCTTCTGTCTGGGCAACCTTCTCTGGGTGAATACCCGGCAGGGAGACGAATACGGCTCGCGGCGTCTCGCTGCAAAAGCCGTAAAGAACCCAGATGGACGCAATGAGCTGCGCCAGATCCTTCTGCATATCGACGAAATAAGACTCATGAACGGAGGTAATACAAGCCTGCAAAACGTCTGTGCAGATAAATTCGCGGATGGTCACGATTGTTTGGCTGTTGTTTGGAGGTGCGAAGTCAGCCAAGATGGATCGAACCACGCGGGTAATAATGCTACAGCAACGCGTATCGCGCATCCGAAGAGCATGAGTGCAGAAAAGCATGACAGGTTCGAAGATTTCGGGCGAGGATAGAACAAAGTGACGGATTGAGTCGGAGAGCTCAGGGGTCGGCTGCGGCGCACCAGGGTCTGCCTCTGCTCGATCAGGATCTGGTGAAAGAACACTTGTTAGTAACTTATGTGAAGACAGTTGCGCTCACAAGGGCTTGCTCCAATATATACACCATTGTAAAGCGGGTGTGCGACAGTGATAGTGTTATGGAACTTACCTCCTCTCTGTGGGTCGAACAGGCTGGCAACCATAATGACCGCAGCGTACGTCAGTTGACGGAGAACACTTTCCGACTTCATCTCGTCAGTGAGGTCGCCATCCAATCCTCCACTCTTCCGCTGCTCAATCAGTTCCCACTCGGTTGTGATCTTGCGGTCGATGCTGCGGAAAAGAGTAGCAAGCATTGGGGGCAAGAATTGTGGTCGGTACTGAACAGGACAATCGTCAATCAGGCAGCGCGAGATATTGAGCAAGACCGAGAATTGGTGGGAGGATAGATGCTCCGCATCCTTGAAAAGCGCCTCGGACAACGGCCCTGGCAGCTCAGCGAATCCGTAGAACTGATGGCGCATTCGGCTCATACTGAAAAGCATCGAATAACCTGATTCACGAACGGCGCGAATTTTGCCACGAACAGAGGACGCGAACCCCTCGAGAGTCGATTTGGATGCTGTGATCTTGGCGTAGAAGTCATCGCGACTACCGCTGGAAATACCGGCTTGCCAGAATCGATCGGTCAAAATGCGTTCAACCACTGCTCGCATGTCGTCGCTCACAGCCCAATTGACAGGGTTATGGAAGGCATGAGCATGAGTGAGGAGCTGGACCAAGGTTGGAAGAATCTGCGGGGTTAGATCTTGCCACATATCACAGGCAACTTGATATGCAGGCGATGTTCTCTTCAGCTTGTCCGTTGAGACAGCAAGCATGGTTTTGGTGCCACGCAACGGTAGCATCTGGAATTTGCGAGTCATCTCTTCCTGGACAAGCTTTCCTTCATTGTCCAAGACGACAGAGGACCAGTCTTCGAGTTTGTGTGCCTGCTTGGCTTGCATGTATGATCCCACATTCTCTAGTCCAAGCATGGCGCAAAAGCCTTCGAAGGATGAACTCATACGGCGGAACTCCTCGTCCTGCCATGACTCTCGAATAGGGGCGAGGAACCCGGCCAGCCGGCTATGGCGGACATTGGGATCAAGGTTGCTGGCGCGTTGCATGATGATCAGCAGAATGGACGTTAGCTCCATCTGGAGTTTATCGTCCACACGGTTGGCTAATGTGATTTCGCGGATCTTCGGCTCGAGAAGATCGTAGAAAGTGGAGAAGTAGTCGGCATAGCGGATTGCGAGGCGACGGAGTTCGTGACTGGCCAGTCCATGGAGCTCCTTAACAGCTTCAGCGTAAACTGGGTACTCGGGCTGGTCCGGGAGGCGTGTCATGAGAATGTGCTCAAGGACCTTGAGTGCATATGCAGGATGGTTATCCAGTGCTTTGGAAGAGATGTCAACCACTAATTTGATGACTTTCTGCTTTATCATTGGATCCTGAAAGGTATGTTAGTTAGCTCGGGGTTCATTATTGTCCTGACAGGCTCACAAACCTCGAAGTTCCTTTGCATCAGCTTGGACGCCCAGCTCTCCACTGCAAACTCCAACTCTTTTCTCTCTTGCTCCTGTCATCAGTGTAAGCGACGAATCTTAAAATTTGATAAAAAACTTACATCTTGCTGAGGTGCCTTCCCATGAGCTTCAATCCACTTATTAAAGCCTTTGATGACTGCTTCAACAACAGCAAATTGAGCATCCGCGCGCATAAGCGGGATCGATGATTTGCTGTAATTATGCACTGTTTCTTCCGGTCAGCGCGCAAATTGGCCAGAAATTACATCGAGACATACTTTGGAATGGCTCAGCACCACTGTACAGATTGTCCAAGTTCTCATCAACTCGTCCAAGAATCTCGCGCACCGCCTCTTGAGCACGCTTTTGGGTAATGGTCTCAATAATTGACGAGCAGTATCGACGATAATTACCAAGGAATGCGTGACGTTCTGGAACTGTGTCGATATCCTCCACGAGGAACTGGATCGTTGGATCCTCTGATTCTGTTGAAAGGGACTCCCAGCGTATTAAACGCTGGGTACAGATGGTGAGAAAAGTCGGGGTCTGGTTCACTACGAATTCTGAAGTGCCAATTTTTTGAACACCCAGGAGCCTGGACCACAGGTGAAGACAAGGGATAGATACAGTCAGACTTTGGTGCTGCATGATGTTCAACATAAAGTTGAAGAATGGCGGGAGATCCAGCCGGTGCATGGTGTCTCGGAGGAACCTTTCGTCTTCCAGGCAACCAGCGATATAGGAGATCATCTATGGAAAGTTAGCTTTGTTATTTCCCTTAATAATCAGAGACTTTTGATACATACCTCTGAGAGCTTCTTAGAAATCAAGTACTTCGGCTCATCGGCATCCTCAGGACCGACAATGGACCACTGGTAAAGATTCTGAAGAGTGCCGAGATACTCGCTTTCAAAGATCAGACAGACTAGGCCGTGCGACTCATCATTTCCCATGTTATTCCGCCCGTAGAGTGAATGCAATGCCTCAACCGCGGCCTAGAAGAACATCATTCAGAATCAATTCGGCGGTACCTACAAATTTCACAACGCTCTCTTACCAGCAAAACTTGGTCATCTTGGCAGGTCAAGGCCCTGAAAACACTAGCGACGACCTGTCCGGCGATCACAGCTTTGTAAACTGACCAAGAGAGTGCAGATCTCAATGTCGTTAGAGCCTTGACGGCTGCATCGCGTGCTTCACTCGACGTAGAGGCGTTTTGAACGCAGTTGTCCAAAAACTCGCAGATCCGGACTAGCCAGCCCTCCTGCCCACACCGCAGCACAGCATTGGTGTTCTTATCGGGATTGATCTGCTCGACAATCGCGGCAGGTGTAAAGATCTCGACGAGCGCACGATTGAGCTCAGAGCCGCGCAACGAGGACACTGTATCCTCGCGGAAGAAGACATCTTCCGACAAGGTCTCCAGCACGGAAAGCACCAGCTCGTTATGTACTAGAGACACGCCCCAGAACTTGACAAGCGCTTCGTCCATATCCACCCAATCCAAACCCCAGCTCTTTTTAGCAGCTTCCGACCACAGCTGGGGGATCTTGTTTCGGAAATAGCTCGGGTCCTCGGGTCGAATATTCTCGGCGAGCTGAAGGATCATCGATCGGAGGTTTGTGGATTCCTCGGGATTGGTGAAGGACAAATGGCGCAAGACGTGGTCTAGCAGGGTCAGACCAAAGTACCGCACCACAGCAGCATGATCCGCGCGCGATGCCAATAGAAAGCCATTGCGGGCTGCCGCCTCATTGTCTTTCAACGCCTCGACAAAGGACAAAGCCTCTTTGCGGAGCTCATTGGTAGACGTCGGGCTGTGGATGACCTCCAAGGCACGAATGATGTCGGCCATTCCAGCCTCCGACAGCTCCTCGGCAGCCATATTGTCAGCGCAACACGTGCAGCTGGTTGTGAAACAGACGTGAGCGTATCTGAAAGGCGATCGACGCGGGGTGCTGTTTTAATTTCTGCGAGACAAGAACGTGAGCGGCGAGGCGCGGCCGAAAAGAGTCGTGCTTCTGCAATATAACACGGCAGACGCAGACGTCGTTTTCTCGAGGGCCTTAGTTGCCGAACTTAAGAGGATCTGTGCCCTGATTGATATGGCCGTTGACCCTGTCCGTGAGATGTTTAGCAGTCGGACACAGCAGCAACGGCCATTCAAAACCGAAAATCTCTCTGCGCGTGGTCAAGCAATGTATATCCGATATGCAGTTCGCGCGGGATTAGCGACAGGAGGAGTATCGAGGTGGCGGTTGAGGTTGAGAGGGAGGCTGGATTACGCGGGTTGGTCTTGCGGAGGAAGAGTTGCGGAAGGCAGGCGATTGGGGCAGTTTGGGAATTGCCGTGCCGGGCTGAGAATTTTCCATGGGCTGGTCCTTTTAGAGGTACACCGCTCCCTTTTCCTCGTAGGAGAAGGATAACAGATACAACGCCCTTTGTTCGATAATGCTCTGAAAGCTTTTGTAGTCAATGCCTCGACTTGGTTTCTCTCGACATATTATCTCTTCCAAGGGCTGACCGTCATCATAGCTGTGCCCCTCTTCGTCACCGGTTGTTTATCTTATCTCCCAGCACACGATCCATGGGTCCTTACTAGGCGGCTTAGCGCGCGCCTTTTACGCGATGAAGAAGCAACTTAGTATTGATTGATATGCAATAAGAAAAAGCCCTAGAATTCTGTAGAACATGAAAAAGGAAAAAAAGAAAAGAAAGCAATAGTCAATAGCGTCACATGACATTGCAATCACCCCTCTGGCACTGTTCCAGGTATGTCACGTCGTCTTCAGATGGGCTGGCAAACTCTCCTGCTTTGCGCTTGACTCCCTCGATCTTGATACTCTGCTCTCCTTCGGCGTGCCACCACCGTAATCGCTGGATCTTGATCGTCTTGATATCCTGGTAGTCAATTTCCCACTTGCCCCCGCTGACTGCGATAACAGTCCCGTTCTCCGGGAAGTGGAACTCGGGCAGGTAGATTTCTGTTGGAGCCTCGCACGGTGTAGCGACTTTCGCCGTCAAAGTCATGGTGAACGTACAGTTTCGAAGGTCAAAGACATAACTGTCCAAGGCCCCGTTGACATAGACTGGACTTGGGCGGAGAAAAGCCTCGGCAGCTCGGTGGCCCTTGGGAGTTTGAGAGCTGACACTGGAAATTGATGGATTCGTGAGGGCGCGCTTGAGGTTCCGGGGATCGACTTCCGGCTCGTCTCCACTGCTATGGCTTTCAGAGTACGCTGGAGACTGTGGATTGAGTGATGTGTACGTTGGTTTGGTCGGAAGTTCCAAGTCATCCTGGGAGTAGATCGACAGATCCTCCCCATTCCAAAGATCGCCCCATTCATGATTGTTCTGGATCAAAATTAGTACCAAAGAGCACTGCCTCGTATCAAGGCAAGGAAACTATGGAAAGACTCACCTCTGTCTGGTACAGCCACAGGGTAAATCCATTCGAGGTGCTGCCTTCCAGTGCAAAGTGATTGGCATCCATCGCGCTGGTTTGACTACTATAGTCTCCAGTCTCGTAGGCGTTCTTGTTGTCCATATCATAAGGAATGCCAATCTCTGTAAAGAGCAGTGGGTGATTTCCCATGTACTTCAAGCTCTCGTCCCGGAGGAATTTAAGTTGATCACGGAGGCAATTGCGGATGGCCGATTCCCCGACCTTCACAGCGAACGCCGGAGCCCAGTACTTGCCTCGAAGGACTCCGATAACATCCACATTGTAGAGGCGGTTCCAATGTTTAGTCAAAAGGGTGAGACCGTCATAGTAATGAACAGCATGAACCATATTCGGGTCATCGTCGTCAGTTCCCTTCAAGTCAGGAGGCACTTCCATCACAGGTGGCTGGCACAACAGTATGGCCGCAGGCCAGATGACCCGAATCGCATCTCTGTATTTTCGGTAGTGTTCCAAAAAGTAAGTGTTGGTGAAGACCTCGTAGTTCAGTGGTTCTCCAGTGCTAGGCACCTTTGAGAAATAGTCTTTCTGCAGAAGAGTATCCGTGTCCTGGTCCCAGACTCCATGTTGGGCCCAAATACACTCCCCGAGCTTCCAGCCGGAGTCTCGTTGCCAGCCGTATTTGCTATCATCATAGTCGACAGAGAGCCAGGCCGACTCTCCCTCTGGGTCCACAAGTTGTCTCCCAGTCTGGTAGGGCCCAAAGCTGCCGAAGGCCCAGGTAGTCTCCTCGCAAGCTCGCCCGGCGCCAGTTAGCATCGCTTGAAACGCCGTGGGTGACGTCCCAAGCTGAAGTTGCTGCTCTGGGGGAACGATAGAGATGTCCTGCACTCCAACGAGACCACGATGGGGCTCATTCATACTCTCCCAACCAATCACTACCTCATGTTCAATATCACCAGCGTCGTGGATTCGCTGCGCCAAGTGCTTGCATGCTGCAATAAAGTGAGTTTGTAGGTAGTCCTGAATATTCATGCCATCGATGATAGCTTTAGGTGCGAAGTCTCGACCCGCCCAAAACAGGGTGAACATGGTCTGGCACACAAGGCGGGTATAGTTCGTGCTCCATATCATTTTTGGAAACTCAGCGGGGTTATCATAGGTATTTTGAACTAGCGCAGCTTCCGTATTCTTGAACCCCCTGGGGTCCAGCCCTGCTGCATAGAGTGTCCACATCGGTGCGCCAGATCCTCCAGAAAGTCGAGACCACTATCAGGGTCAGTACAGTGGTATGAAAATGGAAGTCCAAAGAGTAACTGACCACGTCCTGATGAGGGTCCATGAAGACATAAAACTCATATTGCTTCGCTATTCTTAGAACTTCGATGGTAAATGTGATCCACTCCTCGTCGTAGACACCGGGACCGGCATGCTCGATTGCCTCCCATGTGAAGATATATCGGATCGCGTTATAGCCCCACTTGCGTAGTCTTCTGAAGTGGGTATGTGAGTCCTCCAACGAGAACGGGCGTCCTACAAACGAAACATCGTCTGCGTCGAAGAACTTCTCCGAAACAAACGAGGGAAGGTCGGGCTTTTTGGGACATTTGGCATCCCCCGCGACATTTATACCCCTCAACACAATCTCTCGATTCTGGGGATCTCGGAAGACCTTTCCATCGATGTGAAGACGTAGGAGACCCATCCTGGATTATGCGACGAGGGGATGGTGGTGTCAGACGCTTGGTCCGTCGCGCGACGGCGCTGGCAAAATAAGGGGACCTATGAATCACAATTTAAGGTGTACAAAGCACCAGAGACAGGAGAGCTGCAGCCAGAAGCAGGATGTTTCAGGACCCTAGCTCAACCACTTTGAAGCTCGAGCAATCTGCGCCAGGATAGTCAACTGCCGGGAAATCCGCGATCAGGCGGACATACGTATCTCGACTTCTTGCCCAGAGAAGCTCAGCGAGAACGATAACAATGTATGCAAACCCACTAAGCAGATTTGAAGGTGTGACCACAGACAAGGGTGTAGTTGCAAAGAGAGGAAGTGGTGATGTGATTCCCTGCAGCTGACCAAAGCTGGGGTCCCCGATAACCGATAAGGCCGTGACGTATCGGCGCTAACCGATCAAACCGCCTCTTCTCCACCACACCGAGAACCTCCCCGCTCCTCTATGCTGAGCGCGTACGGGGATCATGTCGAGCAAGGCCGCATTGAAAGCTGTCCGGACAGCTTTGGACGCCAAAGATTTTGGTGCTGCTGCTGAAAAGGCTAAGGCCGTGGTACAGAATGATCCCAAGAACTACCATGCGTGCGTGCCTCTGTCTATGCCCAATAATTTGACCCTAGCTAATCGTGCCTTTCCCTTTGCGCTAGCAACGTTTTCCTCGGACTTGCGAATGACAAATTGAATCAAAATGAGGCGGCGGAGGAAGCTTATTCTGCTGCGACGCGGATCAAAGATAATGATCGCACCGCTTGGCAGGGACTGATTGGCTTGTACGAGAAGCAAGGCGGGTCGAAGCTGGATGCATATCATGAAGCTGTTCTCAAGCTCGGGAAAATCTTCGCCGATAGGTATGAGATCACGAACTTCTACATCTTTCTGGAGACCAGAGACCGATACTGATCTGATTTTTCTCCCCAGTGACGAGAAGGAACGATGCCAGGATGTTGTCGACAAATACACAAAGCTCGCTCGAAAGAGCAACGACAAAGCCAAGTACAAGAAGGCCCTCGAATTACAACTTCCCAGCTCCCCTCTCTATGGCTTCCTTGAAGGTCGGCTACCACATCCATCCCTGACCTACCTCCGCATGATTGAGATCACCGAGGCCGAGGAGAAAGAATACATCAACCGAGAGATTGGCGAACGAAGAACTCGTCTTGGTGCAAGAAAAGAGAATGTCACCCTCGAGGTGAAACGTGACGCGTTCAGACAGAGCAAGCTGGAAGATCTGTACCGAGGCCTTATCGATTGGACGAATGATGATGCCGTTCGTCGTCAGTACGAGGAGAAGCTGCTCGAGCGTGCATGCGAGGAGCTCGAGTTTCTTGGCCAGGGCAAAAAGCCTGCGAAAAGAAAGGAGATTCTTCGCTCGGCGCAGGACATGGTCATTATCAAGCACCCGTTTGAACTTGCGTGGAACATCGTGCTCGAGTGGCAGGATATCGAAGAGTACTCCCAATGGGATGTGGGTGTCTTACGCGAGTACATCGAATTTTTTCCCGATACTGGATTAGCAAAGGTCCTCAAGGGATTTCTTACCAGCGAGTTGTCCCCATTCCCACAGGAGGACTTGGACTCTGAAGGCGACGCGGAGACGACGATCATCCGCAAAGACACCGAGACGTCCGAAACAACTGAGGCTACAGATTCTATCGAGCTCAATGATGTAGGTGCTGCAGATAGGTTGATTCTGATGACTGAAGGTCTGGATATGGCTCCGTCATCAATTATTGCGCATCGTATCATGGGAGACCTCTACCTTCTCCTCGAAGAGTACGAGAGCACTGTTGATGTGGCTCGGAAAGGACTCCGAAATGTGGCAGAATTTGTCAGGTACACTGGATGGAAATCCCAAAATACAACCGACGCGATAAACATTACCCTCGCCAATGCCTTGATTCCCTACCAGTCGCCTCGGTACCACCCGGAAGCAAAGACGATCTTTGAGAATATTCTCCAACAAAAACCCACATCTACTGTCTGTCTCCTGGGTATTGGTTTGGTCCTGAAAGTCGATCAAGATTATGACAATGCCGTCGAGTTTTTGGAACGTGCGCTAGAGCGCGACCCTACCAACATCAAGATTCGTGGTGAGCTTTACTGGTGCAAGGCGCTGAATGGCGACCTTCAGGCTGGGCTCGACGGCCTCCAGGATGCCCTCGAAGCTCTAAAAGCCGAACAGCCTCAAAACAAGTCGTTCAAGTCCGAGCTACTCTATCGGATTGGATACTGCCAATGGGAACTAGATCCATCCACAGCGGCTCGCAAAGACCGCAATGGGGCCTATGCAAGCTTCTTAGCTTCCATCAAGGCCAATATGAATTATGCGCCTGCGTATACAAGCCTTGGTTTCTACTATGCGGACTATAAGAAAGATAAGGCTAGAGCCCGCAGATGTTTCCATAAGGCCTTCGAATTATCATCATCGGAGACCGAGGCGGCGGAGCGCCTTGCCCGAGGGTTTGCAAACCAGAAAGAGTGGGATCTGGTTGAGGCTGTCGCACAGCGGGTTGTGGATTCCGGATATGCCAAACCTGCTCCCGGCTCCAAGCGTAAAGGGCACAGTTGGCCATATGCAGCTCTTGGAACGGTCCAGATCAACAAGCAACAATACTCAAAGAGTATCGTCTCGTTCCAGGCCTCGCTGCGGATAAGTCCCGGTGACTATCATTCCTGGGTTGGTCTAGCGGAAAGCTATCACCACTCTGGTCGATTCATTGCTGCAACCAAAGCATTTGAGCATGCACGGGAACTGGAGTGCAATCTTTTAGGCGAAGAAAAAGATCATATCTGGTTTGCGCGATACATGATGGCCAACGTGAAGCGGGAACTTGGCGTCTACGACGATGCGATTGCTAGTTACGAGGATGTTTTGGCCACTCGCCCCAATGATGTCGGCGTCACAATTGCGCTTCTCCAGACGTTGGCCGAAAGCTCCTGGAAGAGCATTGATTCGGGTCTGTTCAATGATGCCGCGGAACTTGCCTGCAAGGTCATCCAAGTAGCGGGATCGCTTGTGACTGTCCGAAATGACATCTTCAACCTATGGAAGTCGGTTGGAGACGCCTGCTCGAATCTCACCTACATTAAACAGAAGATCGGAAAAATTGCAGTCGCAGACTGCAAAGCTTTGCTGCTCTCTGGCGTCGACCCCATCGCCCTCGATCTCATGACCGAGGTAGATGGCGTGGGTCAAGCTTGGCTAGACGCAAGTGGTAGTGAAGAAAGCGTCTCTCCCGAGTTTTGCATTTTCATGTCCATTCTGGCGTATAAGCGTGCCATTCATGTTTCCACTCAAGATACCCACGCTCAAGCCGTTGCATGGTACAACCTTGGCTGGGCCGAATACAGGGCATACCGGAGTGTGCAACTTGGCTCCGGTACTAAGAGCAAGAGGCCCCGCAAGTTCCTGAAGGCTTCGATGCGATGCTTCAAGCGGGCCATTGAGCTTGAAGCGGGCAACTCAGAGTTCTGGAACTCGTTGGCCGTGGTGACTACGAGCATGAGTCCTAAGGTGGCGCAGCATGCTTTCGTGCGAAGCCTGCATCTGAATGATCGCAGTGCTCAAGTGTGGACGAATCTGGGTGCGCTGTATCTCTTGCACAATGACATTCACCTTGCCAACGAAGCGTTTACGCGAGCTCAATCAACGGATCCTGACTATGCTCAGGCCTGGGTTGGCCAGGGCTTCCTAGCGCTTCTCTATGGAGATTCTAATGAGGCGCGGGGTCTTTTCGAACATGCATTTGATATTTCCAACTCATCCGCGATGCTTCCGAAGCGACAATACACCCTCACCCTGTTTGACCACCTGCTAGGCGACTCCTCCACCTCGAATGAAGTTTCGCAACTGATCCAGCCATTCTTCGCTCTACACCAGCTCTGTGCTCAAGATCCATCCGATCTTCCATTTATGCATCTTTCTGCCTTGCTGGCCGAGAGAATGGGCGAAGTTGCTGATGCTGAGTCTAGCTTGGAGGTTGTTTGTTCAGGCGTGGAGGCGGAGTTCGAAGAAACCGAGTCTCCTGCATCGCTCTCGCGATTTGCCCAGGCCAATGCAGACATGGCTCGAGTGCTGCTCGCCAACCATCGCTATGAGGAAGCTGCAGAGAAGGCTGAAACTGCTATCACTCTGTCTGGGGAGGAAGATGCTGAGAAATTCGACCCCGAAGCATGTAGCAAGCTCCGTTTGTCGGCGCATCTCACAGCGGGTCTTGCCTACTACTTCACAAAGTCCATGGATCAGGCGATTGACATGTTCCGTGACGCCCTTCAGGAAGCCAACAACGCGCCTGATGTCGTGTGCCTCCTGGCCCAGGTCCTCTGGGCCAAGGGTGGCGATGAGGAACGCTCTGTTGCTCGCCAGCAGCTGTTTGACTGCGTGGAGAACCACCCCGATCACGTCGGAGCTGTGACGCTCCTCGGAGCCATAGCACTTCTTGACCAAGACCGAGATGCGATTGAAGCTGTGGAGGCTGATCTCCACAATATGATTACACGGGATGATATCGACATTCACGACCGCGGCAAGGTTCTGAAACTACTGGCTGCCATCTCGGCAATGGGATTCACCGACAAGGCCGATCTGCCCGAGGATCTCCGTCAGATTGGTGAAGCCACCGCTGCTGTCATGCTGTCTCCTGGACAGCCACAGGGCTGGATGGAGTTGTCCGCGGTGTCTGACAGCTCGTACCCAGCGGAAATGGCCATTCAACGGGCCCTCCGCAGCGTGCCCCCTCACAGCAATCTAGATGCCTCGGATCTTAGCCAAGCCTATGCACAAGCTGGCACAGCTACTGATGCCTTCAGGGCTATCATGGTGGCGCCGTGGAAGAAGGAGGGCTGGGAGGAGTTGAACCATGGTATCTCGGGCCTGGTTGCATAGTTAGTCAACAGGTGCATGAAATGGGATGTGGTCGAGTCATCTGCACGAGATCACCACAACTTGTTACGAGTACATATACACAAAATCTGCATACCTGTTACCTCGATTCTCTTCACTGTAGAGATCTTGTTTTGATCTTCAAGCCCCTCGTCGAGGTCTCCACAGGTAGCAAAACAAGCCTAACTTGCCACACTCATGACTGATCTTGAATCTGACAGACATTATGATTCAATCAGTCTGATTCGCCCCAGCCCCCATAGAATCAATCCTCTGTAAAAGCCTGGCCTTTCTTCCCTCCTTCCAAGGCTTATCCAAAACCTCAATCTTCCCGCCGAGCAACGTAGAACAAGTAGGATTCAATAGCACCATACCACGAGCCACAGTCGCATTGCGCAAGAGAATTTTCGCACCGATAGGCAGCTTCTCTAGCGAGATACCCTCAATACGCTGCATCTCAATCGCAACCGCCTTTGTGCCTTTGGCATCCTGTAGAATCAACCTGTGTGGTCCAGATCCACTGCTTCCAGATGCACTAGGAGCTCCAGCGGGGCCGGAATTATTCGAGCTGCCATTGTCTGTTCCTTCATTGTCATCACCAACGTTCACTGTGCGTACAATTTCCCGGCCTCGTATAGCTTCGCCGCGCTCGATGCGCTCAATTGCTTCGACCTGGCTCCAGAGACTCGTGCCGATGTCTTCGATGTCGAGGACTTGGACGGGGATTGGGCCAGGAATACGTCTTTCTTGTACAGCAGGATCGGAGATATCGTCTGGGAAGAGGGAAGTGGGGTTTGTTGCTAGAGACTCGCGAATGTCCGAGGCGAGAACGCGAAAAAGAGCTGTTTTGGTGAGTGCGGAGGCAGGGACGTTCCGTTGCGATGAGGCCAGGAACGCGTTGAGCCACGCGGACGAGACACAGAGGGATTTGGTGCTCAGTAGTTGAGCGGCGATCTGCTCTGCGTTGGCCATTGTTGAATCATGTCTCTGTGAACTGAGCGATCTAAGAATCGAGAATCATACGCTGAAGTTGGAGGTGGAACAGGTGCGAAGCTCCAAAGCTCCAAAAACATGCCAGCTCGGACCACCGCTTAACGCCGATGATCTGACAGTCTCCCGTGCCGTCAGTTGGCCTTCTCCTCCATCAACCACCACAATGTCCACGCTGTCTTCTCCACCTCCCTCCATTGCCTCTTCGCGTGCTCAATCTCCAACTCCGGCATCTTCTCGGCCATCCCTCGATGCGTTGAACACCAACATCCCCGGCGGGCTCAGTGCCTCGTCAACCCCATCCACCGCACGAGCGATCTCCCCCAACCCACGCCGTAATCGCTCCGCCCTACGAGACTACTACAATCTCAAGCCTCCCGGTGCAGACTCTGGCAGTCCCGGTGGGAATTTTCGGTCCCATAGCGTTCCCCGAAACACCGACGCAGGCGATATATCCAACCCATCTATCCTGGCCTCTGGCACCGAGCTAGACAATGCGGACTTCGACCCACAGCGCTACGTCGACCATCTCCTATCTACATCCTCTCTTGCTACAATTCTCAAAGCCGAGAACACTCTGGTTGGGGACATCCGCACCCTCGATGGCGAACGGAAGGCTTTGGTCTACGATAATTACTCCAAGTTAATCCGCGCCGTCGAGACAATTGGCAAGATGCGAAAGAGTATGGATGAGCGGGGTGCTCCTTTGACCATGACCAAGACACTGGGTCCGGCGATTGCGTTCGTTGCTGAGACTGCGGGTGGGTTGATCAAGGAGGGTGAGGAGCAAAGACGGCGGATCAAAGAGGAAAGGGAGGCGAAACCACCCCAGCCTAACAAGGCTGAGAAGGAGACCGTGAGGTGGGTACTAGCTGCACCTGAGCGTTTGGAGAAGCTTCTTGCAGAAGAGAAGCAGACGGAAGCAGAGAAGGACTGGGAGGAGGCTCGGCGCTTGCTCGACGCTTGGGGTGAGGTCAAGGGTGTTGCGGAGGTGCGGGCGGCTTGTGAGAAGGTCATGGAAAAGCCTAGCAACGACGACTGAGCTAGGTGTCGAAGAAGAAGAGGACCTTTATCTTTGGCAATCTCGCATACTGCGACCAAAACCCGACTTCCTGTCGGGCTCGAGCTGCCCTGCATCGCGAATTGCCAGAGACGGACATCGGCGAACCACCCATACTCCTGCGAAACGAGGCCGTTCTCGAGGGTTCGCTTACTCGGCTTGCCATGTTTATTCAGGACATGGGTGATGCAAACAGAATGCTCTTATTGAGCGCGTACATCTCCGCCGAGGGCAGCTCGGCGTCTGCATGCTCGGGCTACACATCAACTTGTACATATAAATAGATACCCCACACGTTATAGTATCCGATTCTCATTCAGCATTTCCTCATCATTACATAGCTCCAACTCAAACTTTCCCGGTCAAGATATCCTTGCTAGAGAACAAGCTCGCCTTCAGTCCATAGACATTGTTAGACTTGATGTCCAGATGGGTATAAGCATCACACTTGTAGTAAATCGGCCTCGCCTCTTCATCGACAAGCCCTTTCTCAACCAGAGTCGTCAACACCCGCTTCACATCCTCCATGTCACTAAAATCCTCCGTATAGACGCAAATCAGCCGCGCCTGGCCCGACCCATCCTCCGTCGCAACCTTGGCCGTATTCCCAAGTTCGCCCTTGTCAAGGGCCGTCACGACAGTCTTCCAAACGGAATCGACATAGTCCACCGACGGGAAAAACATCCACTTGCCAGATGTCACGCCAGTCTCTTTGGCCAAAGCAAAGATATTTTGCTCCAGCGTTCGGCGCAGCGGATTCAGTTTACGTGTTAGGGCCGCGGTGGTTTTTGCGCCAGACTTGTCGTGTGCGGCGCGGAGAGTAGAGGCTTCTTCGTCGTAGGTTTGGAGCAGCTCGTTGCCTCTCTTCAGTAGGGTCGCGATGTCGCCTTCTTGAACTTGGCATTTAGGTTTCCACATCCAAATCCATGGACCGACGTCGGAAATGGACGTTCTTGAAGGAGGGAGACGTGATGTGAATGCAGTGATGGACTCCCCAGGCCCGCGCTGGTCCCTTGGTCGGTATGTCGTCGGGAGTCCATCGTCCTCTTCCTGCTTGGCAAAGATACCGGGCTCTGCTTTAAGGGTCGGAGGCGGGGCGCTCAATTCATATTGAATTGTTGAGAGAAGTCCTGGATGTATTTCTGCCCAGAACGGTTCAGGGTCGTATGTGGCTGCTTGTTCCTCGAGCCGCGCTTGCTCATTCTCATCGCCTAGGATAGGTTAGTAGAACGTTCTGAGATGTTGGATGTGTAGAGGGTGTTACCGTAGAAACTAGAGTCATCTGAAAAGATCTCTTCGAGAGATGTATTGTTAGACGGCATGATCTCGTCTCTGAAATTTTGGTGTCTTGATGTAAGAAGAACAGTGGTGATGAGGTTGAAAGAAGCCCATAAGCGCGTGGGGAGCTCCTTAAAGCTACTTACAGTTGGTGTGGGGAAGGAACCTACAAGGACATCATGCATTACGCCCGACCGACACTTGCTTTAATAAATGCATTGCAACTTATGAGACATAATGTTTAAGCCGTATTCGTGGTATTCTATGCAGCTATCCGATACAGAGATTGGGGCAGTATTTTCTAAGTAGCTTGCTGAAAATGATCCAGCCCGGATTTCCCTCTCATATATTTGTTTTCTTTATTCTGAGCCGTCATCCACCCCAAATCAAAAGCTATCCATCTCGCTGGCAAAGACCTTAAGCAGACTCAAGAGATTCCTGGCCAGGCCTGTTCCACAAAAGTGGTCAAATCAGTCTTCAGAGCTTCGGGCTGCTCAAGCGCCGCAAAATGTCCACCCTAAGGTATAGCAGTTAGCCTTCGTCCTTCCAACTACTTTCCTATGAGAGATGTATCAAGATACCTTCTTATGGTGCCCCCAGAAAACTAGATTTCCTGTAGTCTCAACCCAAGAGCGAGGTAAAGGTGCCAGCTCTCTAGGGAAAAACGAGAAACCGAATGGCTTATGAATGTACCAGCGAGGGTCGTTGGTTGCTGGAACAGGCGGAGGGGGTAGTTCTGTAAACTTCAGTTAGAGTTGTTCAACATCAAATAACATGTTTGGCAGAGATGCTGACCTGGCGATAAGTGTAGATCGAGCGAGGGAATGTCTCTGTAAGCCAGTAGAGAGTGATTGACTCAAGGATATGCTCCGATGACAAGGCCTCATCGACCCATTCCAGCCATTTCTCTCCGATCCTGCTATGATGAGCGAAACGTTCGTTTCCAATCAGGTGTTCTACTTACCAAGCCAAAAGAGCGACCGGATTTGTTGCAAGAACGTGGCCAATGGTGCTTGGTCTAGTACCATGCTCAACAGCATACCCGGCGCCCATCATTCTGAACACTTCCATTCTCTGGATTCCTTCTCTCTCAGACACATCCAGATGTTCATCCGAGATGCCTTCAGGGCGGCCCATGAAGCAAACATTGAGATGGACAGCTTGAAAGCAGTCAGATATGACAGGGTACATACACGAGAGGGATGGCGAGCACTTACCTTTGCAGCTTTCATGGTCTACAGCTAGGCTTCGAGCAATTCGACTGCCAATATCGCCACCTTGGGCAACGTAGCCATTTTCAAATCCAAGATCCTTCATGAGCTGGTCCAGCACTCGGGCAATATCCGTGGTAGTAAAGTTGCGATCCAAAGGGGGACCGGATGAGAATGTATAGCCGGGCAAAGACGGTACAATTAAGTGATAAGGCAGTGTACTTGGTGTGTATTCCTTTCGGAAAATGTCAAGTATAGGAAGGAATTCCAAAAAGCTTCCTATTTCGGGCATTAGTACCAAACTTCCACATTATGTTTTGGATTATTACCAGGCCAGCCATGAATCAGTATAATTGGGATGGCATCTGGCTTCTCTGAGAAGAGGCCCACAAAATGAATGTCCAAGCCTTCCACCTCAGCCTTCCACTGGGGGAAGCTGTTGATTCGGTCTTCGGTGTTTTTCCTTTTACTGTCAATCATACATCCGTCGTTTGGGAGAAGGATTGATTACTTACCAATTGTATGATTTGAGCCACTGATCTTTCATGGTGACCAGCCAGTCTGTGGTGACACCATATCGCATATCTGGCTGCGAGTTCTCATAAGTTTGCGGCGCAAGCTTCGACAGCCTGATCAGGGTCTCCATATCAGTTAGATTCTCCTTTGGGATTGCGACCGTGAAAGGCTTGGGTGAAATCCTGGCCGCAGCCGGTAGTGTACTAAATGGCTGCACCATGCTGGGTATGTTGTTGACCGTAACTAATGGCGACACCAGCGTGAATTTCCAATGCAGGAGCGCTGTTGAAGAAAGGCAAACAGTATGAGAAGAGTCGTGAAATGCTAGGTAAGGCACAGGTTAGAAGTAGATTTAGTGCGGGGTCTGGGCACGTCATCGACCATTATTAATGCTTCTAGCTAGGCACCGATGCGACGCGTGAGTTTGCAGAGCCTTGTACCCTTAGTTGTGGCGCCTCGGCTGTACAGGGTCCATACTGTAGAAGGTAATAGTTGAGTTCATCTTCGAACCGGGCTAGGCATTGATCGCGAATACCAGAATGCCTGAGAGGTAGGCACCTAAAAGGTGCGTCATCTATACTAGAGATTATCGAGGGATATTTTCTAACAAATTGCAATAACGAGCCAAAGTATAGAAATCGTTCAAACCAGCATACCTTGTATGTATTTTACTCCGTGGAACCCGACTCGACAACTTCCAACACTGAGCAACCCAGTGGAATCTCATTTCACCGCCCCACTTACCAGCTTGGGGATTTTTCAGGTCCGCTGGATTCTATCTATCATCCATTGAATAGTCATGATCAATGCTCAACCCCGTTGCCCCGAAGGAGTTTCATAAGCGAGAAAGCTTTGTGAATGAATAGCACGAAGAGCCGACTCGACTATCTCCGTGATATCAACAGAAAATACCATTCGAGCCTAAACAACCACCCCTCCAACCCCACGGTGAATTGGGGGATTTTCCTAAACACCATGACAGAAATCCAGAAACCAAAGTCTGCAACGACAATCTTCTTAGACCAGCCACCCAGCTGTCTAGAATTTTGTCCCGAAATACCTGATCACTTTGTTGTGGGCACATACCTCCTCTCGGAAATCAAGAATGAAGAGGATGAGATTGAGCAAACAAAAACCGGCAGCGTGCAGCTGTGGAAATTAGATCCTAAAACAAACAACCTGTAAGTCAACAGCGTATCCATTCTTCTTAAATGGAGATAGCCTGCTAATAAACTCGCCACAGATCATTAGTACAAAAAATGTCCCTTCCATATGCAGTCTTCGATCTGCACTTTCACCCAAGAGATAAAAGCAAGTTCGCCATCGCAAGCAGTACAGGATGCATATCTCTTTTCAATGTCTCTGTCGCACAACCAGCCATTCAACAATTATGGACGAAACAGGTCCATGACGATTCTTCAATCCCAGCTCTCTTCTTTGCTTGGTCTCCGGAGAACTGGTTCTCTCAAAAGGACGCCGATGGATTCGCAGTGACGTTCTCGGATAGTCGGACGGCTGTCTTCGGGACAACCAAAGATATTACCGATGACAACGCCATTACTGAATGGGGTTCTTTCGATGCGCGGCAAATGATTGAAGTTTGGTTCGTTGCACTGGCTGCGATGCAGGTACCTGGGAATGATGAATCGAAGCCGGATACGATTCCACTCATGTTTACTGGAAATGATTTTGGGTCTCTACACACACGTCGATTCGAGTCTCATAATACAAAAGAGGAGGACGGTGATGAGCCACTCGCAAATTTACTACTTGAACACGATGATCGAGCCCGCCACCATACTGCTGGAGTCACTTCGATTCTTCCCTTGCCGGTGCCGTTTGTGGACGATGCTCCGATTCTGTTGACTGGTAGCTACGATGAAGGACTCCGCGTGTATCATGCTACTCGACGGGGCGAAGTACTTGCTGAGCAGGGTCTTGGCGGTGGTGTCTGGCGGTTGCAGCTGCTCAACACGAAGGAATCCGGCTCCGAGCGACAGTTCTTGGTGCTGGCAAGTTGTATGCATGCTGGCACGAGGATTGTGAGGATCACTCAGCAAGAGCAGGATCAGACTGCGGAATGGGAAATCGACGTGCTGGCCGAGTTTACAGAGCACGAGAGTATGAACTACGCGAGCGATGTGTGGAAGGGCTCGACAACATCTGACTTGCTTTGTGTTTCGAGTAGCTTCTACGATCGTCGGGTTTGCGTGTGGAGGGTAGTTGTATAATTTCTGGGAGTAGTCTACATGAATCTGATATCCCGAATCTCTCGGTACCATTGTTTTCGTTAACACGCTAGATCAAACCACAATGCAACCGGAAGGTATACAAGTACATCCGCACCACAGGAACAGGGACCGAGAGAAATTGTAAAGGTAATAGGGTGTAACCATTCATATCCAGTGGTGAAATAATAGCCACCATCTCCAGCACATCGTATTAAACAATCGTCTCCAGCTCCCGAGCATAGCCTAGTGTGTTCTCGATCACAGTGCCGCTGGCCACCAGGATATCCTTCTCCGATCTTGTGGCCGCCTCCGGCTCAACAGGGAAGTGTATCCGTCCATCTCGAAGAATCCAGCCGCGCTGCTGAGCAAACTCGATAACTGCGCCCTCAGACTCCAGGAAGAGGAGGTTCTTGGCGTTGGAAATAGGGAGAGGAGGGATAAGCCTTCTCGGAGCAGTCTGCGATCTCACTACGGATGGTGCCGATGAGAACCTGCAAGACGGTGATAAGTTAGTAATGCTAGAATTCACCATCGATACTTAAGCGGTTGTATCACTCACGTTGGAGAACAATCCAAAGTCCTCTGAAGGCACACGCTCCGACTTCGTTTCCCGCCACACCTTATCGTAGCTACCTTCCATCAGATTCCGCTCCAGCTCAACAGGATACTTGATATAAGCATCGTCCTCGATACGACCGCCCTTCAAACTAGCCTCCTCGACCAATCCCTCCAGCACGGTGTGGAAGTTTGCACTATCGCCCATGCTTAGCAGAAGGAGCAGGTAGAGTCCTGTGATCTTGCTACGCTGGCTAGTGCTAAAATCAACCTCAGATGAGCTCTGGCCGGGGACACCGGCGTGTCGCTCCAGATCGTAGAATGGCTGGAGCTGCTGATAGTATCTTGTGAAGGTCTGCGCGTCGGTTTGGCGAATGGAGGCAAGGGCGCCGAGTTCGAGGACTTGTCGGGCAAGGGCAACGAGCTGTGGCGGTGTGGAAGGGGTTGGGATCAGGGCGTTCTGAATGAGAAGAGCACGCTTGGCTTTGCTGAGCAGGTTGTTGGCGGCATCGAGCTGTTTGCGCTCAAGAGCGTTCTGAAGCTCCGAGACAAGGGACTTGAGGTCCGACATGGCGTGTTGCGTTGTAAGATGATGGTTTCCGGAGTTATGGTTTGAGAGGAGCCACACAGTCAGATTCAACAGACAACTTCAATCGCAGAAATGAAAGTACTAGACGGTGCTTGCTTGGATGATGAGTTGGCGAACGTCCGCCATGACGGAGCTACCGCGGCGGGCGGTCAGCTCATGTAATCACGTGAGAGTATGGCAAGCTGATACAGTCGAACAAGTCAAGCACCTTAGTTCTTCTCCCTTGCTGTTTGAGAGTCATACATACGCCTCCCGTGGACTTTTATTTCTTTAGTTTTACTAGGGTGTTAATATGATTTTCCTTTGTTAAATACAACATATTTCGTCCACGCCACCTGGTCACTCGTCAAGGCCAACTCGGCCAACGTCGGGAACCAAGGCGTCCCTAACCCAGTCACTGGGTCCCAGCCTTCCGTGGCATTCCAACTTGCATATGGGACAAAAGCACCTTTGGCACCGGAATCAGTCGTTCCAGTACAACCCCGGGAACCACCATGGACTATATCGGTGAATCCTGCTTGCTGGAGGCTGTATAGCCAGGGGTTCAAGAAGCCCATCCGAGGCTTGTCATTTGCGAGTCGAATCGCATTCAACTGAGAAACTATGCTAGCAAATACCGGCCCTGAAGCACTGTTAAATCTTAGCCTACGGCTTCTATCAATTGAGTGGATCAACAAACCTGGTACCGCTAATCTTCAAATAAGTTTCGTGGTCTCGAATGATGAAGCTCTTCGCTTGGGCGGCGACGTCAGGGATAGCCCTCCCATGACGGTTGTATAGACCGCTCCATTGATCACCTAGGCGATCAAAGTATCCGTTCACTGCCTGATCCTGGTATTCTGGGCGGCTGAAAATGTCGGAGAATCCGCCAGTAGAGAAATCAAGCGCGATTTCGGGATTAATTCCTTCCACCCCTCCAACTGCAGTGACAAATGGGCAAGAGGCTGGAAAAATTGGCTGGAACTTAGTTCGCCCTTTCCCATCGTTGCTGAGACATGTCTCGCCAACACCAGAGTCTCCGCTACTATATATGACTGACACACCCCGTGCACCCAGTTGCGCAAACAAGTTGCAGACTGATCTTGCATAGGACGGTGGCACACTCTGTTCGATCTCCCCGTATGATGTGGCGAGAACCGAGGGCAGCTCACTGTCCGGAAGATTGATGAGATAGTGAAGTTGATCCAGGAATGGCTCATTTTCTGAGTTGTCTAAATCCAGTTGCCCTGCGTCGGTGATCGAGGATGCTCGACCGCCAGTGGAATAGAACGTGACTGAGGCATTGTATGCCAATGCAGCTGCATACTGTATGTCCAGACTTGCTTCCGTGCTACTGGCAGGAGAATCCTCCAGGTTCATGTCTCCATCAATAGCCACCACGTCAAAGTTGGCGTCCGATGCGTCCGGAGAGAAGCGTTGCATGAAGTGATGAAAATCACTGTGACGGGCATACTGATCTAGGAATCCAGACACCCCTAGTCGATTCCGTGGATCAGGCTTTGCCCTTGCGTCGTGTAAACCATATAACTCTCGAAGACAAGCCGGCCTCATCACGGTGCCACATTCTGCAGTCAGATCTTCCGGCGTGGCGACGATTGGCTGGTCAACCGGTAAACCATGACGTGCACCCAGCCTCCGTTTTCCATACGTATCGAGCCTTCCGAATCTGGTGGTTGGTTGAATCACGTGGATATGTGGGTATATCTCACGAGGTAAGGAGTATCGAAGAGTTCTTATGAGGGTTGTTGGGCTATCATCGTGGTGATAGTAAAAGAACTCAGTCTTCAACATCTGCTCAGCCTGGGATACCGTTGCCCTAAAGCTGATCCAGTTGCCATACGATTCGACAGAGTCGTTGGTGACACCCTTCGACTTTAGCCAGGCCAGCAACTGATCAGAGACGGCGGTGGCTGGCCGCATGAGGTCTTCCACCTCTTCGCGCTTCATATGTTTTCCATATTGTGGATGGGCCGGAGTCGAGAGGTCAATGGTCAGTCTCTCCAGGTCGATACCACCTGGCGCGCGTAGTTCCAGCCGAAATCGGATAGGCGTTGTTGGTTGGGGCTTGATCCCTTTTGACCAGCCAGATGGTATGTCCTGTAGTTGCTCAACTATATCGTAGCAGCGGCCCAATACCGTAAACAGCTGCATGACCCATGCTGCGACAAGCAGAGCTCTTGAGAGCGTCAAATTTGTTCCCATGCTTGAGCCATCAGTCCCATCTCTATACGGCGTAGACGTTATTGTGAATGACTCGAGACTCGAAAGTATAACGAATTAAATGTTGTCAGCCTCGACCAAGTGTTTTCTCAAGTTGAATTATGTCAATTAATCAAGTCAAGAGCGAACAAGAATTGCAGACCTTCAGTCATAAGAAAATGGTCGAAATAAGTCTACTAAGCTAACCGGAAGTAGGGTTGAATAAAGCGCCAATGAGAATCGAAGCCTCACAGTGCCGCCGCTCGGAATTGTTCATGAGCCAGAATTTCTTTGTCTGCTGCGTCGAGATCCTCGACTAGACTACACAATGTCCGAAATTGCTCTCTGTAATTCTTCTCCGCTCAGGCTCACCACTTTTTGATTCCTAAATTGCTCATCTTTGATTGGGTATTCACCCCTTCGTTCGCAGCCAACGCTTCGAGCTCATTTCTACCACTACGGAAGATCGCGATTCGTGGCTATGAAGCATTTCTTCCTCTTTACTTGTTCCGTTCTTAACTAGGTTTCTGTCTGGCCTGTACATATCTACGAGACAAAAATATCACATCTGAATCTGGAGCAGAAATTGCATTGACTTGAGTGTAGCACCGTTGTTGTGGTATGGAATTAGTTTGGTGTTTGTGCAACTCCCCCGTCCACGTCGAGATTATTTTGGAATAAAAATGATATTTATACTAGAAACTCGATCGCTCGTCTGCAAGGGAAGAAAAACAAAGTACTCCAAGTTTTGAGTCTTTGATACGTAGTCCGAGTATATACGTTCATTGCCTTGTTGCCTGAGGAATGTTGGCGGATAATCTCCTGTTCCGAATTCCGAGAATGCGGGATGATCGACGTCACCGCGAATGAAGTGGAGGAATTGTCCGCGAACCCCATTGTATTGTGCCTCTTGTTCTCCACATTATTCAAAAGCAGTCTTGCTTGTTCTTCAGCAGTTACCGAAGATTCCCGCTGAACATTTTGTCGCTCTCACTCCCCTCCTCTACCATCAGCTCCGGACCATTGAAATTTCCGCTGTGGAAAGCTCTCCTCTTTAAGCTCTCGCGCTCGGAGCTTTTCCACAGTAGACCCCGCCTGTGCGTGGACATCATCCATTAGCTGAAAGCCTCTTGGCTGGAAGCCCCTCTGTTCTGCAACTTTTTCGCCCTGCCTTGACTCGGCAATCGACTGGAATCTGCCACTTCGACAGCAAATACAGCTCGCTACGGCTATTCTGTGAGGGTGGTATGATCCGCTTGAGATCGTACCGACGTCATTCCTACATTCCGTCAACCGCGTGATATACCCTCTGTGTTCTGGCCTCTCCAGGCTGACATTTTCATCTATCCCACACAATCACGACTGATATCACGACTGATTCATTATGGCCGAGCTGGAGCACCAGCAAGCTCGCCGATTTTCGGCTGATAACCAAATCATTTCGAAGGCCGAAATTCCATTGAAGGAACGATTCTTCCGCTACTTCCAGCATGAAATCACCGGTAAGGCTATATCGATGCTGGGCAAGCCTGTTGACTATCTTGGGCAAAAGGAGATATCATTGGCTAACTGTCAATGTTCTAGCTCTGCAGCAGCAGATGGATCGGCTTGCCGATACATCGCTCGTGGGTGGTGAGCGAGCTGATGCTACTGATCACTGCCTTGCCGGAATTGTGCGGCTATCCAATGAAGTCAAAGATGCAGCCAGCTACATCCCGACCTATGATCAGAGAGTCTATGCTGAGGTATGACAATACAAGATGCTCTTGGCTTCCCAATGCTAATACACGTGTAACAGGCGATCAAGGCCTTACAGGAGAAATTGAACGAAACCAGAGCGGCATTCGAGCCCCGAGCCAAGTTCAGTTTCAAGACCAAGAAGAACGCTTCAGCAATCTCTCTATCTGACGCTGCGGCACTCGCTGCGGAAGGCCGTCGCAGTATCCCTGGCTACCGCTCGCCTGGTGCTTCATCAGTCAGTTCTTCGGCCAACAATACTCCGAACTATCCATCAACCCCGTTGAATGAGCCGGATAAGCAGCATCAAGAGCGGCCGGAGATTGCACCAACTTCTTTCCCCACCACTTCTGATAGAGACATGGAGTCGAAGGCCCCAGCTCAGGGAAAGGCATCTCACGCTTTCGCGGCCCAGGGAATTTCCAACGTTTCCGTCGACGATCACTATGGTCTTCACATTATGCTGCCCGCCTCCGGCTCTACTTCCACAGTCCCTGCCTCAATCACCTCTCTACGACACTGTGTTGTGGACATGTCCATTCCGACCGCGGATGGCAAGCCCTATGCTAGCTTGACGGTGAAGAATATCGAGGAAAGCTTGTTGATCTGTGGACAAGTCAATGGACCAGCACATATTACTGGACTGGATCACAGTGTTATTGTCGTCTCGTGCCGACAATTCCGTATGCACAGCTGCAAAGATGTCGACGTCTACCTGAGCTGCTCGAGTAATCCCATCATTGAGGATTGCTCCAATATCCGGTTCACCCGGATACCTAAGGCTTATGTATGCTGTACCCCAACCTCTGCACTGCCAACACTCTATACTAACCGCATATCTAGGCCTTGGACCATGATCGCCTTGACCACGAAGATCGATGGAGTCAGGTGGAGGATTTCAAATGGATCAAACCAGAACCTAGCCCAAATTGGAGTCTCTTGGATGCAAGCGACGCGGTTCCCGAGGAAGTCTGGGCGGAAATTGTTCCCGGCGGGCCGGGCTGGTCTCTCGATGATATTTTGCATGCCATCAAGCTGGTGAAAGGATGAACAAGTATCTTGTTCTTGATTTACTTGCCCTGATATGGCGCGGCGTTTTATGTATTCGTAAGCAAAATACGGATGTGGCTTACTATGTTCCAAAATACTTTTTGTCTGCCTGCCTGTTGCCCATGATTTTTTTCTACAATATGTTCGGATATGTCACGTCTATCATGTTCAATTTATCTCCAGTGAAGCTGAGTTTAGGCAAATAAAACCAAATTGAAAGCTATGGGCTTATCTATCGCGTCACGAAAGCTATATACAAGAGAAAGTAATATGTCCAGCAAATGACCTCCTCTTTATCTCACATGCCGTCTCATCACACTCATAAAGCAACCTCATATACCGCAGCAACCCCACTTTTACGCAAGCTTCGAATCACGAGGAGCACTGTCCCTAGAGAACAAGAAGACCGTTTAGTCAATGATTTTTCAATTTCCAAAATGTGTGACAAGTCCAACTTGTCAGGGAGTCCATGGATATACACGAAAATGAAATGTACAAATGAACAGAAGTGTATAAAAACAAGAAAACAAAACTCCGATATCATAACCCATGCAAAGGAAGAGAAAATTTAAACGCTTACAGTTGCTTGAAGTACTCCTCAAAGTTCTCCTCCGCCACCTTGGTACAGTCGAAACCATAAATCTCACGCTGAACATCAGCATCAGCCCATTTATCCGGAACGGGACCCTTGCCCGCACGCAGAGCAGCGAACTGGCGATCACGCTCCTCCTTAGCGGCGCCATCGCCCAAGTGCAAAGCACGACCAGAGGCAGCGGCCATGTCGACCAGAGCCTCGGCGCGGCCCTTGCGGACCTTCTCGTAGATGCGGAGGGCCTTGTTGATGGACTCGGGAGTGGTATCGGGGAGACGGGAGAGGACGACGGCGATGACAGCGCCATCTTCAATCGCTTGGGCGGCACCCTGTGCCAAGTGAGGCAGAGTAGGGTGGCAAGCATCGCCGATCAGGGCGACGGTATCATAAATCCAGGTGGGCAGGGGTTCGTGGACGCGCAGCTTCCACTCGCAGACTTCACCCTCGGGCACGTAGTCCAGCATACGCTTAACCATAGGGCAGAAATCGTCGAAGACGTCCAACATGGCCTTCTTAGAGCCCTTGGTCGTGTATGTGGCGTTCGTCGCGGCGGCAAAGTTAGTGTCGGGCTGGGTAGTGGAGATGTTATAGATGGTGTTGTTGGAGACGGCGTAGGCGATAATGTGGCGCTTCGAGCCAATCCAGCGGGTGACGCGCGTGCTGTTGATGAGAGCCAGCAGCTCCGGGTCATCCTTGATCTGGTCCTTATGGATCATAATCCTGTAGGCGGCCTGGTTGGTATCCTGGACGCCGACATTGACATTCAACCGCTTGAGCATCTCCTGACGAGCCAGGGACTTGATTCCGTCAGCGGCGAGAATGATATCGCATTCAACACGGTAGGAAGGCTTGCCCTCATCGCGGGGCACGGCTGTGAAAGATGGGCGAGAGCCGAAATCGACATTATCGGCGTTGATGGCAAAGTGGAACTTGATAGCGGACTCTTTCTTACATCCCTCGTAGAGACCGCTGGCTAGAGAGGCACGGTGGCCAACCATGTGCTTGTAGCCGTAGGTCTTCTCGATATATCCCAACTCGACGTGTGCGAGCTCCTTGTCGGTGGCGCCCTCTGTTACAATGCCATGGTTAGCCATAAGCGTCTTCGAGAGGACCAACATCTCCTGTTTGGTTATATTTGCATACCTCGCACTGAAGTGTCGGAAATGTCAACAGCCTCGGCCTCGATGCCTCGCCACACGCCCAGACCATCGAGCACGCGAGCCATGTTCGGCGCGAGCTGGATACCAGCGCCCACGAAGCCGAGGTCGTGCGCATTCTCATATACATCAATGTTCTTGAATCCACGCTTCGCCAAGGCAAGAGCAGTGGTCAAACCGCCCATACCAGCGCCAATAATGGCAATTTGCAAATCCTGGGGAGCCTTTGCCATTGTGTCGGATATAAACGGAAATAAAGTATGGGGGGGGAGTTGGTTGTAGGGGTGGGAGGGGGGAGAAGGGGGGATAGTGATAGTCTCAAGGGCGCCAGGAAAAGAAGATACACGATCGATCAGAAAATCCGAAACGACGAGACGCGGCGATTCGTGATTCTTTAAATCTCTCCAATTCCTCACCGAGCGCGCGTGCCGTCGCAGTTTGGCCTGCTTCGATAGGACCGGAGCGGGTGAGATTTTTGCCGCGTTTCCCACAGCTCCCCACACGTCCGCGTTGAGAGTGGCATGTTGGAGAATTGGAGGGCATCCACCACTGGGGCTCGTTGACTGGTTCTTGTACCAAACGCTTTGTAAGCCGGTTGCAAAATTATCCGCTTGAGGATAGCGAGATTCTGATATTATGACATTCGCAGTGACGAAAGGATTAGCATTTAGCAACGAGGCCCTTTGTCGTACTGCAGCGGCTCTCCAGATCCAGCCAATCAGCGGCGTGGATTTCCAACTATACAAAAGATCTCGAACAGAAAGTGTCCTAACTATGGAGATTCAACCGTGCTATACAGGACTATGAGTTAAAAGGACTATCCCACACAATGTACCTCAAGGTATCATCCTTTATGGCAACAAAAAGACCAAACTGACTTCGTAGCCCTCTTTGGCCCAGTGCCCCCGCTCCCCAGACGCTTCCCCACATTCTGCTTCTCCCCGAACTGATTTCGAGTCTTTCGCCCGAAACACTCGGAGTAAATCTGTTTCCCGCGACCAGCCCAAACTGCCGAGTCGCCTTCCTTTTCGCCACTGCTGCTGCTCACCAGCCTAGTATCTATACGTACTCCACTTGCGCTATCAAATCATGGTGCAAACAAATAGGATCTCGGAGATTTAGGTGCCTACTATAAGGCATACTATATTGACAACTCATTACAATCCGGAGAAAGCTATCCATAACTCATCAGACAGATGTCCAGCCTATCAATATGAGCCCCATCCAGCCCCACTAGGACAGTCTGCAGGCAACGAAGTACCATATCACAGCCGTCCTGCGCCATCGCACAACAAGTACGTTGAATCTGCATCATAAACCATTTTCTCGCAGACCCTGGCTGGGATAGTCGACCACCGATGACCAAACACCAAATCAATGCGCCGGGAAGTGGGCCCCAGAATCCATCTACATCTGTCTGGTGCAGGAGATGTTTCAAGTGGGCAACGGCTTGAGCCAGACAAGGTTCGGCTTCGGATACCAGAGTTGACAAGTTGAGCAGCTGTCGCGCTTGATTGAGGGCAGGGATTCTTGAGTCGTTTGGATCTGGCTCCTGGTCGTGATCCGATGGCTCTATCGGCATGTGGGCTCTGATGGATCTTGTAAGGTGTTGATTATCTTGGGTTGCTTTTGCTGATGAAGCACGGGTCGCAAATTGCATAACCGATTGGTATAGATCTGTGAGTGGCTGACAGACTGTCTGAAGAACATCATCCTCATGCGTTCCGAGTGTGAAAACACTCATATCGATTTGGGCATATGGAAGGACAGCAAAGTCCCCAGGTGGGAAGGTCTCCCAACTATCGAGTGGACTCTTCACGATCCTCTGAAATTGTTCAATTCTAGAATAGTCAGCAGAAGAATTTGAGATGAAAGCGCGATTTCGAGGGTTTCTCATACAAAAGCAAGCTTTCACCCAATCGCCCTTCAAATCCTAGGTTTTGGACGCCCCCACGAGCGCTGATGATGCATTCAATGCCTGCTCTATCATTCTCAAATGCGCCAATATCAAAATTGATCAACTAGATTGAAGGCTCGTCAGTACTGATTGAGAGAAGGTTCCAGGGTCGTGGCTCGTACATCAAAAAGGAGAACCGCAATCAAAGCTGCTGTCGTCACGTCACTGAAACACTGTTCTCTGTTTGCTAGAGATTCATTCAATAACTGCCTGGTTATATGAGATTGCTGGAGCGTGATAGCACTAATATTCTCGGTCGCACTGAGATCATCCCAAGCTGATGCATTCAGAATCTTCGCACTCATAAGAGCCGGATGGGTAATCGCAGCGTATATAACTGTCGAGAAAAATCTGTGAAGGCCAGTGCCAGAATGCACATACTCAAACATAACTGATTCTGAGGGTTAATTCTGAGCTGATTTATTTTGCATAGACGCTCAAAATCAGGACTTACATCTTTGCATCCGGCTATAGCCAGGTATTGAGGGCGGCATCGGCGGTGCTTCTAGTATGAGACGAACGTCTTGCGGAACGGCGCTAAGTGCACGATGTAGCGCTAGAACTTGCTGCAATTGTCGAGAATTCGTATTTTGTAATCTCTTTTGCCCATGGTATCGCTTTGCCAGATGCGATCGTGCCTGGCTAAGCCGCGCACCTTGTCCTTGTCGGGGATCCCCGGTGATCACCACAAAGGCCTGATCTCGTTTGCCCCCAGCCATTATACCCTGAGATACATATGATCTGTTCCCAAAGAAGGAAGTACACTAGGGACTAGGGCGCTTTTGAAGAGAAACTATCTGGCAAACTCGAAAGATCAAGCAGATCTTCGCTGACGCAGTTGATTAAGGCTCAGCTTGCCCCACTCTAAGCCTCACGAGTCTAGTGTAGTTTCCATATTTGGTTTAGGTCTCTCTTGTATGGCTTCTGATTGGTTGCACAAAGCAGGGCAATTTGTATTCTATTTCAGAGATTGCCACCGTTGATGCCTTCAGTTAACATATAAAAGGAGGAGAGGATGTCGACTCTAAGTTCAGATTTGCTCTGCATTCGTACACTGCTCTTTTCAACGGTCGCTGCTTCTATCTACACTCAATCCTCATTTGCAAACTTCGACTGTTGAATAACAGTACAGCCACATCATGGCATCATCACTGCAAAAATTGGATACCAATGCTGTGTGGTTCGGTAAGAAATCTTTTACAACAAATTATCAATTGTCCATTCGCTCACTATATCTAGTGACTGGATGCTCGTCCGGTATTGGCAAATCCCTCGCAAAAACAATTTACAACGCTGGTCACTGCATCGTCGCTACCGCACGCGATGTGACATCTCTCTCCTATCTCCCCGATGGCCCAACAGTTCTCAAACTACATCTAGACGTAACACGTCAGGAGACAATTACTAAAGCAGTTGCCGAAGCTGTTGATAAATTCCACGGAATCGACGTCTTCATTAACAATGCCGGCTACAGTCTGATGGGCGATACGGAAGGAATCGTCGAAGCTGATGCACGACACCAGCTAGAGACGAACTTCTGGGGTCCAGTTCACGTTACTCGTGAGGCACTCCGAGTTTTTCGAGAAGTTAATAGTCCCGGTCGGGGTGGGACTGTTGTTCAAGTTTCTTCCATGGGAGGGTGGATTACTGCTCCGGGTCATTCGTTCTATCACGCCAGGTAAGAACGATATCTAAATCCTCGATGTCATATCGTACGGACTAACAACATTTCATCAGTAAATTTGCTCTGGAAGGCTTCACAGAATCAGTGGCCAAGGAAGTCGATCCCACCTGGAACATCAAATTCCTGATCGTCTCTCCCGGTGGTGTCCGGACAAATTTTGCGGGGTCCAGTCTCAAGCAAGCACCACGACATCCGGCATACGATGATCCAAACAGTTCATTCAGTCAATTGATCAAGTATGTCACAAACCCCGAGTCACAGTCGACCTGGAGTGATCCAGATATATGTTCTCGGGTTCTCTTCGAGGCGGTGGTTGGACAGAATGAGCGCCCGTTACCCACGCGTTTACTTATGGGGGTGGAGTCGATTCCTTTAATTAAGGATGATATCCAACGGACCTTGAAGGATATTGACACGTGGGAGAAGGAGACGGTGCGATGTTCACCAAATGGTGGTGCTGTACTCAGCATCTGAGGCTGGAATGCGGAGGTTTCCAAGTCTGGAACCCCTGACCAAACCTCAAACTGATCTCGTTAGACATGATTTGAAAGATAAGTTAGAAGATAATCACCTATATAGAAAGCGAAATGACCCAAACAAAACCCCACTTAAAACGATCTTTGCAAACGGAGTTGAAGCGTATGTAGTTGGATCTTTCCCTCATCTCGTGTGAGACAAGACAAGTTTAAAAACCAAGACGTTAGATAAGATTCGTTCATTTGTACTGACTATAGCAGATCCATGAAAGGATAGCAATCCCTGGTTCTTCATGGTGAGACATTAAAATCGATGCTTTCATGATCATGCTCGAAAAACTGCAGCCTCGAGAGTCGATGGATCCACTGTGGCCCTCCTTTTGGCGGCCATATGAGTTGAGGGTTTTTCCCCCTTTTCTTTAATACTAAACGTTAAATTGAGCCTTTCTCCAATGGTTAGACATGAAAATTTGTAGATCCACTTAGACAGTGGTGGTTTCCTTGTGCAAGAATGAAAAGAGTCAATTTCACAATATCACATGTCTCGGCATACACTCTCAGTCTCTTTATAGTTTGTGGGCGAACTATTGAACTATCATCCTACACGAGTCTCTTTAATAACTCTGCGCCTACTAGTTAAACCTTATCTACGGCGACCCATCCCATGCTTCGAGTACAAACTACTCGATAACTAGTATCTACCATCGTGAACAAAACAGCACTCACACAAACTAGACATTACGTAGTCATTCTTTCCAAACCATGTCAAAATTCTCAAAACTTCACGCTTTCACGTATAATAGGTACAGGGCGAATAGGTGACAAATAATAAAAAAGGGGAACTCCTCATGTTCAGTCGTTTTTGCATGCAGGAGCTCGATAGCCAAGCTATAGCAGCAGAACTCTCAATACACTTCAACAGAGAACCCATAGAAGCGAACGTTGAACTCCCTTCAAGGGTAACCAGAAGATTTAGCTCATTTACAGGAGACCGGCGGGGACGACGCTGCCGACGGTGCTGGTCAGGCTGGACAGGCCGAGCATGGACAGCAGACCGTTGGACAGCAAACCGGTGGCAGTGCCCTCAATCTTGACGAGGAGACCAGAGGTGCCGTCCTGGCCGAGGACACCGAAGAGCTGGGTTGGGTCGGCAGCGATGCCTGTGGCAGCAGAGGCGAGACCAGAGACAGCAGGGACCTCAGCGACGACGGTGCCGACGGAGCCCTGGATGGTGGACAGGTCGAGGCCACCGAGGAGGGAGAGGATGGTAGGCTCAACCTGGACAAGGAGGGGGTTACCAGCGAGGTCGGTGATGGTCATGACGTTGGAGAGGGGGTCACGCTTCAAGTTGCCAGTAGCGCCGGAGGCGACACCCTCAATGGTGCCAACCAGGGAGCCAACGAGCGAGCCAACATCGGGGAGGCCAAGGCCGGACAGGAGACCCTCAATAGTGGAGGTGAGCTTGATGAGAGCGACGGAGCCCTCGCTGGTGGCAACGGTCAGGAGACCACCGGTGGCACCGTTCAGGTTCAGGGCGCCAACGGTAGGGGCAACCTGGATGATCTGGCCAACGGACTGGGTGACGCTGCCCAGGTTAAGGCCGGACAGGAGACCAGCGAAAGTAGGCTCAAGCTCGACGAGGACGAGCTTGGAAGCCTGGTCAGTCACGGTCAGGACGTTGTGGACCTGGTTGGTGGCCTGGCCAGTGGAGAGCTGGGAGTCGGCAGCAGAAGAGGGAAGGCAGGTCGGGATGCCCGAGGGGATGGGGATGCCCGAGGGGATGATGCCAGAGGGCAGGCAGGAGGGAATGGCGCCTGGGAGGACACCAGAAGCAGCACCAGGGATGATGTTGGTGGGGAGAGCGGCGACGGTGGATGCCAGGATGGCAGCGATGGCGAAAGACTTCATCTTGATTGTTGGAGAGAGTGACTGGTGCTTGAAAAAGCTGTAAAGAGTGGACGGTATAGAACCGGAAAAGGAATGACTGGAGGTAGGAAACGAGGAAAACGCGAAGAGCTTCTTGATGAATAGAAAAGAATCTTGAAAGTCAAATGGTACCGGCTGCTCTTTATACACCGTTCATCATTGCTCAGGGGGGAGGGCAACGAGTCCCTTGGTTCAAGGCGTCCGCCAGACCTCCCCGTCTGCTTGACGTCGCGGAGGACAGTATACTCCACATCTGTCCAGGCAAGGTAACAGGGATGCTGGAGACCTGCCGACAGATGGGGAAGTGGCAGTCCAATAGAGAAGGAGCCAAGAGTCGAGCGTCCTGTCAAAATCTTCCAAATCCAGCGGAGATGACATCCACTCCTTTCAAGGAAGGTCCCAGAGACGGGAGCAGGGGAATTGGAGCCCGCGGATGTCTCTTAGTGCCCTCATAAGCTTCGTCGGAGGTTCATCTTCATTAGCCACTCCGCAGATCTTGACCAACTCTGCTGTTGGGCCTGAAAATTGCGGGCACTGCCCACGGCTTCCCCACGAGAAACGGCTGTTGGTGGAATTTTCCGGTCTTTGTCAGACACAAATCAATTTCCAGGAGCGTAATAATGCTTGTTTTCATGGGACTCTTTTTTTTTCACTGAAGCTGCCGTCAACATCAGGAACGCGGTTGTTGATGAGACTCGTGTGGGAGAGCCGCCAGGAACAAGATTTTGCCACATGGTTCGAGCTAAACATCACTGCCGAGGCGGTGTTCAGGGTCCTCGAGTCCAAGCACGCGTTGATACTGCAAGAGAACCCTTTCAGAACCTGCGTTCAGACCCTGACGATCGGCATAAGCACCGCTCGACTCCACCGGTGGTCACCAATGGGTGGAGACTGGAGAGGTGAGGAAAGGGGAAAGCGCTGAAGGCGTTCCAGGGATCTGCAGTGGTGTCCCGCTCCAAACACGTTTTGGGCACTGGACGACTGACTTGACGGACTACTTGACTCCCACTTTCAGCGGGAGCGTTGGACCCCACACACAAGGCAGGACTCATTTTGGCCCTTGGCCGTTTATCGCTAGGACGAGTAGCTAATGTCAAATAGTCGGACGGGTGGGCCTACACCCGTTTTGTTGCTGCGTGCAACGGGGCACTGTCAAATACTGAAGCCAATCCCCATTCCGACGTCCAGGAAGGAGCTCAGAGGTCATTATCATCATGATCAACGGCATTTGAGAGACTTGAAACAATAGAGGTGGTCAGCTCTCCACCGCTGAATTTCTTGAAAGGGGGCAAAAAGAGGACCCCTGACGATCCCAAAGAACCCATCGCCAGCGTCGAATCTTATTCGGGAAATGTCAAGTTCCCTCGAAACAAAGTTCGACGGGATAACCTTGTACGCGCGGGGAACCCTCCGCTAAGCACGCTTAGTCTTGCATCTTTGACCGTGGAAGACAATAGTCGTTGATAAGACAAGCCAAGGGCAAAGTACAGAATACGAACAGCCCTACCTACAGTGCACTAGCAGCATGCTTTGCTCGGAGGATATCTCGAAACAGTTAGAGTGCTTATTTCAACGTTTTCCACTCTCGACCCAAAAGAGTATCAAACGCTGACTGTCATTCTTCAATAGTGCCAAATAATGACAGCTCGTAGGAAATTACACAGGCTCGATACTACCTACTTCGGTATCCCGCGATAAATTAGTTAACTATACGAACTAAATACTCCCAAATTGCAAAAAACAAGGGTGGATTCCACCCCAATAGCTGTCCCCATCCTCGTCGTACGGGCGCGAGGCTTCTCTGCACGTTGGCTTCTCATAGTCCGCCACCGAGCCCATGGGCCAGATCGGGACCACGCAGATCTCATGGTTCTCGCAGCCACGGCACTCTTTCCAGCTCGTCCAGTCCAAATAGTCAATTAAAGCTTGAACGTTCTGCACTGCAGACTCGAGGTCTTCCTCGGTCCAGGCGGCCAGCAAAGTCGAGCAGACACGGTGTGCGACGCCGTGCACAGCTCGCGCTGCGAGCACATGCGAGTCCTGGGTTTCCAGGGGCAGGAACTGCGTGGCACATCTGTTGGCCTCGGATGTGGTGTCACGCTCGCTGTAGTCGATGAATGGGGACAGGAGGGTTTCGATGTGGTCGTGCAGACTCTTGATATCCGCGAAATCGCCTGATGCCAGGTAGGACAGTTCGTCGCTGTACCGCTTCACAATCATGTCTGTGATAGCTTGCCAGTTGCGTGAGGTCTCGGAGGCGTCGTGGGCCAGGATCAGTGCAGTCAGTTCCTTGCGAACAACGTCCAGTTCTGCATCGGGGACTTGTCCCAGGCGCGGTAGAGACGAGTTTTCCGCGAAGAGGTCCAGGTCGTACGCGTATGCAGTCACGAAATGCTCATAGTTGAGAGATACTCTGTCTCCTCCGATGCCTCCATACCGCGCAGTCACTGCACGCATCCACCGAGCCGAGCCCATACCGGGTGGTCCTCTTCTTGGTCCCTTGGGAGGACGACCCCTTCTCTTCCCGTCATCCTCGTCTTCTCTTGGGCTAGCATGTCCATCATGCATCTGACCCTTGCGAGGGCCATCCGCCCTCTCGTCTGACTTGACCTGAATAATCCGCACGGGGGTCAAGTCACGCTCGAATGCACACAAGATAACCTCAAAGCCAGCCTCCATACGGATCACACCATCGATACCACCAGCCCACTCATTCTCCGCCATCTCGCATGCCTTGGTTGCACGCTCGAATTCGCCCATGCGGCCCCGTTGGCCTTCCTTTGGCGAGTCATCCAGTGTATTGTTGAACAAAAGAATATCCTGCGAGTCGAGTGTGCCCTTGTTCGTTTTGGCTGCAGACATGCCATCAATGTACAACAGACGAAGATCCTTTGCGGCGGCATAGGTGTGAAGATACCCAGCCTCGTTCTCCGAAAAGGTCTCAAATGGCGGTGGGGGCCCGGGAGGATGATGCGGTGGTTCTCCAGGTGGTGAATGCGGTGGTGGTCCAGGAGGTTTATCACCTGGAGGATGATGCTGGCGGCGACGAAGCTCTTCATGGTGTCCACGCTCTTTCTCGTTATCATCACCGTCCTCGGGACGCTCACCATTCTCCGGGCGCCGAGGCCGCGGGCCCATATGAGGCCGCGCGAATACCATTGCATGCTCAGGCTCAAAAGCAAGCCATTCGGTACCGTTTACCGGAGTCGACTTCGAAGTACCGTGATATAGCTGTGTCCCCGCTGGAACATTGGCAAGGAAGAACGAAACGCCATTATGATGAAGCGACGAGCCCCATTGGCGCATGGAGTCGTGAATAACGTTGAAAATGTGGTTGGCATTTTCAATCACCGCTTCAGAGTCTGAAGATGCTGCAGTTCCACCCGATAAGCTCAGCAAAGAGCATATCGCGACTAGAGACTGCGACGAGCGCATGTTGGTTCAAAGATCGCTGTCGTTCGGGAGGTGATCACAATGGAAGATCAAACTTTGATATGAACAATTCATAAAATACTCTCTTCGCAGAAGAAAGGCTTCTGCCTTGATCAAGGTCGTTAGCGCCAGTCGTTATCTGATGGGCTTTGAGATTTTGGACTCGGATGCTGGAGACGCGTCATCACGCCAGACGCTAGCCACCTTTCGCTTTTCAGTAGTTTTCTCCGAGGGTGAATGGTAGATTCGACAATCGTGTGGCTTGTGTATGGCCAATTTCAGACACAATAATTGACGTGGCCATCGTCTGTGGCCCAAGTATGGGCCACTTGTGTGGGCCACTTCGTAGATGACGCAGGGAGGGAGAGGTCCGCGCTGCTATCAAAAGGGATTTAGTTTACGACTGGCTGTGGCTTAATTTGTCCGAGGCCAAGTGACCAAATCTTATTCAGGCTGCCTTCAGAAATAGCCGCGATACCCACATTATTCGATGTGTTTACTGCGCGTAGAGATCCCCTGGGTGTTTTGCTGGAATTGGATCTAATCAACGTTAGGTCCTGCTTCTCAGTATGTAGATTCATTGTGGGATGTCCGTCCGTCCGTCCGTCTATTTATTCAGGTTCTCGAAGTTCTCAACTATTTAACAACAAACCAGAAAGAAATATTTCAGAGAAATTTAGATCACTCAGATCTACTTCCCAGGGCCAGTTCTCCGAATGCTTTATAAATCTCTCCATTTAACTACACAAGCAGTCACTACGCCAGTGTATCATTCCCCGCAATGATGAGCCCAAGGGTGCGCCTTTCGGGAAAGCACCGAGCGAGATAAGATCGCGACCGCGTCCACTCCATAAAGTCAATCAACCTCCCTCCCCACCAAACAATAGTAATGCCCCCCGGCCCGCTATACACGAGTGCCCGCTCTATGATACAACGCTCCCCCCGCCGTCATCGAAGCCTCCTCATCACATTCGACGCCTTCGAGACCCTCTTCTACCCGCACCCGCCAGTGCCAGACCAATATGCGGCGATCGGCCACGACTTTGGGCTCTCCCGAACGACAGTGACACCAGACAAGCTCAAAGCCGCGTTCAAGGATGTGTACCGCGTCCAAACGAAACGATACCCCAACTACGGTCGTGCAGACGTGCTCAAGGGTCAATATGGAGGGCCCAAACAATGGTGGGAGGAGGTTATCCGGTGTAGTTTTGGACAAGTGCTAGCCGCAGAGAAGAATGGGGATTCTTCGCGGACAGAACCCCAGGAACACGGAGATGTCGATCTCCCCCGCGGTATGATCGAGACTCTGCTAAATCGGTTTGCGGGAGATGGAGGCTACACGTTATACGACGATGTGGCTCCGTTTTTCGCCCGCATGCGTGAGCTGAGGGCTTCCTCAGACACTACCCCCTTTGATCGGATCGTGCTGGGCGTGATCTCAAACTCTGATGACCGGGTTCCTGAAGTGCTCAAGGCGCTGGGTCTCCGTGTTGGAGATACACGAGCAGACGAGGATCGGTCAAGTATGGAGCTACCAGGTTTCGAAGAGCGAGGATCTAAACAAAGGCCCCAGCCACAGGGCCCGAATATTACGAACCAAAAGGACCAACTAGATGCAGACCTGGACCTGGTAATTACCAGTTACGAGGCTGGCGAGGAGAAACCGAATAAGCTGATCTTCGATGTTGCGAAGCGGCAGGCTCGATTACTAGTACGACAGGATGCGCATACACATGGTTCGGCTCCAGCTGGTCTGGATGACGCTGGTGAGTGGACTTGTATACATGTTGGGGACGATTATCAGAAAGACTATGTTGGTGCTATCGATGCAGGCTGGCAGAGCTATTTCCTTGAACGGGATGGTAGTGCAGAACGCCCTGCGCACACTATTCGGTCGCTGATGGACTTGTTCACCGAGATGAAGATTGGCTCGTAAGATTCAATGACACAGTCAATATTCAATACATCAATGCCTACGAACTGCAGCGAGACTTAATACCGAGATCACAAGCCATCATATCCTACGCAAGGCAGTACGTGGCCAGGCCAGCGGCGTGATGTCTTTCCAAACATGCCTGCCAATTTTATAATATATATGCAGATAGAAAGTATCATGGAAAGCTTCCCGGGTTGTACCCTTGATTCAATTGAATACATCTCGCAGTAGTTTAACAAAAATATAGACCCGAATCATATCCGTTGACCCGAACGCCGAGACATTAGAACGCTACCAGAATCGCAAGTGAAGAACGCCCAAAGATTTTCATGCTAACACAGTCTGTCCCAGGCGGGCCAGTCACTTAATCCCATTGTCCCTTGCCAGCGAGAGCACCCAGTCCATTGCCAGCATGCTTGCCCAGCAGCTTAGCAATATTAGCACCGCCATTGCGTTGCTTCATGCGGAGCTGCTTCTCGCGCTCCTTCTCACGGGCGGCAGTGTAGGAGTTGATGGCACCGCCCTTCTTGGGACCAGACGGGGCAGGCTGAGAAACACGGTTGGCGTTGGATGAAGTCGTGCTAGAGCTGGATGAAGAGGAGGAGCCCGTGTTCACGCGGCGCAGAAGCTGAGGTGGACGGAACCCGATGGGGTTATCCGACTTGCCACCGTTGTGGAAAGCAAACTTGGTATTGGCAGAGGGTCCAGTGGCGGAAGAAGCTGAGTTAGATGAGGCCTGGCGGAGGAGAGCAAGGCGATCAACGACAACGCCACGAGTACGTCGTGGATGGCTAGGCACAGCGAAGCCGTCTTTGGACTGAGATCCTGCATCTTCAGAGTACGCTTCGTCATTGCCAGTGCTCGAGTCATCGTTACCTTCGGCTGGCTCTTCCTCGTCAATGGAAGCGTCTTCGTGGAAGGAATCATATTCGGGGGTCTCGGTCAAGAATGAAAGTGTCTCCCGGATTTCGGCAAGAGTAGCTGGCTTCTTAGACATCGCACTGGCGGGTGTACGGCGAAGATGAGGTGGTGGGCGGTTGGTGACATCTTCAGCGGATGCCTCGAGGGGACGCCTGCGCTTCTTGCTGTCTTGTGCCGAGTCGTTCTGCTCCTGTGCAGCATCTTGGGAGGCCTCGTTCTGAGAGTCGCCCATCTTGTCTTCAAGGAACTCCAACTCAAAGTCATCCTCATTATCTCGGTCTTCAATGGCTTTGAAGAACGCAGCCTTCTTAGGGTCTTCAGCGAGTTGGCCGATCTTGTCATCCGCAAGAAGGGCACGGCGCATCTTTGCAAACTCGCGTTGCTTTTCACGCCGACGGGCTAGGCGTTCATCGTCCGAGTCTTCAAGATCAAAGTCATCATCACCACCACGGCGGCGACGCAAGGCTCCAGTCGTAATGTCTTTGTACAGCTTGGCAACATCTTTCTCGTCACGGTCTCGTTGGTGCATTCTGAGGTTGATATCGTTAGCAAGGCATCTAACTAATGGTAGCATCGAGGTCGACTTACGCGTTCATCGCGGCAAGCTGCTTCTCATCAACAACTTCTCCACTCTGATCGTTGATCATCTGCTGGTCGTAGGCATCCTCTTCACCTTCGCTGTCATCACTGGCACCTCCAAGACCAGCATATTCGTCTTCGGATTCCTCCGCAGCTTCATCCACAATATTCTTGGCATTGCTGTGCTTCTTGTCAAATGGAAGTGGTACTTTCTTCGCTGCCTTCTTCATGACGTTGAAGGCATTAGCATTGACCTCGAAGTCGCCCTCATTTTCATCTTCTTCGACCATGGATAAGTGTGCTGCGCGGCCCCGTCGGAGTTGTCGGCTCTTCCGTTCCGCAATGGGCGACTGACTCTGGCCGAGGAGAACTGTATCAACAGTTGAAACCGGCGGGGTTCCTCGGAAACGCTTAGACGGATCAAAGGGTGAATAAACAAAGCCTTGATCTTGGGTAGGGTCTGGTGGCTGCGAGTACTGAGAGAATTTGTGCGCAGCTGGCGATTCTGATACCCTGGTAACATTCTGGTTGTAACCGGTCATGAAGTCGGGCTCGAGAGATTGTTCCTGACTATCGCGGACGAGAATCTCCGAGTCCTCGGCACGAAGTCTGGGGACGGGGCGACCAGGATCCGGAAGGGAGAAAGGCATTGTAGAAGAGGCGGGCTGGCTAGCCCCATCATGGTCATCGGCTAACGTGCCAGCAAATGCTTGAGTAAGCCCCATAGACATGTCACCAGGTGTGTCCATACCAGGAAATACAGGTCGCTCCACTGACTGCGGGTCGTGGGAGGGTGGCCTAACTGGGGTGGAAGGCACTTGAGGTTCATCGTCATCGTCGTCATTGACCACACGAGCTCGTCGCTTTCGTCGGATACTAGGAGCTTCGACCAATGCGTCTACATCTGACAGTTCATCCTCAGCCTGTTCATCGGCAGACTCATCGTCGTCGTCTGCTTCATCGTCGAGGAATCCGGGGTTCTCGTTAACGATTTCCTCATCTTCATCATCTCCCTGCGATCCATCTTCGTCTGAGCCGGACAGGGCATAGTCGTCATCGTCTTCATCGTCATCCTCATCGAGACCTTGGGTCTTTTTCTTTTCGGCTTTTTCCTGTCGTGCAATCTCATCGGCTTCTTGGCGCGCCTTCTCCATCATATTTTCAATATCGTCTTCGAAGGCGGCACGCTCTTCAGCTGATTCAATCACGATACCCTTTGCACGGAGCTCTTCGATGCGCTCCCGTCGTTCTTTGGCAGCTTGCTGACGGGCTCTGTATAACAAGTTCGCAGAGAGTTCTGCCGAGTTCATTCCGGTGTGCTTGCGGCTTGGTGATGTCAAATGGGCCAATGCTTTCAGCGTGGTCATCGAGGAGGATTCTTGCAATTTCTTGGTAGGCAGATTTTCGAAAGCAGCAATGCGGCGAGCCTTGGGGGGGATGTAACAACCTCCAAATCATCATCGCTATCATGATCTTCTTTCTGGTGCCGAGCAACTTCTTGTCGGGAAAGGAGAACACGGACTGGGGGCTGGGTTGGCTTGCGGGGTGCTTTCTTTGCACCCGGAATGGTGAGGTCCTTCGGTATCTCGGAGGCGGGAACATTGACTTTCTCGAGTGTCGGTGTGCTGTTACCATTTACGTCGTGCTTGTCCAGGCCAGCCGGGACTTCAGCGACATCAATGGAAATGGGTTTGTCTGCATCAGAGGGACCGAGTACGGGTGATGTGTGCGGCGTCTCCTTGACATCCTTTGGACTTTCACCGTCAGAAGAATGTTGGGAGCCGGCAGTCGAAGACGAATTTGGAGCAGCAGATTCTGCGGTAGAAGGCGCCGGCTGCATGAAGTTGAACCTGGCGAAGAGGCTCTCCTTTGTGATCTTCTTCTTGGTCTGAGCCTGATGAGCCAGTTGCATGTTTCGGCTTAGGCGCTGCGTCTCCTGTCTCATCTCCTCGAGAGCCTTCTTGCTTGCCTTTCGAGGCTGGCGGGCTTTCTGGCTCAATGTCCGTGCAGATGTAGCCTCCTCTCTCCTCGCTTTCCTCTCCAGACATGATCTCGGAGCTAAAATGCTCCAATTGAGCGCGCCGGGCTGCCCTTTGTTCATCCTCGATGCGTTCACGCTCCTCACGCTCCTTGCGCTTTTGGGCGACGAGGGCGAGGAATCTCGCATTAGACTTGGGGTTGACATCGGAAAGGTCGTCTGTGGTGAGGTCTGAAGCGGTAGCATCGTTCTGCGGGGCTGCTGGAGAAGAGACAAACAAGGGCGAGAAAGAGCGTGCGCGAGAGGGTGACTTTGATGAATCATGACCCGCAGGAACAGGAGACTGGGCTGACTGAGCATTGGCCCTCCTCCGAGGGGCAGCTGTGGGCAGTTCGTCGTCGCTGGATTCGTCGACTGGCGAGGGGCTGCGACGTGTTGGCTTTTGTGTTTCTTCTTTTTCGGTACGCAAAGCCTTGGATAATCGAGAAAATGCAGAGTCTTCTTGGGGCTCCGAGGTATTTGTTGAAGTATTGGCATCGCCCTGCATGCGAGCAGCCATCCTGCCCTTGGGCCTCACGATCTCATCCGCATCCTCGGAGTCTTCTTCGGAGTTGTTTAGCTGTTCAGTTACGCGCATCGCAGTAGAAGTGTTCTTGCTTCCGAAGTCCAGCTTCGGTAGGGACAATTTGGAATTAGTAGGCCGTGAATCAGACTCAGAATCGCTGTCAAATTGAGCCATCATGGCTTTGATTTTCTGGCCTGGGGTCAGAATGCTTGGAGAATTATCGGCGGGCGACATGGAACGCGCTGAGCGCGTTGAACGCGGCGTAGAAGGTGTAGACATTGTGGGTTGGGGGGTATCAATCATGCAACATATAAGTTGGGAAGTCAAACCCAGATGTTTGTCATGACATGAAGTAGTCAATTGAGAATCAAGACGGGGTTGAAAGGGCTGGGTAGGTGGGTGTGCGGATTTCTCAAGGGCGCATAGTCAAGACGCGATACGCGTGCCTCGCGTTGCCCAGTCGCGCCCACGTGATGCTTATCTTATCGCCAACTCCACATTATTGAGAAGCTGGATTGATAGTGACCTCGACAGCTTTCATGGCTCTCACCTCAGGTTTTTCAAATGTTAGACTCTGTACCCAGGGACTATCTTTGGGACATTTCAATATCCGTGGGAAACACATTCTAAGGCATATCACTGAACACTGAAACAGATAACCCTCTATATCATACGGTGTCTTTAACTGTAACCCTGTAACCCAACACTCGGACATTTAATGATATAGACTATTTTCTAAATTTCTAAAATAGGTGGCGCTTGCACTACCCAAATAATTTCTTACTTGATCACAAGTACGGTTATATTAATTGATAATGACAGTCGTCTCCGCAGAATAACTTGATCGCCAGGCTGTCTTCGACGTAAGGTCCTCTTGTCCATCCTGCCTGGATCGCCCAGGCCCAGCGTTCCCAATCGGCCTTGCATAGAGCCGCCCCAAAAATATGGTTCATTTTCAATAAAAGTTTTCGGCATAACAGCATAGTGATCAGTGTCCCCTCTACCGCAAAGATTGCAACAACTCTTCTTCTTTTGCGCAGACTAGAGGCCCGAGGGACGAGGGGGTTCAAGTGGCCGAGTATCACCGTCGCATAAGCCATACCTTCCAAGCATTCAGCTAGGCAATTCAAGCACTTAATGGAAAAGTGCTGCTGTTGTTTTTATAGTCAACATGTACGTATGAAATTCTGACCAGTTAGGACCAACGCCGCAAAAGCTCAACCAGCTCGCAGATATAGATGATCACCTGGTCGTGAGACTTAGCGAACTTCAGCAGAGGGCGTTCGTATAAGTCTCCTCCTGAGAATATGCTTGCTTCCTCTTCATTTTGGGTCAACATATCACAGTGGTGTGAGAAGAACAGAAAGACTCATCGGCGCAGGGAAGTATATTCGCCGGTATAATCCGAATGACATTGCCAGCGTCGTAAATCTTGTGGTATCTTGCTATGACGAGATTGGGAAGTTTTGAATGGTGTAGATGAGTGATAACCTCCACCTCATCCATCCTCCAAAGAGCGATGAGAATGAGGCCCTCGCCATTGCCGAAAGACGATCGACGTGTTGGCTCATGGCCGTTCTATTGTAGCGAGCATGAGCTTCACGTGTGCATGGTCTCATGTAGACGGAGGAAGGACATGACAGATTGCTATCTTCGCTTGTCCCGTTGATACTCCTTGACAAAAACCGTAGAATCCATTAGTGGAAGCACACTGCAACGTCTTCTTTGAGACTAACCGAGTACACCGTGGGCAAGAACATGTGTTTGCAGATTAGGGCGAGGTGGCCGTGAAGTTCATGAGGAAAGATGATCTTTTCAGGGTTTGGTATACCGGGTCATATCTATTGAGCTGGGCTTTGAGCATCCAGCTTTGGGACACGAGCGAGTGAGTGTATATAGCCGTTTGAGGTATAGCAGCAAGTGCGGAGTTCAACACGCCCATAGAGGATATTTATACTCACGACCAGATACGAGAGAGGGGAAGAAGGAAATTGGTAGAAAGTAAAGCCAACGCAAGGTGTTATACAGCTCAGTCTCTCGGAAAAACCCAAGCCAGGCCTGTATTGCAGGGCTGGCTAGCAGGATTTGGCAATCTCCATGTTTATGAGGTTAGATCCAAAAGCAACAAGCATTTCGTGAAATTGAAAGTCTCGGTTAACTTCTTACAAGGTATTTCCTTTTGGACTTCTTCCTAACAATCGTCTATGTCCAGGTATAGTGAACTAAGCAGACCTGGAAACGCCGAAGCTGGGCCATCAACCGCAGACTCCGTATTTCTACGTTGTAATGCAACTAGAATACAATTACAGACTCGGGATCAGGCGTTCTTTGCGAAAGTTGTTTCACTGCACCTAGGTGCTGCTTATGCTCCATCTCCAGTGTGCTCATAATACAGATTGTTTGTCCCGTGGAAGTCTTGGGGGGAAACGCCGCAAAGATCCTGCGCCATACCGCGATAGAAGAAAACAGAAATGAAAGGGCAAAAAACAAAGACCATAGCGCATCATCTGCAGCCGCTGAGAGCTAGATTTTCTTATGTGTACATGATCGGTAAATCCCCGAGTCAGTGATTTCCGATCGGGTAGCATATCGTCCAACTGGACGAAATGCAGCAAGGAGAACAGATCATCTAGATCTCGATATCGATATCCAAATCCAGGGCAGCAATGTTCTCGTCATCTGTGTTGCGGTAGCTGATCATGAAACCGCTCTTGGGCTTCTTAGGCGTGACACCAGAGGTTACAGCTCGGGCGGGGCCATCAGTAGCAACCTTGGGTGACTCCTTGGGGGTGTCGGTAGGGGTGCCCTCTGTAGGGCTGGCATCCTTGGGCTTATCGGAGAGATCGTGATGCGTCTTGGCAACGGTGCGAACACGCATGAAGGGATCCGGGGCGGCCTCTCCGCGAGCGACGGCGGCGGCACTCTTGCGAGCAGCCTTCCGCTCTTCAAGCTGAGCACGGCGGACGTTCTCGTAGTTCAGTTTTTGGTTCCGGAGGTTGATCTGGTGGACACGTTCGGCTTCGGAGAGCTTCTTCTCGGAGCCTGCTTGTGTCTTGATAAGGGATGTGCCCCAGGATAGCTTGGGGTTCACGATATCATTCAGCTCCTTTTGCAGCGTCTCGGCTTTCTCCTCGTCGCCGCTGGCGCGGGCGAGCTTGATATCGCGCTCAAGATCAGCACGTCGGAGGATGTTCGTGTCCTCGTCCAGGACACCTTGTCTGCGCAACTTCCGGGTCATCTCCTCGGGGGTGAAGACGTGGTTGATGAGACGGTTGATGTCTGCAACCTTAGATGCCAGCTTGCTCTGTGTGGCCATCTTGCAGTCCTCAACTGCCAGGGTCTTACGGTAACGGTTGTATTCGGCCTGAATGAGCTGTTAGTCTCTGAAACTCGTGCGCCTCGAGAGTTTGAAGGGCGACATACCTCAGTGAATGGAGAGTCGGAGCAAGCAATGAAGGGGAAATCTCGCACAGCCTTGCCGTGGGCCAGCTTGGCATACTGGTCAGTGATGAAGGGACGGCCATTCTTGGCCTCCATGGCGTAGGGCTTTCCGGTGTTAAAGCCCTGGATCAAACAAAGGCGGTACTCGTTCACGCCAGTCTCGTGGTTGGGGCCGATGTTGACACGAGCATAGCAGCCGGTGATGGCTTCCTCAAATCCAGGGTAGAAGCAAACCTGAGCAAAGTTGCTGCGGCCGACGCGAGCGCGCTGAACGTCACGCAGCTCGGCGGGGGGTCGTCCTTGGGAATGGAAGGCGAACGGCGGTCTTCCAGCTCAAGGTCACTCTCAAGCTCAGCGTCTTCGTCTGAGATATCAGAGCCGCGAGAGCGAGAGCGACGGCGCGACTGTGTAGTATCTCGGCGACGTTGTTCATCACGCTTGCCCTTCTGCTCACGCTGGCGTTTGTAGGCTTCGATGGCGTCTGAGGCTTCTCCCACTTTGCGGCCGCCCAGGGTGGTCTTCTGTCGAGAACTCTTGCGCTGGGTATCATCGAGGCCGGCGGCTCCCGCTTTACGCTTGGCCTGCTTGGCGGCAGCACGCGCTTCTTCGCGCTCGCGAGAGGCTAGAAGACGGCGCAGAGCCAGATCTTGGTTGTGGCGATCGACCTGCTGAGCACGCTCCGAGAGCAACTCTTCACGTTGAATTTCAGGCATGGCCATAATCTCTTGCTTTTCCTTTGCAGAATAGTAAAGCTTGTCGTAAGGGAAGATGGGACGGTCCTCGTCGTCGGTGGCTTCTCCAGCTTCAGAGTCGGACTCGGACATGGGTGCAGATTGGAGGGAGTCATGGGACTCGGCTTCGGATCTGGCAAGTGAGGCAACATCAGTGAGAGGCTCCCACTCGCCGGTGCCTGGTGAGAGCAATAGGCAACTTACACTTCACCGTCCTCTTCGTCCCTCACAGGCTTCTTTCCTCGGCGTGAAGCCTTCGCAGTTCCTTTGCGCCCCATTGTTTCAGGTGATTGATCACGGTCTGGTGAGCGAGGAGAAGGAGAAGGCTCTGGAGAGTCATCTTTCTGGAGGGGAGGCGAATGTTCCTCCTCAGAGTCACCGGCCAGGGCCAGGAGCTCTGCATCCAAATCGTCCGCCATTGTGCCTGCCTAACGTGCCTTTGTGCCTGCTTCACCAATCCAGCAGTATATAATAGGCACCCAATGCCCTAAGAAGGGTCCTTCCCAATAGAACCTATCTTGGTGCCTCTGGAGGCTCCAGACGAAATTCCTCCTGACAAGGAGTCGCAAGTAACTCAGGACCCTCGAGTCGCGGAGTCAAATCACTCAGTTGACACCTTTCTATCAGTCAAGACAGAATTTGCGACCCCAGAAGGCAAACTGTACAAATGGCGACAAATGAGGGAGGCGAAGGGATGGACTGAAAAGCGCAAAGGTTCGTCGCAAGTTGGCCTTAGCCGTCGGTTCATGACGTCCGGGCGCCAAGACCGCAAGCGCGCGGCTGGCGCCAAGACCATTTTGCCTGGTGTCATGGGACTTGGATTCCAACAGCTACGAGCAATACCGTTTGGCTACAGACAATGGAGGCTCTACCTACATTACGAAGAAGTGCTCTGGCACAATTCCGACGCCCAGCGAGACTTTCCTCCCCAATTTATCTTGATTTCCTCGCTCCGACCACCGTCCAGTCCCAGCGCCGACCAGCTTCCGCTAGCGGATCTACCGGGACGTCTAAACCACGATATGTCCTCAGCAAGAAGCAGCGCGAGTACCTGGACAGTGCGCTCCGCGTCAACCAAGCCGGCGAACTCGCTGCGACCTTGATCTACAAAGCACAAACGCCGCAAGTCGTCCGATCTCACCCACACCTACGACCATTGATGAAACACATGTACGACCAAGAAGCCGGCCACCTGAAAGTGTTCAACAATCTTGTTGCCAAACACGAGATCCGTCCGACTGCAATGTATCCGATATGGGAAGTTGCGGCCACGTTTTTGGGGTGGTCAACTGCGGCCCTGGGTCGCGATGCGGCAATGGCATGCACTGAGGCAGTGGAAACCGAGATTGGAACACATTACAATGACCAAGTGAGGGAGATCTTATCATGGGAGGCAGAAGCGGAGCGGCGAGGGGAGGAACTTGATGATGAGCTCAAGGAGATGGTCGCAGTCTTCCGAAGAATTCGCGACGAGGAGCTGGAGCATCTGGATCACGCTGTAGCCAACGACTCCAAGGAGGCCAAGCCGTATGACCCACTGGTGGACGCTATTCGTTTAGGCTGCAGGACCGCCATTAAGATCAGCGAGAAGATCTAAGAGGCAAGAGTGTTCAGCCCACGAGGTGCCAGAGCGTCTTCTGGACTTCAAATCGAAACTTATAATGGATATGTACCATATCATGTGTAAATTATTCTCAAATACATTGGCTTTCATCCCTGATATGTCCTCAGATGCAATGTAATCTAACTTCCATTTTTATCCCAAAGGTGTCATTAAGTTCATCAAGCGTCGCGTCTCACCAAGAGCAGGGTATCAATGCAAGAACACTTCCCACCTTTTGGTCCAAGTCAAATATGTCCACACGGCCATTTATGGGACAGCAAATCTGTCGCATAGTCCATGGTTTACTCCTGGTTCTCCAGATAGTCAATAAATCCCTTGGAGAATCTGACGACCTGCTGGTAAACCTCCTCAAACCCGTTCGCGCCGCCGTAGTAAGGGTCTTCAACGACTTCGCCGCCGCCAACACGATCGTGCAGCTTCCCACCTTTGCCAAAGTCACCAAAGAGCCGCACCTCGGCGACTCGAGTGTCCTCGCTGTGCATGCCAATGGCCGCCTCAGAAGCTGCACGAGTGTTCTTCGCGGCGGACTTGGGATCAGCCTTGCGGCGCAGCGACGTGATAACCGACTCGCGCACATCCAGCAAATCACGCAGATTATACTTGTCCATGGCGAGTAAGTAGTCAAACTTTAGGAAATCGTCCTTGGTGACCTTGCGAGCGGCGTGAGCGTAGTTGGTAATTCCGTGGCGGCGCAGCGTGGACATGGTCCGACTATCGGGGCCTTGGCCGCTGTGATAAGCACCCGTGCCGGCGGAGTCGATTTCGCCAATGGTGGGATGGGCATCGGCGACATTCCGGAAGACACCCTCGGCCATGGTCGACCGGCCTGGAAGAGGTGAGCGTCAGCATGGAAGAGAAACTTGACTGGGACTGCCTTGGCGGCCGCAGCAGGGTTAGGTACAGATGTTGCCCAGGCAGACAAATAGAACGCTGACGGGGCGTTGTTTGGTTGAATTGGAGGACATGATTGGAGGGTGCTCGAGGGCGTGGAGGAAGAGAGTGACTGGTGTAGCCGAGAACTACAGGACAAACGGTACAATCTTCGGAGTTGGTCAAGATGCGGCGGGGCTGTTATCGATAGCTTATCGTCTTCACTGCCCTGGCCCGCGCCGTTGGAGTACAGGAGTGGGCAATGATTCATGGGTGACTATTGGGGAAGTAAAGCTGGGATTGGAAGGTCCATTTGCTCTCTTGATTTCAGGATAGAATAATTTTTTCAATATTTGAACCTAGTGATGGGACCACAGTGGTGTACCTAAAACCTTTGATTTTCAGTATTGTCCCTGGCTATAGGTCTGTGCAAATATATCCATCCCGTGGATCCATAAAGTCAGAGCATGCTGTCGAGGCACATCCTGGAAGACGATTATATATTCACTTCAATAAGTAGAGCATCAATTACCACCTAGTTAGTCGTCGTGAAATTGCCCCCAGGGTGACCTATGGTCCCTTTTGATCGTGGAAGAATCCGGGGTAGACTCTATTCATAGCCATGTGAGACAGTGACGTGCTGTCAAAAATAGGCAGCGATGTTCTTCCTGTACTTTACTCCGACCCTTTGACAAACCCCAAGTCCAGTAACGTTACGTTGCCTGTGGATAGTTCACTAGATTAGGTCTACTGTACTGCTGACTGTAGGTCGAGGCACCATCTCTGTGGCCCAACTAAAAAAAGAACAAGGACCGTAATAAGAATTTGCACTGCCAACCAGCCCTGCTCCTGCTGGTCCGACCCCGCCACAGTCAGGGGCGCAGTTGATGAACCGTGGCGGAAGTGTGGCGTCCGTGCCTCCCGTTGGCCCAGTGATGGCAGTGGACTCCATCCGGCCTGTGATGAGTTCAGGCCCACTACTCTCATCTCTGGCAACCCGTGGATCGTGCGTTTCAGTTGCGTTCAACGAGAGCCCACTGGGGCCTGTCTAACGGCTATCCAGAGCCCTCTCAATTGCTTCTGGTCTTTACCCTTCTTTTTCCAGTGTGGTGGGCTTTGAACTTACTCGTGTACGAACTACGAAGGGCCCTGCAACTCGGCGATTATCCACAGGGCAGTGCGGGTCTGCGCATGAAAGCCTATTCGCCTGCCTCACACTCCACCCATCATCGTTGTCATCAGCCTTGAAAGCGTCGTAAACACCAAATAAGAGAGGGAATCTTTTTCGTCTCGGCATTTCACCTTGTCCTCTTCATCTATTCAATCCGCCATACAGTACCTCCTCCAGCCCTATCGTGCGGCAAGGATTCAGCGTCGCCTTCGGATCTGTTTGGTCGTCTCATCAATTTCGCTTGGGGCTAATCGTCCATTCTGAAACGCCGCCGAGAGTTTGGGTCCGTCGGTCGGGCTAGGGACCCCCTTCACCACTCGACACAGAGCATTCCACTTGGACCTCCTGGCGCAATCTCCAGTTGACGAAAGCCCCCCTGCTAGCAGCCTTCGGGGCGGGATCTTTCTCTAAACGCAAAACCGAGGCTTAGGTGTTTGGCGCTATGGCATACAACCACGTTGGTAGGTCTCTTTCTGCTTCCTTCTCAATCTCTCAGTTGCGACGTGTTGCGCTTTGCACCAAAGAGAGAAACTGTACTGTGGTGCGGGCCATTGATAGTACATGGTTGCCGTGCGCAACTCGAACGGACCACGACCTGGCAATTGATTTTGTGCCTGAGAGCAACGTGGGAATAGACTCAAACTGACATGCCACCCCCAGACCCCTTTGGGGACGAGAACCGCTCGCCCATGATGGATCCTCACCACATGAACAGCTACAACAATCGCACACCATCCCCAGGGCGACCACTAGACAGCTATCAACTCCAAGACAATCCTTATGGACACCAGGGCCACCTGCCCATGCCGTCTAGTGATCGCCTCGCAGAGCAACCTACTGTGAGTTCCGTTGTCGTCATGCGCGCAAACGTCGAACACAATACTAACGAATGTGTTTAACCTTCTTAGTACTCTGTCGAGAATGTCCACAACTCCTACGGCCACCATGAAGCCTACGAAGGTCACGCTGCTCAACGGTCCTACGGGTTTCACCAAGATTATACGGTCGACCCCGAAGCCCACCATGACGCATACTATACACAACCCTACGAGCCGACGCATACACCTCATGATGATTACGACCTAGGCCAATACCCTGAGGGTAGCCGCACTCCTTTCGATGACAATGCGCCCATGTTACAGAACGACAATCCCTTCGGGCCGGACCCGTATGACGGACAGTACCGGGATGAGCCACGGCCTACTCCCAGCCCAGCTCCCCTCAAGCGGTGGAAGACGGTCAAGGAAGTCCAGCTGTTCAACGGTAACCTCGTTCTCGATTGTCCTATTGCGCCGAAACTGCTCAGCCAGGTGCCTCATGCGGAACCCCCTGGTCGTGACGAATTCACCCACATGCGCTATTCGGCTGCGACTTGCGACCCAGCGGACTTTTTCGAGGAGCGATTTACCCTGCGCCAGAAGCTTTTCGCAAAGCCTCGTCACACGGAGCTTTTCATCGTGGTGACCATGTACAACGAGGACGAGTTCTTGTTCGCGCGCACAATGTCTGGTGTGTTCAAGAACATCGATCACATGTGCTCGCGTACGAGCAGCAAGACCTGGGGCAAGGATGCATGGAAAAAGATTGTGGTTTGCGTCATCAGTGACGGTCGTGCGAAGATCAACCCTCGAACGCGTGCCGTGCTGGCTGGTCTGGGTGTGTATCAGGATGGAATCGCCAAACAGCAGGTTAACGGAAAGGACGTGACAGCGCATATTTACGAATACACCACCCAGGTTGGTTTGGAGGTTAAGGGTACCCAGGTCAATCTCAAGCCACGCACCGGCCCTCCTGTCCAGATGATTTTCTGTCTGAAGGAGAAGAACCAGAAGAAGATCAACTCGCATCGATGGTTCTTCCAGGCCTTTGGTCGCGTGCTGGACCCGAACATTTGCGTGCTGCTCGATGCCGGTACCAAACCCGGCAGAGACTCAATCTATCATCTGTGGAAGGCGTTCGACGTGGAGCCTATGTGTGGTGGTGCCTGTGGCGAGATCAAGGTTATGTTGTCACACGGCAAGAAGCTTCTCAATCCGCTGGTGGCTGGCCAGAACTTCGAGTACAAGCTGAGCAATATCCTTGACAAGCCCTTGGAATCGGCCTTTGGTTTCATCAGTGTGTTGCCTGGTGCTTTCTCTGCCTACCGTTTTGTTGCCCTGCAGAACGACAAGAACGGACAGGGTCCCCTTGAGCGGTATTTCCTGGGAGAGAAGATGCATGGCGCCAACGCTGGTATCTTCACTGCCAACATGTACTTGGCAGAGGATCGTATTCTCTGTTTCGAGATTGTGTCCAAACGCAAGTGTCGCTGGCTGCTACAGTACGTCAAATCATCTACCGGCGAGACTGATGTGCCCGACCGTATGGCCGAGTTCATTCTGCAGCGTCGTCGTTGGCTGAACGGTAGTTTCTTCGCTGCCGTCTACGCCATCACCCACTTCTACCAAATCTTCCGCAGCGACCACAGCTTCCTCCGCAAGTTCATGTTGATGATCGAGTTCATCTATCAAACGATTGCGATGATTTTCGCTTGGTTCGGAATTGGTAACTTCTTCCTGGTCTTCCACATTCTTACTACATACCTGGGCAGTGATGAACTCTTGGGTACTCCTGGTAAGGTTCTCGGTATCGTCTTCGAATGGCTCTATCTCGCTACGCTGGTCACCTGTTTCGTGCTTGCTCTGGGTAATCGCCCTGGTGGTTCGAATAAGTTCTACATGACCATGGTGTACTTTTGGATTTTCATCATGTTGTACCTGTCCTTTGCGGCAGTGTTCGTCACAGTGAAGTCCATTCAGACGGAGGTGCAACAGAATAGCTTCAGTGTTAGTGACCTCTTTACCAACAAGACATTCTTCTCGATCATTGTGTCACTTGGTTCGACCTATGTCATGTGGTTTGTCGCTTCGTTTATCTTCATGGACCCATGGCACATGTTCACCTCGGTATGCTTCCCTCTCCGCATGTCATTTCAAGACACTCGTGCTAATGCCAAAGTCTAGTTCATCCAATACATCCTCCTCACTCCGACCTACATCAACGTGCTCAACATTTACGCCTTCTGTAACACCCACGATATCACATGGGGTACCAAGGGTGACGACAAGGCCGAGAAGCTGCCTTCCGCAACTCTGAAGCCTGGTGGCAAGGTCGACGTCAACATCCCCCAGGATGATGGTGATCTGAACGCTCAGTACGAGGCCGAGTTGGCAAAATTCGCTACCAAAGCTCCCAAGGAAGTTCAGAATATTTCGGAAGAGGACCGCCAAGCAGACTATTACAAGGGATTCCGAAGTGCTGTCGTGTTAGCCTGGGTATTCTGCAATTTTGCCCTTGGCGCAGTCGTTCTGAGTGCCGCTGGTCTGGAGACCTTCGACAATACGTCGTCCACCAGCAGCAGCAACCAAGACTTTACTCAGACTGAGCGGTCCCTGATCTACATGGAGGTTGTTCTGTGGTCCGTGGCTGGACTTTCGATGTTCAAGTTTTTGGGTGCGATGTGGTTTTTGGTCGTTCGGATGGTGAGTCTTGTTAGCCACTATTCCTAAGGGTTCCACTTACTGACTGGCTATAGTTCCGCGGTGTTTAATTTTCGGCATTTGCCAAGTATGACGATTGTGCTTCGTTCAGCCTTGCTTCCATCTTGTCGTTTTCAATATATTCCCCCACCTTGAGTTGAAATGGAGCGTTGCGTTGCCTTGATACCACGGCGGGTCCGGTCTGGTATGGAAGATGAAGAATGGGAAATGGAGATGGAAATGGAAATGGACATGTAATATGTGTGTGATGAACTTCTTTACCCATGGGCAGTTTGTATCTTGGCCTGGTGGTTATGTATTTGGTATGATGTTTTGTTTTGTTTTTTTTTTTTTTTTTGGTTTGGCGTGTCCATGCATGGATGCATGAAGTACTGGAATGATCGCAGATCAATGTTTGTCTCTGTAGATATGAGTTGTTTGCGATTGGATTCGCTTGTCTTGTTCGTTCTTGTCTACTATGGGAGGTTGTTTCAATGGTCTTGGTATAGATGAATGAAAATGTTCGATGATCTTGCATTTAATTGTATTCAACTGCAGGAATTGGGAATCTCCGAGTCTATTATGTCCAGATGCTGCCTTTACCAATTAGACTGTCTGGTTCTTGGAATGCACACACAGTGCAATACCACCAAGGACCAGGACCAGGCCCAGCCAGGTCTCTTTGGCAACGACCTTGCGCTCGACATACCATTCTCCAAGTACCGTGAACAAAAAGGCACTCGAGTTGGCCAGAGGCACAGTAAGGGAGAGTTCTAACCAGGAAGGAGCAGTTAGCAAATAGCACTGATTAACAGCTAGCAGACAAAGCTATCGCTCAAGCAATGACATACCATGCTTCCCAACAAGCAAAAAGAACCAAATACTCCCCGTCAGATTTATCACCAACGGAATCGAGTACGCCGGCGTCCGAAGAAGATTCACAACAGTCCAAAAGATGGAGACAATCTTCGTCCGCACCCAAGACTGCTGCTGAGACGCAGATTGCAACCACACAGGCGCAGGCGTAGTATCCACATTCCCCTCCTGCCCCTCGCCAGCTGACCCTGGAGCTTCCTGGCGCTGTCGACTCCCACTCCTCCTCCGGACACCCTCACCCTCCTGCTCATACTGAGGAAGTAACACCTGCTCTTCCTCTCCACTATCCAGTGCGAAGTCAGCCTGTGGTTGTGGCTGCGACCGCCCGCGGTCGGAGGTTGCGCTGCCAGATGCTTTCTCCTGTCGCGCGTTGAAATCGGCGGCCGCGCGGCGGATAAAGGGGGTGGTGAAGCCCCATGCGACGCCGACGAGCAGGAAGGAGAGGACGTAGTTGAAGGGGGAGGGGGCGGGGTCCCCGGGGACACTGGCGTCTGGATCCATTGCGGCTGTGATTTGTGGAAAGGAGCTACTGACGGTCAGAGCTGTCTATCTGTTCTGCACGAAGTCCGTTCCTGAACAGCGCCAGGAGCACTGCCGTTGGCCCGAGCGTCCCGATAAGGTGATAAGGGCCGGAGATCGATCGGAGAACGGAGAGATTAGATGCCTTGACGGAGTTGGCTTTCTTGGGGCTTTACTACGAACCACACTATTACGCGTCTGCGCACTAATTACCATTATTGATCACACGGAGACTTTGCGAGCCTTATGGCGATATTCCCGTGCATTTGTCCGAGGCCGGGCTTACGCTCGTTGACCAGACACTTTAATTATTAATGCCGCGGTTGCTGACCAACGGCGTTGTGAACTAACTAACTAGTTGTCCGCACTGGCTTGTTTTGGTGTACAAGGCTTTGGGGGCCGAATCGGTTAAATTGACTGATACTCCGACTACATAAAGGACAGATACAACAGCAGGAAAGAACCAACAGATCTCAATCCATTCATCGCGAGAATCATAGAATCATCTCGATAATTTCGATACTCAACAACCCTCCTTCGCAATGGCAGCTCCCTCGGATCTGAAGTTGAATGGCTTCGATATCATTCAAACCAATTATAAGCACGTTGGCGACCATGGCATTCGTGCAGATATCTTGATCCCTCAAACTGAATATGCTGGCTCAAGGCCACTTATTGTTCGTGTCCATGGAGGTGGCCTCGTAAGTGAATTTCTCTCTATCCAATCCCCCCTCACTAAAGAAGCTACTTCTAATCAATCTCTAGATTATGGGTGACTCTCTATACATGGACTGGTGGCCACAATGGGTATCCGACCTCGCTCTGCAGAAAAATGCTATTATCATCAGCCCCAATTACCGCCTCCTGCCCGAGGCGACCAGCGCCGATATCTACGCCGACCTGGACGACTTCTGGACGTGGCTGCGCTCTCCAGCTCTCGACAGTCTCCTGGCCAACCACACAAAACCCACCAAGCTGGATCTCGACCGTATCTTTGTGACCGGTGAATCTGCTGGTGGTCTGATAAGCTTATACTTGACTCTTGCGCACCCGGAGGAGATCCGGGCTGCCTCGGCTGCATACCCCGGCTTGGCTCTTGATGCCGATGCGTTCACCAAGGAGCGCGAAAGCCCTCCTTTTGGAGCTCACGTTCCGATATCTGTTGTTGAGGAAAACTTCAAGTCGGCGGTCCTGGGGACTTCCAAGTCATCTATCACTTCGCTCGAGAGTTTGACGTTCATGCTTGGTGCTATCCAGCATGGATATCTCGCCAAGTTCTATCAGCGTGATGCCGAGGGAGTTGCACCAGAGGTCTTATATCCCATGGCTCGATTGGAGCAACCTGACTTTAAGATTCCTCGAGGCGGTATTGTGGTGCTTCATGGGCGTCAAGATAGTGTGGTGCCGCTGGGTGATGTTGAGAAGTTTGTTGAGCGGGCGAATGAGGTTCTCAAGGCTCGATCTGGGGAGGAGGGAGGTGTTACTCTGACGGTGAGAGAAGGCGAGCATGGCTTTGATGGGCCAGCTCGGCTGGAGGAGGAGTGGCTTCAGGACGCTATGGGCAAGGCGATTAGTGTCTGGTTAGAATAATTAATCGGCCTAATAAAGAATGAACAAGAAATAATATAAAAGCTTACGCTTCCCAGACCTTTTCCGAATGACATTAGGAAGTCGTAGATTTGTGGTTTAACTCGAGGTTTAGTTTTGCAAACTGTATTGTTTTAACAACTTGTGTCTATTGGCTAGCCTTCAAAGTTTCTCGAGAGAGCCCTTGAAGATTGTCAGGAATACCAAACTCCCAAAGCAAGGCCACCACGAACAGTAGCAAGTAAGAACCACCCTGCAGGTAGTTGCAAAATGACAGATCCTTCACACCTCAAACTCAAATTCCACCTCCACCTCATCCGCCTCATAAACGGGGTGGAACTCAACCTCCAAAGCCATCTTAGTATACTTTCCAGCTCTTGAAGGATGAGTCTTCTGAGCCTTAGCCAATTGGTTTGACTGAAGGCATGAATGGCCACGACAACTGTGGGAACGGCTAGTCCATACTGACGAGTCATGTAAGGGTACAAGGCCACCCGCGTGTTCGGTATGAATACTTGAAGAAACCCGAAGATGTCGATAGCCGCCAGCTCAATTGCCAGCTGCACCTTGATTATGTCGATAGTTTCCTCATCGGTGATTCTGAAATTGGCGAGATTTGAGCCGTAGATGAGGTCAACGTGAACGTCTTGGAGCCCGAGGCGTTGGAGCATATTGTTCAGAGCATCTCTCGCTGCATCAAGCTGGGGAGGGAGATAGTGGTGGTTATCTAGGTGGATACGGAGAAGCTTTTGAGGAGTGCGCTCAACCTGATTAGGGTAGCAAGGGTCGACTGTCTGGGTTATGAGATGTGTTGTCTTCTCGAGTATGTCAGGGAGTCCATGGGATCTCAGAGTGGAACGAATTTCGGGATTGAAACGAGTGATCTCCGTTGCAAGCTCTGGACATGGGCTCTCTACTGGGTGATGTGGCCAGTGAATCAGGGTGGTAGACGATAGAGGATCAGTTCTGACGATATATTCCGTTAGAGTCATATATCTGTCAAGGCTCAAAGACTCGCGGAATTGGCGACGTCTTTCGTAAAGACTAAATGAAACGCTTGGAGTTAGAACCTCATGTTCGATGAGCTCCATTGTGTAGATGGAACTGATGATGATGTGAAGGTTGGAAGACCCCGAACTGAATCTCGTGTAACGTGGGAGGTAGAAACAGAGATGTAGCTGCAGGAGGCACTTAAATATGCTAGGCAGTGTGCATGATATGACTCTGAAGAGCAAACAATATCTTTGTTCTTGAATTTCTAAGATGCATATTCTTCCAGTATCTAGACCCTTGCTGTGCATTCCAGAGCTCCATAGCGAATCCATTGTGTGCAAGTAAACAAGGCTTGAGGGTGATTTCCTATATGCTTTACAACAAGACGAGGACAGCAAATCCCACGAACTTTACCCAGTTACCTAAGTCTTTAGGAAGGAATGATGACTCTCGATAGACATGACATCAACTGGCGTAAGTAGGAGATTCATCGGCCCAGATCTACGAACCACATTATCGCCCCCAATGGCAGTCAATAACTCTGCACACACGCATTCTGGTCTATTGAATTCCTACCGTTCAGGGTTGGCTGTAGTAAGAATCAAATAATGTTGCGCAAACTTTACTTCTTTCTAGCCTCTTTTGGGGAAACCTAGTTTCTGGGAACACAACGTGTGATAGAGATGAGGGAGCCTTTTTCTACCGGTCGATGATGTTTTCACGTCGAATGTGGTAGCTGATAAAATACCCCATAAGCAATCAGTTCAGAAGGTCTCGAATATGTGAAGGGATAAAGCCCTTCTCGCAATGGGTTTTGAGCAATTCTATCGTTGGAGAGAGTTGGCTCTCAAAGTTTTGTGTGGACAGCGCCGCGGGAAACTGGCCCCTGATACTTAGGGCTAGCTCGTAATATTTCATGATTTCAACCCATCCTTTCATGCCTGTTGGCTGTCATGCTTCATTAAAATTAAATTACGGGTCCTTGACGCCGAGTTCGTGTTGATGGGGGCTGGCCATGCTGATCGATGATCTATCGGACTAGTGACCTCGTATTTTGCGTCTTCCCTTTTTAGCGCACAACTCTTACGAGCCTCAAAGAGTATTTAGGGGTCTCCTCCATCTTTTCGCAGATTTTGATCTTTCAAGAGTCTCTTCTTTGAACTTTCTCCCCATTATCTCTCCAACTACTACATTCCTTTACTGCTTCAGTTGAACCAGACGCCCATTATGGAATACAGCGCGCCCTACAGCTCACCCCGCAAGACCATCTCCAAGTGGTGGAGCATTGGTTTCTTCATTGCTGCTGTTATCTTCTTCATTATTGGCGGTGCCCTCGTCGGCTCCTACCTTTCTGCAGGATACAAGACCTGCACTTCTGCTCTATACTATGGCGACTATACCTATGACTACTCCTGCTTTGCGGGGAATATCGGCATGTACAATGGCGGCATCGCCATGCTTGTCCTCGGTGGTCTTTCCAAATTTATCGGTTGGGTCCTCCTAATCGTCTATTGCGTGCAGCGCCGCCGTTGAACTGGCTGTCACTGGGCTCCACCAATTATGACCTGCATGACACTGCAACGTCTATCTACTTCTACTTCTGCCTTCGGGCGACACCGGCGAACAAGCTGCCACAACAAAATCGCTTCTGCTGGAAAGGAACACACATGGAGATTCGATACCTGACAATGTTGGAATTATTTTTACTGTATCCTTTACTATCTTTGGAGAAAAGTGCGATATGATCAGCCTCTCCAGGCTATTCTGGGAGATGAGTCAAGATCTGGGTGTTGGAAGCACAATCATTTATGTAACTATCTTTTCGTTCCGTCAATTAATACTTAGATCTTTAACCTCGCTTGAAAGAATAGCCTATTCAATGCAAGGGACAATGTCCCTTTTTTGGACTGATTTGCAAAACACCATATCAAGACAACACATGGAACTGAGGAGTTTACCCACACGTACCAAAGGAATCACCGTCTTTATCTCATGTTCAGGCGGCTGAAAAATTAAAAAGGCGTAAGGGTCGTCTAGGCCATTGATTATTTTCTTATAATAGATATGGCCACTTTGCACCATATTCAGGCCAATTAACCTTTCCGGCACCAGTTCTTCGGAACTGACCCAAGGGAAACACGAGTCTGGCTGGTGGGTTTTCACGATACAAAAATCCACAATCTCGCACCATTATGCCAGTTCTAGCTAGTCCAAAACATTTATCCGGGGTATGCATGATTCGCACCTTTCCAATCATGACCTGAGGCGTCCATACCCCGTCACCCACTCATCATGAGGATGGCCCTCAATTCAGTCAGTACATGTATAAATAAACTGGTTTTTTAACCCTGTTTCTTCAAAATAAGATATGCAAAATCTTTTATTAAATTTCTAAAATGTCTAATCACTCATTGTGCAAAAACGAATGCTGCGCCAATCAATGCCGAGAAAGTGCAGATAAGAGTGTTGGCTAGAATACTAGAGCCAACAGCAGAGGTGGACGGGGCAGCACCCTTTGATGCTTTTGGTGATTGAGCACTCGCAGCCGATCCAGAGACGGTAGGGATATGGAAACCAGTACCCGTATGTGTGTAAGAAAGATGCCCTGTCAAAGTCACCGACGCGATTAGACCTGGTTCTTCTGGTCGACCTGTGGCCGTCTGCACAACACTGACCGAGGTCGCAACGCGCCAGGTTGGAGTAGCCGATGATCCGGAACCACCAATTTCCACGATATTTGTGACGTCGCTGTTGAAGGCAGTTGGGGCAATGGCGATCTCCTGACGGTCGAGATCATACACCACATATGCTGAGCGAAGGAAAGTGTCACCAAACAGGATTTGAGTATTGTCCTGGGTTGGCGCAAGTCCAAAATAGCATGCCGTGTTCCCGTTGTCAAACGACATTTGATTCCCACTATCATCCGTGTAGGGGTAGGATAACTCCGAGAAGGGAACTGAGATGACTGGTCCCCCGGAGCCAACAAAACCAAAGTCTAAAGTGCCCTTGTAGGCCTGCATTGCTTCACACTCAACAAGACCAGTGTCCATGCCATCAAAAGCCATGACATTGGCAAACGAGGCAACTTCATTGTACAGGTCAGCCGGAACATATGTGAGTGTCGTTCCCGAGTCGAGCACGGCTGGCAGCGCAAAGCTCTTTGAGGTGAGAGTCTGGATGCCTTGGGTAGGATCCGTAATCGATAAAGATGTCCAAGCAACAGTCATTGAAGTGATCTGACCAGATTGCGAATCTGGTTGAATGGGCATTGCAATCAGATCGCCCTTGAATTTACCCTTGTCATAACCGCCAAACAAGATACTTCCAGTTTCAGCCCCTAGAGTTAACAGGTTAGCTGTATTTGGGCCAGTCATTATTTTGCATGTGATTGTCGTCGAACATACCAACATCATTGAGCCACAGACTGTATGAACGAGAGTTGATGAGACCTTGTTCGACCATCATATCGACAAGGTTTTTGTAGGGTCTGCCACCGTTCCCCACTATCGACTCGCCTGAATCGAAGCCGATGCCCATAACGCCTGTAGTCGCATCCTGTACTTCTGTAGCAACCGCAAGCGTCATATCCTTGATGGTAATATCGCCGATCGCAAAGGTATCCGAGACATAGTCCCCAATCACACCGGAGTTATCGACATAGGAAATACTGAATCCACCACGGTCAATGACCTGGCCAGTTTTTGATTGTGAACCGTCGTCTTCAAAAAGCTATGAATCAGCCATCATTCTTGAAAGCCAAAACGGACAAGATCAGAGGTGAAAAGGCCAAAGCCTGTGGAACTCACAAAAGCCGCCAAGGCATCCTGAGTCAGTCTCGACGCATGAGCGTGCACCAAAAACCCAGATATCACTGCTTCCAGTGTCGATTTGGAGCTGGACCAGCTGCCCAGGCGTTCCCACGGTCGCATTTATCCAGAATAATCCATCGATATAGTCGTTCTCCAACGAGGCACTTCCATAATTACGCTTAATGATCGAGCGACGAGGGCTTCTGTGAAGAGGTAATGAGACGACGTTAGGCCCCGCATTTACAGATGCGAAAAGCGCGCAGTTGGCAATAATGAGCAGTTTCGTGAGGCTGCCTGGGGCAGTCAAGTTCCACCATGCCATCGTTCCCGAAATAGTTCCAGCACTCACCTGCTGCGAACGTGAGAAGTCAAAGGTTTAAAACTTTGGGAGCACGATCTGGCCCTTATGTCAGTGAACACGAAGATGAGGCTAAAAAGATCTACGAGGCAACAGAATTAAAAACATTAGGGGTTGTCCAGCTCAGATGGAGATCAACGACAGCCCCGGTCGGAAATACGAGAACTAGACAAGGTATGTGTTTGGGGCGTCCAATGAGAGCCATCGTTCACCGGAGGCTTGTCTCTCTTGGCGACTTTCTTTGATAATCAAGCCATTCAACCTCGTGTCCCTGGATATAAGTGGGTAAGGAGGGTCCAATATCGGTGGGTCGCATGAGACCCTAAGCTAGCGTGGAGCGTTGTGCCAACTGCGGTTCGGATTTCAATGAATCCCATTCAAAGGTAGTACAGCGAAATTTTACTGGTCACGTATTCCCCTCAATCGCACCGTGCACACCGCTATCATTCTCGACCCTGGTATTTTCCCCAGTAGATTATACTTACGATGGCCCATTTCTCACACATAGTAAACCAGCTTGATTGATAAAGGTCTTCTTCTGCCGGAGGACCATAGCTTGCAGAAGATAGAGGCAGCCCTTAGTGTGACAAGGCATCCTTGCGATTGAAGAAAAGGACGATGTACTGCACTGCAGGATATGGATAACGAAGAAGCCAAGGTATAGAAGGTGTCGCAAACAAAGATAAAGAAATTCCACACAGTGGATTCTAGAACACCCTGAGAAACTCCACGGTAAAATCATTATTATGAAATGAGTAATTGAGAATATAATATACATGGAGATTCTATGTATACGAAGTATAGTAGTAGTCGCAAATCCGGGAGACCCCTTTGCTCTTGGATCATATCATAGAATCACCATGCTGGCTAGGGGTATCTTACAAGAAGATTCCCAGAACAATGGCGCCGAGAATTCCACCAATGGAGATGCTGCCAGACGAAGAGGCACCGTTGAACACAGGAGAAGCCGAAGGAGAAGAACCAGACCCTGAGCCAGAAGAGCCAGAAGAGCCGGAACCAGAGCCGGAAGAGCCAGAACTGGAGCCAGAGGCCGTGCAGGAAGGCTTAGGATAAGGAGTCGAGCTCTTGACGGGGTTGGTGCTGCTAGGACGAACAGAAACGGGAGGAGTGACGCTCTTCACGGTAGAGATGGTCGAGCCGCTGGTAGTGGTGGTCTGCTGAGTAGGCTCGCTGTTGATAGTGGGCGGCGGGCTAACAGGAGGAACGGTAGGAGTCACGGTGGGAATAGTGATGGTGGGCATAGTATGGTACACGCCATCTCCGGCCTTCTGGCCAGGGCAGTTGTGGAAGAGAGGGCAACAGGCGGGAGAGTTGTCCGGGTTGATCCAGCAGTTGTCAGTGCCACTGCAGCCGATGATCTCGCCGTTGGGGGCAGCAGGGCAGCAAATATCCAGGGGACCGATGCAAGTCGAGCCACAGGCGGACAAAGGAGCCTCGCAGGTGGTTTCACGCTCCTGGAGAGGAGTGACCAGGCCGGCAAGAGCGGCGGGAGCGAGGAGGAGAAGGTGAGCAAGCTTATACATCTTGATAGATTGGAAACGAGTGGATAAGACTAGATATAGTCAGAACGAACGGATGGTTTTCTCGGATCGAGATTGAAAGGAATGAATGGTGTGAAGAGAATTAGGTCTGACGGGGAGCATCGTCTGCCATCCCTATATACTTATTGATCGAACGACCTTATGGGCCCGTTCCTGAATCTTCAAGGGCTTATTCCCGAAAGTGCTTAAAGTTAAATTTGTGTCTTAAGTTCTTCGTGTTTCCATCATCGTGAATGGTTCCTGGGGACCTCGAGCGGCTCTATCTCGTATTTCGCGGGGTGAACCATAGGTCAACAAAAGCCACCAAATGTACGCGAGAAGAGGCTTAATCTTTGGGAGCCCAATAGCAACGATTGCTTCAAGCTAAGCTATTCTCGAATAACATCCCACGTTTCTTACTGGACGAGCCCAAAGCTTATGCAAGTACCAGTCGCCCCGATCCGGTCGTATTCTGCGATGGGGTTTACGGGGCCTGAAGCGCAAGTTCTGTCATTTTACTCCATTTAGATCCTTGTCACCGGTCGACTATGTGACATCCCCAAAACCCTGGGCATTTTCCGACGGAAAAAGATCCGGAAGCTTACTGGAATTACCTGAAAGGAGGGTGTACCTGAATGACCAAACTTGACGTTGATATATGGCTTGGCTACAAGGTCAATTAACTTTACGAGGCTGAATGGAAGTCTGACAGTATACAAGAAGAACCTGGGCTTCATGTGCACGTCTGACTCACTTAATTGGGCAACGTCCAATTTCCCGATCACACAAGTATAGGTTTGTTTCTCGTATCTACTGTCTCCTGCCACCACTGCATCATTCAATTGAGAGTCTGGAAGATCTCTGCCCTCACCATGCCAGGGAGTATTGTGACTTTAATACCAAACCATTGGAAGATGAAGTTTGCAAAAGCAGGCATGCTCGGAAGGGACCCAGATCAAAGTTCCCCTCCGCTCGATCTCTGACCTGATTGAGAGACCATAGGGAAGATGAATAATGCTGGTGCAGCGATATTATTATATTTCACAGAAAAGTGCAACCTGGGACAGTTGTACCATTCTGGCCATCTTGACGACTGAACGTCTACTGAAACAGGGCAATTGATCGTTCCAGCTTTCCACAAAACTCTTCAAAACAACCCAAACAGCTCCTCCCAGACAATGAAGACGCAGGGTTCAATGAGCGGCAAGCATCCGCAAGATCGAACTGGGAATTGCCCTAATGATCTGCCACCCGAAGAAAGCCGAGTCGCGGGTTGCGGTCGTCTGGTAGTGAAGGGAACGTGGGGCAAGATCCGCCGCACCGAGAACTGTGTTGACAAGGGGAGCTGGATAATTCTCTCGGAGATACTCGGCCACCAAGTCATGGCCATTGGTGATACCGCCTCATTCAGGAGTCAGCGAGGATGAAAAAACAGAGCAAGTCAATCCTTACCGCTCATCCAAAGGTTTCCATCATGGGTAACCCGCATGGTATCATCCCAAAGTTTGGTGTCCGGGAAATGCTTCTTCAAGTATGGAATCAAAAATCGGGGCGAGGTGCTGACCTTGCCCTTGGTGATGCCTGCGTGTGCAGCAACCAATGCTCCGGTGCAGATAGTCATGATCGTCGTTCCCGCCGCATTGTGCTTCCGAACGAAGTCTAGGTACTCTTCCGCCGGCGGCATGACCCGGGGAGAGGGACCTGGCAGGAAAAGGATGTCCAACTTGCCTGGTGCAACGGCCAAGTCCTTCACTGAATTGGTGATGCGGATGGATAGTTCTGATGTGACGGAGGCCATCTTGTCAGGGCCATCACGAGCGATGTAGTGAATCTCGCACGGACGACCGAGATCAGCGAGGTGTTTTGGCATTCCAATATCTTCGAGCCATTCGGGACTGGCCATGTAAAGCAAGTCTAAGGCCGCGAGGTCCAGCAGTTGAACGCAATTGACAAGGAGAACGCCGATACGGAGAGGTTCAGATACCATTGTGTTGGTACTTTTTGCAGTCGAAGAATCCGAGGATTGAATTGAGGGAATAACAATAGGACTTGAATTGTAGTCTGAGGCGTCTGGGAGTACTAAACGAGGTAATTGAGCTGGAAATGGCCAGAAGGTACAGTTGCGTACGAGATTGTTTGCCCTGGAAGTTGCCGGAAGGTAGGAACGCGGAATCGAGAGTATGGCAGTCACTATGCAGGCCATTTTCTCTGTTGACCTGTTTCTTTGCTGGCTTTCATCAGACACAATTATTGGGAAATCCATGATAACCTTATATCCATTCAGGGACCACAAGCGAATCGTCAAGTAATTCGCGCAATTGAGCGCGCGGTACAAGCAATGAATTGTCGTACCATCGTAGCGGTGTAATCATGGACAACCCGGTACACAGAGACGTAATGTATGGGCTCAGTGGGCGGCGTGATACTGGAAAAAAGACAATAAAAGTCATACAGAATCAAGTGTTTTGCTCTAGTCAGCCCACATGTCTGCATGTTGATTATGACCGCCATCTTTCCGTCCTCCTCAATCCATCCACCCCTCTTGAACTTTCCTGCATAACGCACTTGCAGAGAGCCGCTCAAGTCGACATCTACGCTGTGACAGGTTTTAAAATTCAGTCTGATATCTACTACCTGCTGACCTCTCAAACAGGCAACTGGTTTAGAGAGTATCCAAAGATCGGAAGATCCCCGACCAAAGGAGAGGCAAGTGCCCAACTCGTGGGGGCTTCCCCATCTTCGGCCTTCCAGAGCCCCCCACAATATTGAAGGAGTACCCGCTCCACATCTCGGTGGCGTCCCGAGTCTATCGGGCCCTGGGCCGGGAGGTTCTGTTGTTGAGTTTGAAGGCCATCGCGGTCCTCTCTTCCATCACACCGATCTGGAAGGGAAATGGGGGTAGGTGGCGCCCCGGCATACGGTTACCGGCCGCCATGTACGACACCCGTGCAACAACCCGTGGCACGCTCGTCGTCTTCCTTGTTTAGGGGGATGTCCGGCGAGAAGATCAGCGGGCACGAGCCTTGCCACAAGAACCTTCCCCGCATCGGCTTCACCTTAAAATCAACTCGGCCCATTCAGCGAATGATCGTGTCACGATCATTCCTTCCCCAGTTTTTGTGCCGTCATGGTTGGCCGGAGCAGACACTTCCGCCACATACTTGCTCCGAGTCATGTTGATGGCCTTGAAACCTCGAAGCTGCGAAGTAAGATACGACAAAACGGAGTACTGTAGTCCTGTCGGCAACGCGGCCGACTCCAACTTTCTCTATCTTGTGATTTTTAAGGATAAGTATATAAAGGTCTTGGATACCCAAGATTGTAGTATCCGAAGGATCTGAGGTTCCAAGCGATCAACGAATTGATATCAGTATTGTCGATCATGGGTTCAGACCTGGGCAGTACGCCCAAAAGCGGCTTTGGCTTGATGATGCAGAATCCCTATCTCTGTGGAGTAGCTTCTGTAAGTCTTATATGCGACTGAGCTTGATCTCCTTACTCACACGAGAGACAGTTCTCGACTCTGGGTGGTCTATTGTTCGGCTATGACCAGGGGGTGATTAGTGGTGTGATCACCATGGAATCTTTTGGGGCTCGTTTCCCAGATGTCTTCTCTGACAGTGGATTCAAGGGATGGTTCGTGTCCACACTGCTACTAGGTGTGTTCCATTGCTATCAGACTTTTCTTACGAGGTTAGTGAAGCTAACTTGTTTACAGCTGCGTGGGCTGGGTCTTTGATAAACGGGCCTGTTGCTGATCGCATTGGACGGAAGCTATCGATCAATGTGGCCGTGGTGATCTTTGTCGTTGGATCTGCTATCCAGTGCGGTGCGGTCAATATTCCGATGCTTTTCACTGGTATGCACATTGTACATCTCGGAGGACAAGAGCCCGTCTGATATTCTCAAACTACAGGCCGAGCAATTGCTGGATTGGCCGTGGGCATGCTCACCATGGTTGTACCCTTGTATATCTCTGAGGTGAGTGTTCAATTGGACTCCACTAAGCTAAGGTGATAGCTGACCTAGACATAGGTCTCCATTCCAGAAATTCGTGGCGGCCTTGTTGTCGTGCAACAATGTCAGTTTCAATATCTAGGCGTTATGCTCGGAAACATTCTAACTTTCTGCATAGTATCTGTCACGATTGGCATTCTAGTCAGTTACTGGATTGACTACGGTACCAACTATATCGGCGGATCTCGATGCGCACCAAATGTCCCATATACTGGTGGCACGGCCTCCAAGCCCACCTTCGACCCATACCAGGATGTACCAGCTGGAGGCTGCACTGGCCAGTCTGAAGCATCGTGGCGACTCCCACTAGCCATTCAAATTGTTCCTGCGATCGTTCTAGGGATTGGCATGCTGTTCTTCCCAGATTCTCCAAGATGGCTTATGATGAAGGAACGTGACGATGACTCGCTGACTGCGCTCTCAAGACTTCGTCGGCAAGATCGCAGTAGCCGAGCACTTCAGAACGAATACCTCGAGATTCGCGCGTCGATCATGCTCGAGAACACATTCGCACGACAGCACTTCCCGGGCCTGTCGGGCCTCAAATTGCATGCTGCTCAGGTCTGTACCTGTTCTTAAGGCTTTCATTGATCTACACACTGACATGTGTGACAGTATATGTCGTTCCTGACTACCTGGGCCCGCTTCAAACGCTTGGCTATTGGGTGCTGTGTCATGTTCTTCCAGCAGTTCATGGGTTGCAATGGTTTGTCTTCCTTTTCTTTTCAAAGCATCGACCGTCATATTCTAATTCTTGGTAGCTATGATCTACTATGCTCCGACTATCTTTGGACAGCTTGGTCTCGATGGCAATACTACCTCCCTCCTTGCAACCGGCGTGTATGGCATCGTCAATTGCCTGAGCACCCTCCCGGCGCTGCTCTTCATCGACAAGGTCGGCCGTCGTGTATTGCTCATGGCTGGTGCCACCGGTACTTGTATCTCGCTGGTCATCGTGGGTGGCATCCTTGGAGGCTATGGGTCTCACCTGATGGACCACAAGTCGGCTGGTTGGGCTGGTATTGCCTTTATCTACATCTACGATATCAACTTTTCGTACTCGTTTGGTGAGTTACCCGATTCTATTGCTCAAGGCTCTAATTCTGACCACAATTTCTTCTCAAGCCCCCATCGGCTGGGTTCTTCCATCGGAGATCTTCAACCTCTCGATCCGTTCCAAGGCTATCTCAATCACTACATCAGCTACCTGGATGTGTAACTTGTAAGTATCCGTCCCCGTTATCCATCGCTGCAGTAATTTAACTTGAGTTCACCAGCATCATTGGCCTTGTCACCCCGGACATGCTCAACTCAATTACGTATGGGACTTACATCTTTTTCGCGGCGTTCTGTTTATTGGCCCTGGCGTTCACATTCTTCTGCATTCCCGAAACACGCGGAAAGGTACGTGGGACTCCAAGCTTGCAACTGTACAACCGACGAAATATGCTGATAAATTGACCTTTCACAGACTCTCGAGGATATGGACCTTATCTTCGGAGACACGGCCGCACACGAAGAGAAGGAGCGCATTAAGCATATAGAGGCCGAGTTGCGCGGAACGCAGCTTGGTGACCATGATGATCTGAAGCCGGCGGACCAGCATACGGAGCATGTCGACGCTGTTTGAAGTCAACGGCTTTTTGTCATTATTTCCAAAATGCTAATCATATTCTCTGCATGCGTCTGAGATCGTATTTCCTACATTTCTTGAAACTGGCAGTTGACCAGAACTGCGACCTTTGCCTAATTTCCACTTCCACTTTCGCATTCCAATATCTGTCCCGTACGATAGGAACTTACAATTAGATACCCCAGGTGTTTCTAGACAAAATTCGGCGATGCTAACTCGTCATGAAGCCTCTGAGACCAACCTGCTCTATGTTATTCTGCTCATTGATCAGATATCATAGCTGTTCAATGTATTTAAGAACAATACCGTTGATTAAGACCTTCTCGACCGGTATCCGCCCTAAATTTGAGCTCCATCCCTCTTGAGGGCAGTCATGGGCTGTTTCTTGGAACGATTACATTGCCAGCCATATTTTCAGCCAGGTTTCAAAATTATTCTCGTCCTTCTAATAAAGTGATGGTACGGTCAAATGAGCACCCTGTTTGCCATAGATGGAGATGGAGATTCCCCTATCTGCCTGATGATTGAGGCTCCAACGCCGACGGGTCTTTCCATTAGGAGCTTCATGATTGCTCTGGCGCTTCCTATAGACCGGCCTTTCCTTTCCCTTCTTCTATTGCTTCTTCTTTCTCTCTTTCTCACCGCACAATCTCTCTCCTCTTTATATTTTACTCACTTTGTTTCCAAATGGAGTGATGCTGGTGAGACTGGAGGATTTGCAGGTCTAGCAAAGTCGGGTCAGTTCAAGTATATCCAGAATGTTTGGCAATGCCTTTGGATTATAGCACGTGAAATTGAATGTCTTCAAAGAAATAAATTTCGTAGTCGAAAGTTGAATGGAGAGGATGATGAGGCTCAAGCCGACGAAAGTCGCCAGATCGTCGGGCTGTGGAGCGAGCCGCCTTATCAGCCCCCGATAACTCCACCTCAGCAACTTCCATCATTTCCACCTCCTCTCCACCATCACTGCAGTCCGCCATCACACTGCCGCCATGTCGTCGCAGAGAAAGTCCCCACCGGCGTACGTTTCCAACGGACAGGCTCTTTCAAGGTGCGTATTCCTGACTTGAGTTCATATCCTCATCGTGAGGCCCTTACTAACCCACGGCGACTCGCACAGCCCCCCGTTGTCCGTTCGCCTCAACCGCTTCACTGAGAACGTATACCTCTTCTTGGGCCTCTATTTCGTGAGCCTCTTCGCGGTACGTGTCCCATCCGAGTGATATATATCATCTTGTCGCATTCATGGCACCTATACCCTCTGTTCTCCAATGTACCAATATGCTGACGCCCCAGTCCACCCGCAGTTTGACTCCTACGCCTCCGCCCAGGGCTCACAGTACAACATCCACAACCGAAATACCGCATCTAGCTCTTCATCTGGCTGGGGTGCGCGTACCAGCTCCTCCAGTTCAAATATTCGTCGTGGAGGCAATGGGGGCGGAGGCCCACGCGTCGGCCGGGTAGACGATGTCCGAGGGCCCGAGTGCAAGAGCTGCAGCTGATGTACGGGATAGACGGCGACAGAATTGGACAATAAGCAGCTTAGGAGGACTTGGCGGAGCGAAGGCGCCATGATGGTCCCGATATATGATTCGACCTCATGCATTGATGGCCTGCACGATTGAATAGTGGGCGAGTACAGCCATTGCGATTCCATTTCATTACCTTTGGGTATATCTTTGCTATACCTCAGGCAAATTTCTGTCATTTGAATATATCTTGGGTCATATCTTTCACCTGAAGCGCTTCTCACGCGCGCAGATGCCCTCGTGCTTTCCGTATTCTATGCATTTGTTGATTGAAGTAAATTTTTAACTCCAGCATGCAATTGCCACTTTCTACCCACACTTCTAGTCCACTGCGCCACATACCATGGCAACCTTAGGTATCTGCAATGCATCGGTGAATTCACAATTCGTCACGATCATGAGGCTCAACATCTCACGTGACATGGACCCCTCATCCTAAATTGCGGATGCAACCTTCTCATCTTCACTGCGTGGAGGACTTGAAAGCAAAATATTCAAAGAGAAGGCCAGCATGTCGTCCATCCCATCCAACGACGCCGAGTGGGCCGCGGCAATTTCATTGTTGAAGGACCGCGGACCTGAAAGGCCATTGTCGCCGCCCGCATGCCCTTTGGGAATGCCGGCCATGATCGACCACACCTTGTTGAAAGAGCCAACCGAGCCGGAACAAATTGATGCGCTTTGCGAGGAAGCTCGAGAATACAAATTTGCGACTGTCTGCGTCCGACTGGGCTATGTGGCCCAAGCTGCTGCCAACCTCAAGGACACATCTGTCGGGGTGGCCTGTGTGGTGGGGTTCCCCGAGGGCACCCACGATACGCAAGACAAAGTGAAAGAAGCACGCGAGGCAGTCGAGCAAGGCGCCCGGGAATTGGATATGGTCATCAATTACCCGAAACTGAAAAACGGCGAATACACAGCCGTCTACGATGATATCCTGGCGGTGCGCACAGTCGCACCAGCGCCCGTTCTCCTCAAAACGATTATCGAAGCATCGGAACTCGACAAGGACGAGATCATTGCTGCTACCATTATAGCCTGCATGGCTGGAGTCGATTTTGTGAAGACTAGTACTGGGTATAAAGGTCCCGCAACTCTTGATTATATCATGACTATGCGGATTGCCCTTCGGGCGGCCGGCTACCCGAGTGTTGGAATCAAGGCGAGTGGTGGAATTAGGAATGCCACTGACAGTCTACGGATGGTGAAGGCTGGTGCAACGCGGATCGGAACCAGTGCGGGAGTCAACATCGTGCGCGAGTTTGAAAATGGAGAAATCTTGGAGCAAGAAGCTAGCCATGCTGCGTACTAGGTTTCCCTTCACGATAGCTATGTAAAGAGGAAATATATGGGACGGTATCAGTGATGCTACAGATGCAGACAGTTGTTGGCTGTCAAAGAAGTAAATGATGGCGTGGACCTGGAATGTGGCTTGAAGAGCATCTAGTCTGGTGGTCACTCCGCATAGGAGGTGGTCTGCTTATTAGCGACTTCGCAATACCATCAAGCATCGAACCTAACGAAAATCAAATAATATATCAAATGGAGTAGATTTGTATGTCTGCGGATTACAGGCCTACCTATATCCTCACTGGAATCAAATCGACCATCCAAGAACCTGTCAAGTCCATATGCCGCAATTCAAAGAGTTCATTCTCTCTGGGTTCGACATGGGTATTCAATATCAAACATACCAGTACTTTCAGTCCGTCACTCTTTTCCTACCATTTTCCAACTCGCGCTCCCGCCACCGCCATAACGCAGCTAACACAGCACCAGGTCCAACAACAACGCAAGTAATGAAGCTGTAAAACAGCATCACAAGTGGAGATTTCGTTGTCAAATTCACTCGGCGCATATCCCAAACCATGAAACAGCACCATGTGACCACCGAAATTGTCAGTGAGGCGAGCTGCACCACATCTAAGGATGGTGCCGTCACGGCCATGAACGCAGTAGACCCAGAATACAACACCAGTCTGGTGAAAAACACCAAATGTGAAATACTTGTCAAAGCCAGAATCATGCTAAAGAACTGAGAGAGGTATTTCATATCTCTTGTCGAGTATAGTAATTGTACGACAGTCAGTTTCGTAGCACCTGTTTGAAAGAATAGCTTTCCGAGATGGAGTATGATCGGCAGAGCTAAATGCCACAAAGAGAGACTCCATCGAGAATCTTTGACGATTTCTTGGGCACTTCTACTAGAAGACACCAACAATCGGAGTATGATGGGCGCGCAAGTGACCAATAAAGCTACCGGAAGTGCCTTTGCTGCCAGTGGATTGATGGTTCGAGGAGATGGGTGATAGAATGATCGACTGCCACTGAAGTAAATGTGGAAGGCGAAGTAGATCGGTAAAACTGCCTGCCACCCAAATTTAGTAGCAGCGAGGATGAATGGGATTGCACTGATTTTGTTAGTTAATTACTAAAGACCAACTCGAGGATATTTTTACCTCAACAAAGGTGACATCAGGAGACTTGAACGATACGACTCAACTGTCCAGATTCCATTAATTGAAATCGCAGTGATGAACAAATAAATTTGCAGCACTGTAGACGCTGTGGAATCTGGATTCGGCACAAGACTGAAATTTTGAGAAAGAAGTGGACCACACCATGCGATAGATAGCATTAAGCCCACCCACAGAGCAGTGGCTATAGCCGGTCGGTCATGGGGGTTCGCCTTCACTTCTTCGTCCAGAGATACTGCCCCACGTCTGAACTTCTTCGGTAGGTATTTCAAAGTGTGAGCTGAATTCGAAGCAGCTGCTAACATAGGACCCAGATGCTCTCCGCCAAGCTGAGTGGTAACTTTGAGCTGTAGAAACTCCAGTATAGGGTTCTCAAGGATTTCCATCTGTTGGACCTTTTTGGTTGCTTCCATAAGGCCAGTGGTCCTAGGGCATCTTTCCTCCTGAAATTCCAAGAAGATTCGTTGAAGTGTGTCATCATCTGGATGCGGGGTTTTGTCGAGTACGCCTTTTAAGAGATCGGCTAAGAAGCCAGCTGATTCAATCGCCGAGTTTCCTCCCTGGCCCAGAAGAGGATTCATCTGATGGGATGTTAGCTACGTCTAACAAAACAAATTTAGAGGGTCTTACCTTGTGGAATGAGTCGCCAATCAAAATTGCGCGCTTATAAAAGCATCGTTTTAACACAAACTCCTCAAGCGGCACAAGAACAGAGCCCATTCTACTATTGTATAAATCCTTGAAGGTGATATCAAGGAAGAGGGGGTCATCAGCAATTTCAGCCGCCAGATCTTCTTCATCCTGAGTTGTGTAGCGAGGAATGGAAGTATGGATGGTGAGGTCGGGGTTTTTGACAAAAGCAAACCAATAGAATTTCCCGTCCTTCCCACTGGAGGTTAAATAAGAGCGACCCCTGTGGTAGCATTTGAACGATTTGTTATCCGGAACACCCTCTGGGCGCTTCGATATGCCAAACATACATTTGTACTGGCATTGAATTGCTGTCTTGCCATTAGCGGTCCCACTCGAGGGTTGAGGAGTCCCGGTATAGATACTCACATCGACTCAGCTCCGAGACGGGGTAATCTGCTCTCTCAGACTCAGCGATTCTCCAGATCTCATTTCTCATCCGACTATGGACCCCATCTGCCCCGACTAAAATGTCTCCTTGTATGATAGATCCATCTTTGAGGGTGACTCGCACACCTTCATCTAGTTCTTCGATCTTGACGCATTCACTGTTGGTATGGATCTTGGATTTGTCTTTAAGACCGCCATACAAAGCTTGAAGTAACTGCTGACGGTCTAAAAACCGCATCCTATAGCCAAGTCTGTTCAAGTCTTGTCAGTTCCGTATTCTTTGCCAGTATGCTGGGGGTGACAACTAACAGATCTTCCATCAAATCCCCGAATGGCTCAGTTTTACCCAATACTACCGCATCCGGACCCAAAGCCTCAGATTCGTCCACAGGCATTGATATCTCATCCACCCGAGAGAATATCCCAAGCTGGTCGAGTATTCTGGCGCCGTGGGGAAGCGTCCCAACGCTCGCGCCAAGCTGGGGTGCTATTGTAGGATGTTTCTCCAGGACGACATAGTTTATACTGTACCGCTCAAGGATGTTTGCAAGAGTTAGACCAGCAATACTTCCTCCGACAACAACGACTTTGAATGTAGACATAATTGTCGAAGTACCAATGTAATGGATCTAGATGGTTAATGCACCCTGTCGGAGGGCGGGGTGGGAGAGCTTCATTAAATACACCCCAGTTCAGGTGGTGCTCATTCTGTGCCTCTCCGCTGCCATTCTGGCAAAATGGAGAGACGCTGACGTCTACCCCTTCATCATCCGTTTCGCGCCAATATGCTCATGGTGCGACGAAGGACCGACTGACCAACTATGCGAAGAAGCCTGCCGAGTAGTTAGTTAGGTTAACCAACTTACAGTTAGGTTCCGCTTATTAAGCGCAAGTGGCGTCCATATTTTCCCATCATTGGGGCTCAGCGCACACGGTATGCGTAAATGCCTTAATGTTGGTAACTTGGTACAGTGGCGTTCCATAAGTTTGCAACACTCGAAACAGTTCCAAACCATCATCAGCTATACTTTACGAGGCAAGTTGAACAAAGATGCCGGGGATATCTAGAAAGAGTGTTCAAAAAACATTCAGAAAGATCTGTTAAAAACATAAAATCGAGGCATATTTCGATAGCGTTTTTCTTGGTCCCTGGTTTCAGACTTTTTGAACTGCCACTGTACCTGACGCCTAGCTTTTGCACATTTCTTGCATATCGGTGATCGGGATCTCAACCCCGACTTGAGGTTATTTTTGTCTCGAGTCGGAGTCGGACCGTTGGATGCCGCCCCGGGCTGGGATCTCCCGGACGAAATCTCGGCGAAATCTGCTGAGCCGGGCTGGGCTATGTCAGCTTCGCTAGTTTGACTAGCAAGCTATTTATCATTCTGGAGAGAGAGTTGATCCCAACGTTGTTCTGACTAATATCGGAGATCGGAAAATTCTCTTCTTATCTCTAGTCCAATTGGGCAATAGAAAATTAAGGAGGCATTTGTTTATTTCCGATCTAAACAAAAGTTGATCTTGAACGGGGCTCTCACTGAAGGTTCTCAATCCCGCTGAGTCAGCGGGTGATTAGGTCCAACACCCGTCTTTGGAGCTCATCTTAATCCGGACGAAAATCTACGATGATCGACACACCAGTGCCTCGACCAGTCGGCTTCGGGGGACCCGAAGCCAATAAAGAGCCACCATTCAGGGCGCCCATGAGGTTCCACTGGCTTTTAATGGGGCTGCGGATGACCTAGTTTCCGGCTAAGATCTCTTTCCGGCCCCGAGATCTCCACCGTTTCAATAAACATGGCTGAAAACACTGGAACCCTACCCGAGTTGACGTAGTCGCGCAGATAGTCGCATCTCCATCCGGGAGCACGTTGTGTTCATTGAATTTAAAGTTTTTATTTGGTTCATAGGCCAAGGGGGCAATGGTACCTTACTATTTATTAGAGACCGCGACCCCCTAATTCTCCTCAGCGTACCACCCGAACTGTATACTCCTAGTTCAATCTCGCTTCTCGGTACCTGGCTTGGTATCTAGTGCCCTCCCTCTTTTCATTATGTCTTCGGACACAGTTAGCGAAGACAAGTCTGTGTATGAAGATGATCAGCCAACATATGAGCCTATCAATCACATTGATCAGAATGAGGTTGAAAATCTTACTCGCATTGCCACCCAACAATCTCGTCGACAATCAATCATCGCTCATCGACTAGCCTCCATCGCCGAACACGATGAATCCCTAAACCCCCAATCGCCAAAATTCGATCTTGCGAAATGGCTGAGGGCAGCCATGAACGATGTCGCTCGTGACGATCCTCGGGGCCAGAACATGGGTATTGTCTTCAAGAACATGAATATCTACGGATCAGGGGCAGCTCTACAATACCAAGGGACTGTCTCGGACCTCCTGGCTGGACCACTTCGACTGCCTCAGGCGATTCGCGAATCTCATTCCCCTCGCAGACGTATCCTCAAGGACTTCAACGGTCTTCTTAAAAAGTCTGAACTACTGTTGGTTCTGGGGCGACCTGGTGCTGGCTGCAGCACTTTCCTCAAGTCGCTATGTGGAGAGCTTCACGGCCTGGATCTTGATAATGAAAGCGTCATTCATTACAATGGTGAGTTCCAGTAATCAGGAAAACGTAACAAGCTCTCTCTCACTAACGTATGACCGTCACAGGTATCACCCAAGAGCGAATGACAAAGGAATTTAAAGGTGAATTGGTATACAATCAAGAGGTATGCCATTAGGACCACCCCATTGCTCATGTTGCGACGTTGCTAACTATTTCCTGTTCAGGTTGACCGTCACTTTCCTCATCTCACGGTTGGCCAAACGTTGGAATTTGCTGCCGCTACTCGTACTCCGTCCCATCGATTCCAGGGCATGTCGCGCTCGGAGTTTGCCAAATATATGGCCCAAGTCGTGATGGCAATCTTCGGGTTGAGCCATACCTACAATACCCGGGTCGGTGACGACTTCATCCGTGGAGTCTCTGGTGGTGAGAGAAAGCGTGTCAGTATCGCCGAGATGGCTCTCGCGGCTTCACCTATTGCTGCTTGGGACAATTCTACTCGAGGTTTGGACTCGGCCACCGCGTTGAAATTCGTGGAGAGTCTCCGCTTGTCGTCAGATCTCACTGGCTCTGCTCATGCCGTTGCTGCCTATCAAGCCAGTCAAAGCATCTATGATATTTTTGATAAGGTTGTTGTTCTGTACGAGGGACGGCAGGTCTTCTACGGGCCTGCTTCCAAGGCCAAGGCATACTTCGAGGAGCAAGGCTGGGAATGTCCACCACGCCAAACTACTGGAGATTTCTTGACATCTGTGACAAACCCCCAGGAACGTCAAGCTAAGCCGGGCATGCAGGGTCGTGTTCCACGTACACCTGAAGATTTCGAGAATGCGTGGCTTCAATCTGCCGAGTATCAACGGCTACAGCGCGAAATTGCCGCCTATGAGGAGCAATACCCGATGGGCAACGACCAGGCCGCGATTGAGTTCCAGGAGAGGAAGCGGGATAGACAAGCAAATCACACTCGACCAAAGTCTCCCTATATCATCAGCGTCCCGATGCAGATTAAGCTCAATACGGTCCGTGCCTACCAACGTCTGTGGAACGATGCTGCATCAACGGTATCCACTATTGTCAGCAACATCATCATGGCTCTAATCATTGGCTCGGTATTCTATGACTCGCCCAACACCACCTCGGGATTTACGTCCAAAGGTGCTACCCTGTTCTTCGCGGTCTTACTCAACGCGCTTACAGCAATGAGTGAGATCAACAGCCTCTATGCCCAACGCCCGATTATTGAAAAGCACAACTCCTATGCATTCTATCACCCGTCGACGGAAGCGATAGCGGGTGTGGTTGCCGACATACCCGTCAAGTTTGCTCTGGCAGTTGTGTTCAACATCATTCTTTACTTCATGGCTGGCCTCCGACGGGAACCAGGAAACTTCTTCCTCTACTTCTTGGTTACTTTCCTTATCACATTCGTGATGAGTGCTGTTTTCCGTACGTTGGCCGCCGTGACGAAGACTGTGTCCCAGGCTATGGGTCTGGCAGGTGTTATGATTCTAGCACTTATCGTTTATACAGGTAATTTTAACTCCTTCATCCGAACACACGTTATCTAGGAGAATTTGAGCTAACCTTCCATTAGGATTCGTGTTGCCCGTTCCGTCCATGCATCCCTGGTTCGAGTGGATTCATTATATAAACCCTATATACTATGCTTTCGAGATTTTGATCGCCAACGAGTTCCATGGAAGAGATTTCGCTTGCTCGCAATTTGTTCCTAGCTACGCTGATCTGTCAGGCCAATCATTTTCCTGCTCCGCTTCTGGTTCTGTCGCAGGCGAAACGACTGTCAACGGCGATCGATATATCATGCTCAACTACAGGTATAGCTACAGCCACGTGTGGCGAAATGTCGGCATCCTCTTCGCATTCCTCATTGGCTTCATGGTGATTTACTTCATCGCGTGTGAGGTGAATTCCTCAACAACCAGCATGGCAGAGGCTTTGGTTTTCCGTCGCGGTCATGAACCGGCACACGTGCGCCGTGGCCTCAAAAAGACAGAATCAGATGTGGAAAGCGCTGATACAGTGGCCGTGAGAGAATCCTCCGCCGACGAAGAAAATGGGAAAGGAATGGCTGCTATCCAACCTCAGACGGACATCTTCACCTGGCGTGATGTGTGCTACGATATCAAAATCAAGGGAGAACCCCGGCGACTTTTAGATCACGTTTCTGGATGGGTTAAACCCGGTACCCTTACAGCTCTTATGGGTGTTAGTGGAGCCGGAAAAACCACCCTGCTTGACGTACTGGCACACAGAACTTCTGTCGGTGTGGTGACCGGTGATATGTTTGTCAATGGTAAGGTGCTCGATGCTAGCTTCCAGCGGAAGACAGGGTATGTGCAGCAGCAAGACTTGCATCTCGAGACTGCTACTGTGCGCGAGTCCTTGCGATTCAGTGCCCTTCTGCGTCAGCCTGCAAGTGTTTCGATCAAGGAGAAATACGACTACGTTGAGGATGTGATTGGCATGCTTAATATGGAGTCCTTCGCTGAGGCCATTGTCGGTGTCCCCGGTGAAGGTCTGAATGTCGAGCAAAGAAAGTTGCTCACGATCGGCGTTGAACTTGCGGCAAAGCCTAAACTTCTCTTGTTCTTGGACGAACCGACCAGGTATGAGAAATTGACTGACTCAAAAGCAATTTATAAAGCTAACCAGTTTTTTTAGTGGTCTTGACTCGCAGAGTTCCTGGGCTATCTGCTCTTTCCTCCGCAAGCTCGCTGAGCACGGACAGGCTGTCCTTTGTACAGTTCACCAGCCGAGTGCTATCCTTTTCCAACAGTTCGACCAGCTCTTGTTCCTGGCCAGAGGCGGTAAGACTGTTTACTTCGGGCCGATTGGCGAACAGTCGCGAACTCTCTTGGACTACTTCGAATCCCACGGTGCACGCAAGTGTGGTGACAGTGAGAATCCTGCCGAATACATGCTAGATGTTGTGAATGCCCGCACCAACCCACAGGGAGAAGATTGGTTTGATGTGTGGAAACAGAGTAGGGAAAGCGGAATGATCCAGACTGAGATTGACCGGATTCATAAGGAGAAGGGAGGCGAGAGTTCTGGATCTGATGAGGATCTTTCTGTCACCCGTTCCGAGTTCGCTATGCCTTTCTGGTTCCAGCTCTATCAGGTCACCTATCGAGTGTTCCAGCAGTACTGGCGCATGCCTTCATACATTATCTCCAAGTGGGGACTTGGTATCGCCGCAGGTCTATTTATCGGTTTCTCTTTTTACCAGGCCAAGCCGTCACTTCAGGGAATGCAGACCATTATCTACTCGGTCTTCATGCTTTGCACAATTTTCACTTCTCTTGTTCAACAGGTTTGTCTCTTTGTCCTTCTCTATATTATTGCCATGACTAACTCCCGTAGTTGATGCCTCTCTTCGTGACACAACGCTCTCTGTACGAAGTTCGTGAACGTCCCTCAAAGGCTTACAGCTGGAAGGCTTTCTTGATCGCCAACGTCATTGTTGAGATCCCCTACATGATCGTGACCGGTATTCTCATCTACGCCTGTTACTTCTACGCAGTTGTCGGTATACCCAGCTCCGTCAGCCAGGTGACCGTTCTTCTGCTTTGCATCCAATTCTTCATCTACGCCGGTACATTCGCTCAGATGGTCATTGCCGCTCTCCCCGACGCCGAAACTGCCAGTGCAGTTGTCGTCCTTCTCTTCGCCATGTCCCTCACTTTCTGCGGTGTGATGCAACCTCCATCCGCTCTTCCTGGATTTTGGATTTTCATGTACCGCGTCTCTCCCTTCACGTACTGGACGGGCGCCATGGTCTCGACCCAAGTCCATAATCGTGATGTTGTTTGCTCTTCAGCCGAACTTTCTGTTTTCGATCCTCCTTCTGGCCAGACATGTGGACAGTATCTTGGAGAATACGTCAAGCTCGCAGGGGGTCAGTTGCTTGACTGGAATGCCACTTCAGACTGCAGCTACTGTGCTGTTCAAAAGGCGGATCAATACATTGCGCAGTCTGAGATCTACTTTTCACAAAGATGGCGGAACTTTGGCATTGTTTGGGCTTTTATTATATTCAACATCTTCGTTGCCACTGTGACTTACTACCTGTTCCGTGTGAAGCGCTGGGATCTCGAGAGCCTCAAGCAAAAGCTTCTTCCTTCGAGATTTACTAAGTCGAAGGAATAGAGGCTGTTGGAATCTCGGCCCCCTCCTTGTCTTTTGCCTTATTTCTTTTTGCCTTTTCTGCTGTTTTTTATTTGTTCGTCTGCACATACTGCAGTGACCACTTTGCACACTATTTTCCTTCTAATATGTTATATTATTTAACCTCCGATAGAGCGCAATACTTGTCAATATAGAGCTAGTTATTCATCAACGAGTACATTCGGGTAAATTCAAAGTATAAAGCTAAGGCCCTGCAGGGCTATGCAGAGGACGCCTGGGTTTGAGTACTGAGAATTCAAACAGTTCCCACCTCGAGATTCTTTTGGCCTAAGATGTAACGATTTGGCCGTGGTCTACTTATGGCAGTAGACTTCATTAAGTAAGAACAATTTCAAGGCCGCGCAACATCTCATCTCCGAAAGCGATCAGTCCAGAGATAGCGATATCCAAATGTTTGCCGTATCAGTGAAACTATTTCAAACCAGCTGCAGAGGTTGGTATGCAAGTCCTCCGAAGCCAGCAGGCAAGACTGGGGACAATAAATACAAGGCTTGATACGGGGAATTATAATGCCGACCCTGATGCAAGTCACGCCAACTTTTATGAAGATGGACAAACTGAGCAAGCTGAGGCTGAATAATCATAGCACCCAGCTCATTTTGACTTGAATCTAGCCCATCCGGATTTTTATACTTGGCCTAAATACCCTTGAAGATCTGTTGACCTTGGATCGTGGATCTCTTGAATGTTCAGAGCGACATCTTTAATCCTGAGAACGCTTTCTGTCTGTCTTCATAGCTAGATGCGAGAATGTGACGGTGGAATTGAATATTTCGAGAATGTCTACTGCAAATTTGGAGAGAGGGAATGGCCTACTCCTGCCTAGCTAACCAATTTGAAGGAGGAGGAGGAGAAGAAGAAGAAGAAGAAGGAGGAGGAGGAGGAGGAGGAGGAGGAGGAGGAGGAGGAATAACAATGAGATTAGCGAATATCCAGTGATGCAAATCCCTGGGTAACGAGTACATGTACCTAAGTCTCTTTATCAGGGCCACGGCAAGAGTGCCAGTAACCTGGAGAATCTTATAAACCATACCCTTCATATTGGAATCCTAAACGCGCCAAGTCTCGAGCTCCTCAAGTCTAATGTTTCCACAACAGCATCCCACCATAATCAGATCCTTCGGGAAGGGCAGGGAAACATTATTCGTCACAATCACGACCTAGCGAACTCTTCCCCTCCATTCAAGACATTACCACAGTGAAAGCCACAGCAAATCCTCGTCTTAATCAGATAACAGCCTCCATATATAGTACAACCATCAAACACTCTCTAGAGGACCCCTCTCAGTATCCTCCCGACCAATCCCACCCACACCCTCCAATCCAGAGCCACAACCACAGCCCTACCACACCGACGTCATCCACAGGTTCCCCCAATTCACAGAGGAAGCCAAATTAAACGTCGACGAACTTCTCCCAAAGAAACACCACACACACCCAATCCCCAGGGACGGAAGATCACCTCATTTCCTCTGTATACATTCCAGCCAGGGAGGCAGGGGCATTCTACATGCCGAGCAAGCTCTCGATCCTAGTGTTTGTCGCCTCGCCACTGGATTTTGCGCGATACAGACACGCAGCGCTGTACTTTGAGTTTGAAAAGACACACTCAAACGTTCAAATCGAGAAAACGGTTAGATTCAATGAGTCGGTTGCGGAAAGGGAAGATGATATCAAGTCCTCGGTGATGGAGGTGGTCGGGTCACCGGGGTTTTTAAGTTTTTATGAGCGGGTTAATACTGATTTGCCTGCTGCAGCGACTGGTAAGTAAATTCGACAGGCTGGATGAGGGTGTTTGAATTTTCCACTTTTTTTTTTACTTTCTCATGGCTTGATTTGTTTCTTTGGTCTTTCTGATGGGTGTCACAGGTCTTGCGAAGGCTGTCTTTGTATCTTCTATACCGGACACGGTACCTGTATCATCATTGCGGGCGATAGTATCAGAGACACCGGTCGATGATCTGGAAGGAGACTGGAATAGTCAGAACTGGGTTGGTGATGCGCTGGGGCGATTGGTTACCGCGGGCTATTTGGATGCCGCGGACAAGGAACGTGCGGTAGATGATATGGTGGATGTTATATTAGAAGCGAAGGACGAGGAGACTGCATAGGGCTTGCTGTACATCGAGCTGGTTCTGAATACTTCCTACTATATGTGTGTATATAATCATGGAGGCCACGGGGATGTAGGTCTTGGATATTTGTGTTGAATAATTTCTCCACTAAACATGCAGCTTCGCTTTGTAGCTCGAGGGAGAACATGAACTGCAAGTACCTTGGATGAACCATCCATAGATAACAATTTGGGACTTTAGAATTATGGAAAGATCAGAGAAAGCGAAAGATGAACGCTCGGACCATCCATGCAACGCGCTGCACACCACGCTAAGAAAACAGTCATCAAGGAAGGCCGGTCAGGAAGGAAGAAAGAAGGATAAGCTAGAGTTCAGAGTCGAAAGTCCAAGGACGGGTGTGGGAGATACACATCCGGGGACCAACTTGGTTTGAAAGAAGACGAGGGCTAAATGGAGAATAGAAAACGAAAGACCATGGAGCAAGAAAAATAAAAACGCCAAGTTCAGGTTTCATGCACACCACATGCGAGAAAGACATGCGAAAGGGAATTGCAACAACAAATTTCCCGGATAGTCATCGCGTTTCCTTTTTGAAGGGAGTTCGTAGCTTCGTAATCATCATCTGCGATTTTCGTTCGGTTCCCAATGGATCGGTTCGAAATCTTGATTTCGGAAATGTGCCTGGTTGTACGGCGAACTTTGATAGTAGAGTCAACGATTATATTCATAGCATCCCACTTCAACCCGGTTACTTACTTTTTAAACGGAGCCGTCACTGGCAGGTGGTTTAGATTCGGTTTCATCACCAATGGATTCAAGCGGATTTGTGGTCCATCCGACGACCGGCTCGGCAGAGAGGTCATCGGCGGGGGTGCCGCAGATGGGATAGCAGGCGTAGGCGAAGACACTGGTATGGACGGTACAGGTGCATGGGTCTGCATGGGTGACTGGTACATATCCTGGGTTGGAGATAGGCGGTACGGGCTTGTTGGGGTTGGCGAGACCGAGGCTATTGGCGACATGGGGGCACCGCCCATACCGAATGCAGGGTCGGCCATCAAGTTGGGAATGGACATCAAGTGGGAGTTGACGTCGAAGGAGAGAGCACCTTGGTCCCAGGGAGAATAGTTAGAAGTCATTGCGTATTGATAGTTGACCACGGGTGCCATATTCACAGTCTGTTCGGCGCGGTAGATGATATCATAGTGACCCCTATAAAAATTAGTCACGCGGATCTTCACAGGGAGGGTCGATAGTGATGAAGCGAGTTGTCTTACGGTCGGTACAGCAGACGAATCGTTGCATCGCTGGGACAGGTTGGCGATAGCTGATGCGGCGTCACGGCATCGCCCTCGCTTCGGTCGAGATACAGAATTTCGACTCCAAACCCAGCACCCTGAATTATACCGTCCACCAAGGCCTGCAGGCCGACTTCATCAATTTCGGTTCTCACTGTGTCAATCTCCGAGGCGCAGTATTGTTCCAACGGGACAGGCAGGAATGCTTGATAGCGTACTGGATTGAGCTTCATCCAAGCGCTGGTCAAAAGCTGCTGGTCTGTCAGCCATCAAATAGTCAGAATCATGCAAAGGTCGGCGTACTCTGAAGTGCATCAGGATGGAATTTGACTTGTATTCGTCGTTGAAGGCGTTAATCAGGAAAGACTCGTCTTGATCGCCATTCTGGATAGCCTCTGAAGTCTGCGCAAAGACCTCTTCCGTGGCATCGATGAACATCTCATACAGATGCTCTGCGTAGCCAACGCGATCCAGAGTGTAAGTGAGGGACTTGAGGCGAGCAAGTTCCTGCTCTACGCGCAGGATATCTCTAAGGGAAAAGAGGGTCTCAAAATAGCCAAAAGCCACGGCTGAAACAAGGGTTAGTAGTGTCATTTGTATGCTCGGGTGGTAAGGGCGTTTTGCTTTCGTACCTCGCCATCCACAGTTTCCATCACCCTTCATGACGCGAGTCATTGGGTGTGTGACGGCAAGTGCCTATAAAACATGAGAATTGAAAGTGCGACCGAAGCCGGAGGTATACTTACGGATGTTTTTGTAGCGAACGTGGGATCTGCATTGGCATAGTCCAAGGCAATGTGGTGACTTGATTGTTTCGGCGAGACCAATAGCCCCTGTGGCCATACTTAGCCTCACCTTTCCCCACGCAATCTCCAACAGGATCACCTACCGGTACATCTGGCTGAAATTCATTGGAGAGCTTCTGAAACCGCTGCATCTCGTCTGGGGAGAGCGCGTTCATGTTGCTGGAGTTGCTCATGGCGGGAGGTCCTGGGGCAAAAGCTGCCGATATTGACAAGCCTAGTGGGCGGAGAAAAGCTGACGGGTCAAGAGCGTCCTGGTAACAGCCGTGGAATTTCTGTTTTTCCGGGAATGGATGGTGAGGACCGATATGACTCCAGGAAAGTTTTGACAAGGACATCGCATACAACCGGGGGAGAATAACACGCGGGATGCTATGTGGGGCTTAGAAGCGTGGACTTGATATCCACACGGAAGATTCAATGTTCTTCGATGATCTGGATCTCTGGGTTAGGATGGAATACAACCGAACTCCACCTGAGAAGGAGGATATAGGATGAGATAATAAGACTCACCGGAAGTAAATTAACATCTCCCTATAGAACCCTTTCCTTCTGGAGCGGAACACGGAAGTGTACCCTGCGGTCGTTGTACAACCGCTGCAAGGGGACGACACTCTGGAACTAAAACATGTCAGTCGAAGCACGACGATGTCGAACACATGAAAAACGAAGAGAAAAAAAAAAGAGAATGCAGGCAATGTGATCATCCAGGGTAAATTCAACGAGAGCTTGTTGGAAATGGCGGTCTACCAATGAGAGTGGTATGTGGGGAAGCTAGATTTGAAGCCGCTGAGCCACGAAAATGAAGATGGTGGGCAGCCTTTTGCTCCTCCCAGGCCAACGAAGCACCCTCTGCACGGTGATTGGACCGAGCGCACTCAAATAATATTTTGTGATGAAGGGCCCAAGGCCCTCGTTCACGACACAGAGAAACGTGAAGTGGGGACGGGCTTGAAGAAATGAGGGGGATAAGATAGTCGGGATTGGGGACGGGGGATCAACAATCAGGGAATAATGGCAAGGAATATCAGATCGATTTTTCTTGATGATAGCGTGGCTCTAGGCCAGCTCCAGCCCGTGATAGTAACGATCATGAAATGATGTCAGCGTGGTCGAGCTGACGACTTCCAACGGCTACCGTGTGGTTGGTAGCGGCCGCGAGATCATCGCCCTCGGAAGGGTGCACGAACCACTCAACGATCATCTGCCCCTCAGTTTTAGGAGTGTGGACCGGGCATCCCAGGCAAAGCCGACAGAGGGCCAAAAGGGTAAGACCACGGAGAAGATTTCCGGGATCAAGAAGCCAGCAGCGGAGAGGGTGGGAGGCTGGGAAAGTGGACAGACAACAGACCATCAAATGGTGTCGACACCGGGTCGATGGGGGCGTCTTGGACGATGGAGAAGCCAAGAGCCGGTCGGAATAGAGCAGGGGGAATTGGATTACGCCAACAAAGAAAAGAAAACAGCGATCGGGGAGGAGAAAAAAAAACAGGGATCAGACCTTGGGGAATAGGATGTTTGGGCTTCCACGATCACTGGCCACACGTGGATGATCTAATCATGGAGGGGGCGGAGAAAGAGAGACAGAGAGACCTGGTAGTGGGAGGGAGGGTGGGGAAGATTGCAGAAGAAAGTAATAATCCAAGTAGTAGTCGTCGTAGTAGTAGTAGTATGGGACGGATTTGATGATGATTGAAGTATTCAAGGCGGGAGAGAAGAAGAGAGGAGGTAAAGTAGAAGAAAGAAAATATTGGCGGAGTTCGTGGGAGAGAAGAGGGGGAGGGCAGTTGTCAAGAGACTCCAGACCCAGCAGGTTGGTACTCCGTCCACAGCTTTGAGGGTCAAGCTGGGAGGTAAATGGATTGAGTTGTGACTAATATTTTTTTGGACTTTTTTTTGTGTTTTTAACTGGACGAGAGAATGATCCAAGTTGACGAAACACGAGGCGAAGCAGGAGAGTCACTGACAAGCGTCTCTGGGAGAGCCGGGAAGGACGGAAGGAGGAGTCCTGTACTCACGATGCCTCTGTCGGGCAATCTCAAGGCACGGAGATCTCCCGAGGGAATCGAAATGGGAGGGAGAAATGACAAGGACCAGGATTAGGCAAAAGAGAGAAGGAAAACAACACGGAGCAACGCAGTCGACGAGAGGGTTAACAAACCTATAAGAGGAGCAGGAAATATCAGGCCCTCCGTCAGGAACTAAGTAGTTCGGTAGCTGGTTCCGTACCCAACCCCAACTGCTCGAGGATAATGCTCAGGAAGTAGAGAGTGATGGACCAGCTAACGCGCAAGATAAAAAAAACGAAGCGGACCTTTCTCTCCCGTCTCAACTGCCCTCAAACGATGAAGTAACAATGCACCGTGCCCTCCGTGGCCTGACCATTCACATCAGTCCGATCGGAGACAGGAGGCCCCTCTCCCGGATCCCATTCAGCAGCATCAGATCCACGCCTGAAGATGCGGATCGAAAAGTGCCAGCACAACCCTACAGCACGCCCCTCTTTCGCAAACAAACTGCAGGGGGAGATTTGCGAGACCCTCCACATTGCCACGCCCGAGGTTATACTACAGTTCACCGTCTGTATCGACTGTACAATATGTACAGTAGTAACCAGACTAGATCTCTCTTTTCTCTATGCTATTTGACACTCTTCCCATACCCAGAGACTCTAGGTTCTATTAAACTATTTACCACCCCCAATTGTGGACCACAATCTACAGTAGTCACTGCCTAGCTACTACCCACTCTGTAAGCGTGGCTTCAGCGCGTATCCCATCCCAAAAATACAATACACAAAGTACACAGTATACAAAAAAAAGGACTCCAAAAACTGCCCGCCCCGCCAGCAGCCGGACCCCGATCGTTCCACTCTTGACTCTTGGCCTTAACCAAGTTAGCCAGCTAATGCCATCGAGAGAAACCCGCCAATCTATGGGATATCTCAATGCACCGGTCATAATCTCTGTGCCTTGTGATGATGAACCTTGACCTACTCAATTGTTTGCCATCCCGATCATCCTATATATCACAATCCCACAATATCAGAATCGGTCACTTTCTGGATCCCGCTCCAATACCTCCCATAATTATCCCATCCTATATCCCAAACCCATTATTACACTTTCTCCAGAAGTAGAGGGTCTAAATTCTACCTTCGGCTAGATCTTGGCCAGCCCCTCCAGGCATCCAGCCCCTTCCCTTCCCATTTACCCGTTCCAAAAAGCGGGGGTTTCGAATCTTCCAGCGTCTTAACCTGCACAATACTGCACCCTACAGTGCAAACCAAAAGACTCCACGATGAGGTGACAGCATGCCCGCTAGCCCCTCGTCTCGCCGCACCGAGTCGGTGCTAGCTCCCTAGGTGGGAAGGGAAAAAGCATGTTTGATCGGTTTCCAACGGGCGAGAGGCCCCGCTGCGATTCACGAATGATCGAGGGTCCCCATGCACCGGCAGAGTGGTCCCCGATGCGCCGTGAAAGGGTTTCGTTCGAATCAGGACCGGACTCCTCATCGAGATCGAGATCAAACTACTGGGGAAACTAGTGATAGCAAATAAACCAGCAGGAGCATGGGCGTGGCCAAGGGCATGAGCCCTCGATGATGATGCATCTTGCTCGGCTGGCCTCGCTAGGCTCGTTGCTAACAGGCTGTTGGTGTGGGTATGCCGATCTACAGTATTGTAACTACAGTAGCAAACCCCGAGATATCCGCATTGCTCCTCGTCGGCGTACTCTATCGTGATTCATTACTTTTTGCTAGGCGAGAGATACGTCCCAAAAGGACTTCAGATGATAATCGAATAAATCGCCCCCATGGCTATCATAGCCTATGACAGCCCGAATGCCAAATCCCAGATTCGAGGACTTGGGAAGCCCAGGATCGGGCCCACTCTGCATCACATCAGCTGTGGCATGAATTTAACTTCCTTCTTTGCTTGAAACTTAGTTCTTGACAGCACGGTTCTTGCGTCCCTTTCTTTTTCCCCCCTCACCTCTTCTTCTTTTCTTTTTCCCTATCCGCGTTCCAGGATCACCTGGCGCGGCGCTAGGACTTGATTGATAGGTGGAGAGTGTCTGATGTGATCGTAATCCGAGCCGGGGACGTGCGCCTGGGCAAGCCTACGAGTTTACAGTTGCTTTTTGCTATCGCCAACGGTTAGGGGTTTGAGAGGGTAAGCACCTCAGGTGGAGCTGATCGTGGTATAGATCGTGGTGGATGATATGAGTGTTCAGGCCTTATTCCTTCTCTTCAGCCTGGCTGTGAGCCTTCTTCAAGGTAGACTACAGTGTCTGGGATCAACCCTCCTTCCCCGGCTGCCCACCCTTGCCCCTATCTACCGTGAGGTGGGAGGCCTCTCTGATCACGCCGTGTTAAGAACATGGGTGCGGCTGCTCGTGCGGTGATCAGTGTGGTGCAATCAACGCAGTTGACAGGTCGCCTTTCCTTGTGTGTGTGGTGCTGAGCTGAAAAAACCACACACACCACACACCTTGGAACACTGAAGAAAACCCCGTGTCTAGGTTTTCAAAAACATCAAATTCCGGAAATAACTGCTGCTTTCCTACTTCTACTATCAAGTCAGTTAGCACAACGAATCGACTCTCCAGACTACTGTACGTGCTAAGCGATTGACTGTAAAGAAAAGACCATCTCCTTTCGTACCTGCTGCACTAGAGCAGCCCTCGACGGTGGATCACCGGACCTCGCAAACTCAGATAAGGTCCTTGTCAGCCCGATAATAGCATCATAGCCCCCCAATGAGATATCCAGACTCATGATTCAGGATCACCAGCCAGGAGGGGGACTATACTTTTTCTATATTTTCTAATTCTCTTGGCTACGCAGCCCCATCTCTTCTAAACTACGTTGTAATGATACATCATTTTACTCCGCACTACTACTCCATACATACTTTGCTTCTCCTATTGCTACAGTATTTCCAAGTTTTAACAACTTCACGTGCATTTCTCCCACACACGCACTAGCAACCAGCACCTAAAAGCGAATACGCCTCCGTTTTCCGCCCCCCGAGCCGAACGGGCCTAACAGGAACTAGCATCCTTCCCTAACGGACAACCAACTAGCAACTCGCAACTAATCAAACCCCCCCCCCTCCTTCCAACCTTGACCCCCCAGCCCTAGACCAAAACCCGAAACCCGCAAGACCCAGGTAACCCGCAGGTAGCCAGCATATCACGACATTATGAATCCGGCCGACGCACGATGAAACCGAGGTGCGTGTGCTGCACTGCGCTTCGTCATTTGTCGAAATGCCGTGCGGACTAGACTAGCGAGAGGGGGAAAAAGTCCCGGACATAGGTTGCATCGCTTCTAA